AAAATTAAGGTTTGTTTATTTATCTTTGACACAGATTTTGTCTTATTTTTCAATTTATAATTTTTTGAATTCTTAAATTGATATAATACAAAAAATCTAAATAAAAGTTTGCAGGTAAATTATTTGAAATTTTGCATACAATAGCAATCTTTTCAGTGCGACAAAAAATTTGTAAAAACAAAAAACTACAGATTAAATAAATTTTTATTTCCTTTCTTTGCATAAATATGTTTTAAATTTAAAATTTTAAAATTAACAGATGTTTATATGCCACCTGATGACAAGTTAAACGTGGATCAATACAAATATAAACAATATGTTAGATCAGCATTTTCTGGTGAACGACTTTGCGAAAAGTACATTTGTATTGTTTTATATTATTTGTCAAAGAAAAGGATGAGACGAATAAATGATCAGAGCAAAATTAATTATTTTTAAATTTAAAATTTTTTAAAAATTTAAAATTTTAACAATGAAAATATTAATTCATTTGGGAAAAAGAATTAAACTAAGGTAAAAAAAAACAATAATTATATTTTTACCACTTATTGTTATGTTTGAAATTAAAAATTTTTATCAAATGTTTACATGCTATTTGATGTTGAATTTACTTTAGTTTACCTTTAATTTTTGTTTTTAACTTTAGTTTCGTTTTTTTTTTTCCTGAAATAAATTAATGTAATACAAATTTTATTTTTTAAGGTTGAAATGAATGAATTTTATTTTTTTTAAGATATTTTTATCATTTATGTTCAATGTCAACGTTTACTGTTTATTTGGGCTGGAAAAGTGGAAATGATTGGTTGAAATTGGATAGACGAGGATGTTGTAGCGGATATCATTATAATGGAACTGTTTGCATTCCAGATTGATTATTTATTGCCTTCTTATCACTAAACTTCTTATCACTATATCATTTTTTGAAATTATTGTTAACTTTTTAATATGCTATAGCAACAATTTTGACGTATAAAACTGTAAATTGACTTTAAATTAATTAAAAAGATGAATTTTAATCCAAATTAGTTAGAATCTGTTATAAAAAAAATTTTTTTTTTGTTTCCATTATAACATTGTTATCATCGTTTATGTAAAAAAATCAATGTTTTAGGATTGATAAAAAAATCTATTTGAGAATATAAAACATTTTTTATGAATAAGCAAGTTGATTTCTGTTATATTAGCCAATTTTTGTTTCAAAAGTATGAACTTTGCAGGAAAGATTTTTCTCCTAGGAAGAAAATTGTTAATGTTGATCAGTTTATTTGATATTTCCAGAATAGCATTGATATCAAAATAGCAGTGATAAGATGTTATTGATCTGTTTGTTTAATATTTTAGACTAGCAGTGATAAAATGTCATTGATCTATTTATTCGATATTTTGCAATAACAATGATAAAATGTGACTGATCAGTTTATTTAATATTTCCAGAATAGTATTAATATCAAAATAGCAGTGATAAAATGTTATTGATTTGTTTGTTTAATATTTTCAGATTAGCATTGATAGAATGTCATTGATCTATTTATTCGATATTTTGGAATAACAATGATAAAATGTTATTGACCGGTTTATTTAATATTTCCAAAATAGCAGTGATAAAATGTTATTGATCAGTTTATTTAATATTTCCAGAATAGCATTGATAGAATGTTATTGATCTATTTATTCGATATTTTGCAATAACAATGATAAAATGTGACTGATCAGTTTATTTAATATTTCCAGAATAGCATTGATATCAAAATAGCAGTGATAAAATGTTATTGATCTGTTTGTTTAATATTTTCAGATTAGCATTGATAGAATGTCATTGATCTATTTATTCGATATTTTGCAATAACAATGATAAAATGTGACTGATCAGTTTATTTAATATTTCCAGAATAGCATTGATATCAAAATAGCAGTGATAAGATGTTATTGATCTGTTTGTTTAATATTTTCAGATTAGCATTGATAGAATGTCATTGATCTATTTATTCGATATTTTGCAATAACAATGATAAAATGTGACTGATCAGTTTATTTAATATTTCCAGAATAGTATTAATATCAAAATAGCAGTGATAAAATGTTATTGATTTGTTTGTTTAATATTTCCAGAATAGCATTGATAGAATGTTATTGATCTATTTATTCGATATTTTGCAATAACAATGGTAAAATGTGACTGATCAGTTTATTTAATATTTCCAGAATAGCATTGATATCAAAATAGCAGTGATAAAATGTTATTGATCTGTTTGTTTAATATTTTAGACTAGCAGTGATAAAATATTATGTTAAGAATGTATTGTGTTCAATCAATGATCAGTAGTTCCTGTTCGACTTGAGCTTGCATTGCTACCTTTTGCATTTTTGGAGTGTTGTTGATCGACAGTATTCATTTGAATTGGAATATTTCGTGTCGGAGTTACTGGTGGAACATTCTTCTTCCGAGCTTTTATTTCTAGAATACCATTTTCTGAAAATTTATAATCTTCAATGATTTTTGCAGCTAATTATTTTTGATTGAATGTGACAGTCTTTAGTTATGTCACAGTAAGTGTATGCAATTCTTATCAAACAAAAACAAGAAACCAGTATATCTCAATACCATATTATGTACCGTATGCTTGATTAATTATCTGACTACCGTACTAAATATCCGATTACCGTATTCTTGATCAATGTGTCTGGATACCGTATTACATACCCGACTACCGTATTTTGATTAATATATTTGGTTACCGTGTCATATACTAGCTTACAGTATGTATGATTGATGTATCTGATTACCATTTATATGCTTGATTACCGTATATCTGCTTACCGTAAGTCTGATTAATATATCTGTTTACCATATCAAAAGTAGTCGTTTTTCCTTTTTGCTTTACTTTTATAAAGAAACATTTCAACTAAATAACTATTTCGCTCTTTAATAAGTTTTAGTGATTTTGAATTGAAATTCAATAGATTTAAATTTCTATCAAATTTCAAAAATAACCTTTCAAGTGAGAAGTTAAAGTGGTTTTATCGATATCACCAGGCAGCGTGAATCGACGAACGAAGTGTCGTTCAATGAAACCATGCTGATCACGTTGCTGCTTTTGATGTCCTTCAATTGATAGTTCACCTTGATGTAGATTAACTTTTAATTCGCTCGGATGAAATTGTGACACATCCATTTCCATAACATAATTTTCCGCATCGTTTGCAATCTAAGATGAAAGGAATATTTGAAATTTTTGTAAATATAAATTCATTTCTATTTATTCATCAAATTTTAATCTTACTTGAAATAATTTAATGTAAAAGTTATTAATAAAAACAAAAAAATACACAATGCTGAAATTTCTTCATTGAAAAACTTTGTCTTTTAATTTCGAGCGCTAAATGGAAACTTGAAAATTGCAAAAAGAATTGAAACAATTCTAAAATTAAAAAAGTAAACAATTTCTTATTAATCTGATTTAAATTCTAAGAATGCAAACCTGTCTAAGTGAACCGTCAAGATTGCATTGATATGATGTCGCATTTGTCGGTGAACCGCTCCAGCCTATTCCAAGTTGGCGGTAATGTTGCTCTAAGCCATGAAATAAGCTTTCAAACATTCGTCTGACAGTTTCATTAAATGACATGAAATCGCCATCATAGAAACATGACCGATGACCGGAAGGCTGAATATCGCGGTGCTGTTCCGGTGGATTCATCAGTTGTTAATAGTTATTCAGGTTTCCAATTAACCTACAGTAAGCTAAATAATTTTATAAATTAATTCCAGAAAAAAAAAATTGTTATGCAATAATAAATTCTAAGAACTAATTTTATCAATTTTAAGATCCTTCCATTAACAATCAATTCACCTTTTTTTTTTTTAAAAAAAAATAAATATTCATCATTTATTTCTGGAAACATGCTTCTTTCTTGTCAATTATCATCTAATTTGCTCATATGATTTTTTATTTTGAAAACAATTTTCACAAATTATAAATTGCAATGGAATGAATTTGATGACAACTCTTCTTGGATTACGATTTTTACCATTCCATTTTAATAATTTACCTTTTAGTTAATTATTACTTAATTATTACTTAAGGTAACCACTCAACTTGAAATAATATTAACAAATGAATGCTATAACAGTAAATTTCATTTATATTCATATCTGATAACTAAATTATGCATATTTTTTTCTTTTTTTTTTTTTATAAAGTTTAAACTCTGTGAAAAGCTGAAAGATGCAATTAGTTACATTAATGTATTTCATCCTGAATTTTTAAAACAAACTCAATGAAATTATTGTAAATGTCCAGTTTCTTTATTTATAAAAAAAGCAATTGTTAAGCACAAACTAAGTATAATTTTATTATAGGAAACCAAAGAGCATAAAGCACAAGTTGGCTACGATCTCGAATATGGATGATTTGATAAATTAGTGACGATCTCGAAAACGGATCATTTCATTTAATAATATGAATCATTTCATAAATTAAATCACTTCATTTTATTAACAAATTGTTAAAGAGAGAAAATGTTAATTTAACGGTTTATTTAGGAAGAGAAAATATTTTTTTATCATTTATAATTTATAAATTGCATGTCATTTTTCTTTTTTAGCATAATAAAAATAAAATTTCAAAATTATGAATGAAGATTTGAATGTGATACGATCCTCTTGCATTTATTCCAGTTGTTAATTAGATAATCTTTTTAAATTATAATACTGAAAATTAATTTCAATATTTTCAATTAAAGAAAAAAAAAATTTATTTATAAAATAAAAAGCATTTCATTCATATCTTTCGGCTAATTCATCAGTACACAAAAGAAAAATACGGTAAAGATCAGAGGTTTAAGATCAAATTGAATTAGAGAAAAAACTTTAATCTTTAAAAATATCTTCTCTTTCTCCGGAATTGTTAATTAATGCAATAAATGATTTAATGGTAAACATTATATATCATTTAAATCTTTAAGAGCTTAATTTTTTATTTATTAAAAAAAAAAATCTTTTATAAAATATAGTAAGAATAGTAAGGAAATATGTACACATGTAAAATATAATCAAATTTTGGTATTTTTTCATTTAACCATTCACAAATTTGATGAATAAAAACGATTAATTGTTGTTTTTTCGTGATATCAGTTTCTTCTGCTTTCAAACGCCTGCAAATTTTTAATAAAAAAAATAAATAAATAATTTAATATAATTTAATTCATATCATTTTTTTTTTTCAACGATTTATATATGCATGTCAAATTTTATAAAAGGAATAGCCATTTTGTAGAATGAAACTTAATGGCATGAAAATGGAATTAAAAATTTTACAGTACTAGTAAAAAATACAGTACCCTTTTCTACAGCAATATAAAAATTCTACAGTACTTTTACAGTACTCATTTACAATTATTGTTTAATATTTCTTTCTAGCTTTTTTCAACTACATCATTATAGTATATTAAATATAACACATCATTCTGGCTGGTTGTCTTCTCTTGCTATTGGCACAAAATTTAATTCATGAAAAAAAATTTTTTTTTTTGAAGAGTAATATTAAAATTTAAATTATGGAAAAAAGAAAACCAAAAGTAAAAAACAAAAAAGATTGACCATTCCGGTATGGCATTTTCTGGTGTTATTATCTTATGCATAAAGCATTTTGCTTGATAATATTGCCTAATTTTGGTAATATTAACAAATTCTGCTCCAAGATTTTTCATATTATCAAGTTTTTGTTTTGAACTTGAACCACCATCAAATTGGAGTAATGCTGGAATATATGTTTTGTTACTCCAATGCCATCGCCAGTTACTAATTAAACTGAAAAAAAAGAAAAAAAATTGGAATATTATCATAAAAAAGTTTTTTTCTAATCATAAATTTAAAAAGAAAAGTTATAAGTTTTATAAAAATTTATAAAAAATAAAAAATTAGTAAAAAAAATAAGTTTAGAAAAGTTAAATTATGCTAGAAATTGCGATCAAATAATATATCTTTGAGATGTATTTCTAAAAATTAATAATTTTGTAAATCAAATTTCAACTAAGAGATGATTGTTAATCTTATTCATTTAAAAAATTTATTTACCTGTAAGGTATGAATGCACATTGATTACTACAATATTTTGTAAAACACAATGCTCCCATAATATTATTATCTGTAGCATAATAATTTTCCAATTGTCTTGAAAGTTCTTTAAAAAAGCATTCTGATCTTAAATGATAATGAATTATTCGTTTTATTTTTGTTTTTATTTTGGTTAGAAATTTCTCAAATTTAAACTTATTTCTTTTAACATTTCAAATATTTCATTTAAATTCAATTTCAAACACTCATATATTAGTAATAGCAATGAATTGAATAGTAATACATAAATCTATTTTTGTATTTAAAAAAAAAAGAAATAAACAAATAAATAAATAAATAAAAGCTAACTTGATGCCTGCTTTAACAAAAAAATAACCACCAGCAATCATTTTAGCCAATAATCCTCTGTCACCTTCCTGATCAAAAAGTAAATTTCCATTTAAATCTAACATCTGACGTGTATCTGTTTTGAAATGAAGAAGAAATAAAAATGAATAAAAATTTTATCAATTTAATTTTTCTAACTATTTGATAAAATCATTTATTAATTACTTATGCTAATTATTATTGTAAAATTAAAAAAAAAACCTATCATAAATACCAATTCAATCTTATTTCAAAGTTTAATTTTTTTATTTTCACTCATTAAAATTAAGAATTAATCAAAACAATAGAAAATTATTTTTGATTTAAAATTTAGATTAATAAAATTAATAGAAAATTATGTCACATCTATTATTATTAATTATCATATATAGAAATTACTTTTTATTATTATCTATAATAATAGATTAACTTTAACATACTTATAATTTCGAATAAATTTTTACGCCAATAAGTATCTGCTTGAATCATCCAGAAATCACGATTAATGCTAGCCAAATATGTGCATAATTTTGCACGAAAATATTGTAACATTTGATAACGATCATTGCCTTTTTGAAATGGTAAATGCTAAAAACGAAAAAAAGAAAAACCGGATAACACCGGATAGCACCGGATAATGTAAAATAAATTTTCACAATCTTTTTTTTATTTTTTATTTCAAAATTCCTCAATTTTACCTTTTTTTTTTCTTCTTAATTAATCATTTAATTTTCAATTTTTCTGTACAATCAAATTTTTTTTTTTTTTTTTTTTTTAAAAAATTTTTTTTTTTTTTTTTTTTTTTTTTTTTTTTGAAATTTTTTTAAAAAAAAAGTAATAAAAAATTATGGTAAATTAAAAATATAAACCAATGAATAATAAATGTTTGCCAAATATACTTTACCATTTGTGGTAATGGCCAAAAGATAACTTTAATTTCTGGCCATATTGTCCGAATTGTGCTATAAGTTAAACGATCAAATGCAAATATTAGAAGCCTTCGATGAACATTTGGAAAATTGGCCACATTGCATAACCAATTTAAAGTTAAATTTAATGAATGCTAAACGAATTAATTAATAATCAATCATCATTATTATTATTACGATTATCATTAGTATTATTATTATTATTACTAATTATAATTATTATATACAAGCAAATTTATTATAAAATATTATTACTAAATTATAAAATATATTATAAAATATTACTCCTAATTTATTATACAATAAATGATACTTACGATATTAAACATTAAAATTGCAGGAATATCATCAATTTCTGATAAAAACTGAAATAAAATCAATTAAAAGAAATTCTCTGATATTAAGCAAATTTTTTAAAAATTATTTAACAATTTGCTTAACTTATCAATCTTATCAATAATTTTATAGTTTATAAGTGCTATCTATATTTCATATTTTTATTTTTAATTGCAAACACTTTTATGTTTAATTCAAACATGTCGCATGTCACATGTATTATTACTAGAAAATATATCTGTGACATCATTTGAAATTTCAATCAAATTTATCTAACCTTCTCGTTGACTAATGAAAAAGTTTTTGATAATTTCTAGCAAAATCAATATGTTTGTCCTCTTATCATCTAATTGTTAATTAATTTAATTCATTTATTCAACTTTATTCAGCCTAATCATTTCTTATTCTAACTATCATTAGGTGTTAATCATCAATTTTCAATCGAATAATTAAGAGTAAGAAATAAAACATTAAATGTTAATTACTAATTTTCAAACGATTAATTAAGAGTAAGAAATAAAACATTAAATGTTAATTATTAATTTTCAATCGATTAATTAACAGTAAGAAAGAAAACATTAGATGTTAATTATTAATTTTTGATTGACTAATTAAAAGTAAAAAGTAAAACATTAAGTATTAATTATTAATTTTTAATCGATTAATTAAAAGTAAAAAGTAAAAAAAAAGAGAGAGAGAGAAAAAAAAATGAAACTTACGCGTTTTAAAATGTAATTATAACGAAAAGTATTTGTATCAAATGCTCCCTTATATTTATTTATGCCAAATAATCCATTATAACTTAATAAATATTTATCATGTAAAAGACATAAAATAAAGTAATAAAGAATATAATACCATTTAAATTTTAACAATTTCATTATTGCAATCATTTTTATCTGTAATTATTGAATAAATTTTATCAAAAATTGTGCAATAAATAAAATAATTCATTTTGAATTCATTATTATATTAACTTTTTTTTTTTTTTTAACAATTGAATATTATTCAAAAATTGTATAGAAATTTCAGAAGAAAAAAATTTTCAAATTTCAATTTAGAAACAAAAAAGAATTCAAAAAAAAAAAAAATGAAATAAGACGATTGCATCTAATATTATAATATTTATAAAGAAATAATAAAAATATTTATGATTGGATAAAATATTTTTGTTTTTCTTTTTAAATTTGAAAATTTTCAAATTTAAAAATAATTGTAATTGTTTATAATTGATTGATTAATTCTCATTCGTTTATATTTTATATAAAATTGTAAAATTAGAAAAAATTGAAAAAATATTCATTCAATTTCGAGGAAAATATTTCATATCTTTTATCCTATTAAATTTACACTTTATCACTCGAAAAGGAAGTGTAAATTTCATTGATAGTTTCAACGAATGATTAGATAGGAATTTATCAAGGTCATTAATTTAACCATATACTCAGAATTAAGGTCAAATTATAAACAATAAAATTTGTGTTGATGTTATCAGTAATTAAAAGCAATGATATATATGCTCGAACTGATATGCTATATACTTGGCATTAAGGTCATATTATAAACAATAAAATTTGAGTTGATGTTATCAGTAACTGTTATCAGTAATTAAAAGTAACGCTGTAAATTTATTTGTTATTATCATTTTATGGTGAAATTGAAATTTTGATTGGATTAAAAATTATTAATTACTTATTCATTGATATTAGTGAAATTGAAATATTGAAATTTCAACAAAAAAAAAAAAGAATTATTTCAAAAATGCTTTTTTTGTTCCTCCAAACTTGGCGAGAATTTCAGACTTTGAAAAGTTATCATTTCTTATCATCAATTTATCATTTGAAGAGAAATAAAAATGATAAATGCCGGGAAGAAAGCAATGGATGATAATGATATTGGGATTTGGTAATATTTATAAAAAAAAAAATAAACTAACTTTAGTTCAATCTATCAGTAATTTCAAAGCAATTTGTACTATGTGTGTAAAAGATAATTCAATTTAATTTACCACTTTCTTGATTTAATTTATCATTTCCTGATTTATTTTATCATTTTATTGATTTAATTTATCATTTTCTTGATTTAATTTATCATTTTCTTGATTTAATTTATCATTTTCTTGATTTAATTTATCATTTTATTGATTTAATTTATCATTTCCTTGAGAATTATGCAATTCTCTCTTCTGATGATTACTATAAAGGATATTTCTTTTTTGCAAAATAGTTTTTCTTGTCTTGTAATTTTTGTAAAATAGAAAATAGTTAAAAAACTTGAAATAACTTCCCTCTAGACATTAAATCCTTTAAAATATTAATTTATTACGATAATAAGATGCACAAGTAAGTTTAAAATGAATATAAGAAATGATTTACTTCTACAATAAAATAAATAAATACTGTAAAAAAAATTTTTTTTAAAAAAAAAAAAAAAACAAAAAACAAAAATACATTATTATTATCATTATTATCACTATTATATTATCATTATCAAAAATCTTGGTTAATCAAAAATTAAGTCCTTAATTTAGAATAATATATATGCGAATGTGAAATTGATTTGATCAAATATTATTTTTATTGCTATTAACAATACTGGCAACATTTGTAAACAATTTTACATTATCAAACTTACTAAAGAATAGCAAATAAATGATAAATACAAAATTCTACATTTAACAAAAAAAGTATTATTGCAATTTTAAACATTATTAAATAACCACAACAGAAATGAGGTATTCAGGATTTACTCGAGATATACTTTAAAATATTTTTACTTCAAAATACTTTAAAATATTAATCATGCAAGAATATTAAAATTAGCAAAAACAATCAGAAATATTCATTCATCACTTTCGTTTCTTATCAATATAAATTTTAAATCTAATAATTAAACATTACTAAAAATAGAAGCAATCTTGCTAATGTTTTTTTTTTTTTTTTTTTTGTTGAAGTTTAATCTAACATATAATTTTCCATTTTATTTAATCAAAATTATACATCAAATAATCCCTGTACACCTTATTCATATGACTAAAATTATCATTTAAATCAATTCTTCTAATCAACATATCACAATTTTACAACAAACAAATGTTTGATTAGTAATTAACTAGAATCATATTAATATTTACAAATATAATTTCTTCATCTATCAATAATTTACAATTTTTTCTTTTTCTCTTCCTCTTCCTCTTCTTCTTCTTCTCATTTTTCAACTTATAATCTATTTAAGAGAAAAATTTTACATACTTTTTAAAATGAATAAAATAAATATTAGAGAGTATAATTTCTTCATCTATTAATAATTTATAATTTTTTCTTTTTCTCTTTCTCTTCCTCTTCTTCTTCTTCTCATTTTTCAACTTATAATCTATTTAAGAGAAAAATTTTACATACTTTTTAAAATGAATAAAATAAATATTAGAGAGTATAATTTCTTCATCTATTAATAATTTACAATTTTTTCTTTTTCTCTTTCTCTTCCTCTTCTTCTTCTTCTCATTTTTCAACTTATAATCTATTTAAGAGAAAAATTTTACATACTTTTTAAAATGAATAAAATAAATATTAGAGAGTATAATTTCTTCATCTATTAATAATTTACAATTTTTCTTTTCTCTTCCTCTTCCTCTTCTTCTTCTTCTCATTTTTCAACTTATAATCTATTTAAGAGAAAAATTTTACATACTTTTTAAAATGAATAAAATAAATATTAGAGAGTATAATTTCTTCATCTATTAATAATTTACAATTTTTTCTTTTTCTCTTTCTCTTCCTCTTCTTCTTCTTCTCATTTTTCAACTTATAATCTATTTAAGAGAAAAATTTTACATACTTTTTAAAATGAATAAAATAAATATTAGAGAGTAGTTGTATGATGATGATGATGAGCAGTAGTGGTGGATATTGGTTCAGACATTGAACGATGATGACAAAATAAATAATTCATAAATTTGTAGCCAAGTATCACAGCAAACATAATAGAAACCAGAGCAAAATAATAACCATAAACAAAAAACTGCAATAAATTTCATATATTTGTTATAATTTAATAATTAAATTAATTAAATATTAAAAAAAAAAGCTTATTTTTATAACAAATAAATTAATTTATTCCACTTTATTACTTATCTATTTTGTATTCATTTCAAAAAGAAAAAGAATTCAAAAGTTTTCATTCCTTAAATAATATCTTTGTTCTCTTATTCACAACTAAAGAATATTCTAACTATTTTTGATTAAATTAATTTACTTTTTTGTTTTTTTTTTTGATTAATTAACATATTAGAAAACTTTTTGACTGGATTAATTAATATTAGAATTGTTGATTGTCATGCTATTAATCAATAATGAAATTAAAAATTTAATTAAAATAAAAAATAAACCTGAGTTCGAATTGATAACGAGAAACCATGTTTATCCGCTACTGCAAATGTAAGAATAGTTTGTAATAATAATGCTAAAAATGTATTCCAACCAAATACTAAACCATAACTTGCAGAATCTAATTGCATTGCTATATTCACACTAAATTCAAAAAAAAAAAAAAAATAAATGTGTGATTTAAACATATTTATAAAATTACATTTGAAGCAATTTTGAAATTAAAGCAATTTTGGAAAATTCTGAACTATAATCTGGCTTCGAATATTTTTTTATTTTATCAAATTAATCAAATTGTTAACTGAAAATGATAAGTGTAATATAAGTTTGATACATATATGATCGAAAGTTTAAATAAATCTACCTGAAAATAAATTATGATGCATAATTTAATAAATAACAAATTAAAGCAAATATTTTGTGATTTATCTAGAGGTAAAGAAGATTAAATTTAATAATTGATATTATCAATTTCTTCATAATGATAAAGTAATAAAAATTAACCTTGCAACCGTTATCAGTAAATTATAAATGGTTATCACAATAACATATAACACGTAAGTTACGTAGACAATTTCTATTTGAGACATAATAATAAGTAGAATAGCAATAAACGCTGACGTTATTAGCAGTACGTGTTCACCTCGTTTTGACCAATTCACGTTCATATATTGTACCAAAAAACTTATAAATGCTCCTATCAATAAAATTCAATAAATTGAAAATTATTTAAAATTTTTCAATAAATCTAGAAAAAAAAATTTTTTTTTTTTTTGCAAATAATATATAAAAAAAAAAAAAAAAAAAACGGTTAAACTAATCTATCCTGATAAAAAAGTTAAATTTTCCTTCTGGCTTATTATTATCATCCAATAGCTAAACAGTCTAATTTACTCTAATGAATTACCAATAGAGAAAGTATGAATAAAAGATTAAAAAAAATTTTTTTTTTAAAATATACCAATAAAAGTATTAGCACATTCAGTAATACCATTATAAATATCAGAAGATGTTTGCATTGTAGCCCATAATGTTTGTACATAGTTCATAACCTTAAATTAAAATTTCAACAAAATTCAAAAAAAAAAAAAAAAGTATTTCGACTCTTTCTAAAACAATGAATACAATAAAATAACAAACAAACAAACAAATAAATAAACAAAAACAACAAAAAGAAAATAACCTGAAAAACACCACAGCTAGTTAATGCCCACCAAATGCTCCATTTTAGGACAATCTTATCTCGTTTGAAAATTTTAAAATGATACCAAATGGAGCGAAAATAGGCAACTATTCCATGATCAACATTTGGTGCATTAGTACTTAAAGCTGTTCTGAAAGAATTCAAATAAAATGAATAAAAAAAGAATACCTAAAAAAAAAAAAAAAAAGAAGAAACAATTTTCGAAATACTATTAAAATTAGCTATAAAAAGAAAAAATATTAGACTAAAAATAAGTAAAAGTTAAGTAGCAAAAAGGTAAGATAAATTATGATATGTAAAATGATGGGTAAATCTTCTTAATGTTATTACCTTTCTTCAATATGATGTGTAAAATGATGGGTAAATCTTCTCAATGCTATTACCTTTCTTCAATATGATATGTAAAATGATGGGTAAATCTTCTTAATGTTATTACCTTTCTTCAATATGATGTGTAAAATGATGGGTAAATCTTCTCAATGCTATTACCTTTCTTCAATATGATATGTAAAATGATGGGTAAATCTTCTTAATGTTATTACCTTTCTTCAATATGATGTGTAAAATGATGGGTAAATCTTCTCAATGCTATTACCTTTCTTCAATATGATGTGTAAAATGATGGGTAAATCTTCTCAATGCTATTACCTTTCTTCAATATGATATGTAAAATGATGGGTAAATCTTCTTAATGTTATTACCTTTCTTCAATATGATGTGTAAAATGATGGGTAAATCTTCTCAATGCTATTACCTTTCTTCAATATGATATGTAAAATGATGGGTAAATCTTCTTAATGTTATTACCTTTCTTCAATATGATATGTAAAATGATGGGTAAATCTTCTCAATGCTATTACCTTTCTTCAATATGATATGTAAAATGATGGGTAAATCTTCTTAATGTTATTACCTTTCTTCAATATGATGTGTAAAATGATGGGTAAATCTTCTCAATGCTATTACCTTTCTTCAATATGATATGTAAAATGATGGGTAAATCTTCTTAATGTTATTACCTTTCTTCAATATGATGTGTAAAATGATGGGTAAATCTTCTCAATGCTATTACCTTTCTTCAATATGATATGTAAAATGATGGGTAAATCTTCTTAATGTTATTACCTTTCTTCAATATGATGTGTAAAATGATGGGTAAATCTTCTCAATGCTATTACCTTTCTTCAATATGATATGTAAAATGATGGGTAAATCTTCTTAATGTTATTACCTTTCTTCAATATGATGTGTAAAATGATGGGTAAATCTTCTCAATGCTATTACCTTTCTTCAATATGATATGTAAAATGATGGGTAAATCTTCTTAATGTTATTACCTTTCTTCAATATGATGTGTAAAATGATGGGTAAATCTTCTCAATGCTATTACCTTTCTTCAATATGATATGTAAAATGATGGGTAAATCTTCTTAATGTTATTACCTTTCTTCAATATGATATGTAAAATGATGGGTAAATCTTCTCAATGCTATTACCTTTCTTCAATATGATATGTAAAATGATGGGTAAATCTTCTTAATGTTATTACCTTTCTTCAATATGATATGTAAAATGATGGGTAAATCTTCTTAATGTTATTACCTTTCTTCAATATGATGTGTAAAATGATGGGTAAATCTTCTCAATGCTATTACCTCTCTTCAAAATTTCGTTGATCATTTCGTGATCCTTCTTCATAATTTGTTGGAATATGAGAAAGTTTAGGTGTATCGTCAACACTTTCAACAACTTTATTATTAGCTATCTTAGATGGTATTGATGGTAGAATAGCAGCAATTCCAAGAACTATACAAACTGCACCAAATGATATCTGTAAAATTAATTATTTAATTGATCAAAAATACATATACTTTTATCTAACAACAACTTATCTTAAAATATTTCAAGAATAAATGAGATAATTCAAATTTTCCATCTAAATTTAATATCTCATAAGTGTCGTATGCAGTAGGAGATATATCTAAATTCAGTAACATAAATTATGATTTTCATAATTGAATACTACTTCGTATTTTAATTTGTTACATTTTTTTTTTCTTTTTGTGTATTCGAAATAATGCAAAAGATTCTAAGTAAAAGATTTAGTAATAATAAAAAAAAAATAATATTAAGTTTAAAGCAAAATTAAAATCATGTTAAATTAGAAATACTTATACACAAAATGCTGAAGTTTTACACCTTAAAAAATGGAAAAGATAAATTTTTTAATGAAAAAAAAAAAAAAAAAAAAAAAAAAAATGAGAATGTATAAGAGAAAGAATTAAACAGTAAATTAAAGGGAATTAATTATTCACCTGATTTAAAAGAAGATATGAACCATATTCAAATGATATAAGAAATTGAGCAAAACCAAAAGCAAAAAATTTGCCAACCAAAGCAGCAGCTCGTATATATGATGTGATAAGTTTATAATATTTTTGATTAACTACAGCATACATATACGAATAATAAGCTATTTCAGCAGCTGATGATAAACCTATAAATAAAAGAATGAATTCTAATTTTTGATAATTGGAAATAATATTTGCTGCATATAATAAGCTTATAATGGAAATGGTATTTTAAGTAATAAAAGAAATAAGAATGCATAAGAGAATAATTAAGGTTTTTTAAATAAATGTATTTATGATCTGATTTATGGATAAATGAATGATCATTAAATAAAAGATAAAATTTTGCTTCAGATGAATTTTTCAGCTTAGAAATATTTATCGGATGATGTAAATTGAATGTTTTTTTTTTTTTTATATTTTACTATTTAATTAATTTATATTATTTTTATTTATTTACGCAGTAAATGATTATTTCAGAAAGATTTTCTTTTTTTTTTTGGATCAGTTATTATAGTACGGTTAATTTATGAACTGTTATATGTCCATCAACAAATGGTACAAATAAATCAGCGATTTATTGAATACAGTCAGCCATAAAATTAAGAATTATATCTCAGCAGGTGGTGGACCAATTGAATAAGGTCACAATGGCAGTCCAATCGCTCTACGGATACAGTAGTAATTAGACTTACGAATACAGTAGCAATTAGACATACGAAAACATAGCAACTAGACTTACGAATACAGTAGCAATTAGACATACGAATACAGTAGCAACTAGACTTACGAATACTGTAGCAATTAGACTTACGAATACAATGGTAATTAGACATATGAATACAGCGGTAACTAGACTTACGAACACAGTAGCAACTAGACTTACGAATACAGTAGCAATTAGACTTACGAATACAGTAGCAATACAGCGGTAACTAGACTTACGAACACAGTAGCAACTAGACTTACGAATACAGTAGCAATTAGACTTACGAATACAATGGTAATTAGACATATGAATACAGTAGTAACTAGACTTACGAATACTGTAGCAATTGGACTTACGAATACAGTAGCAATTAGACTTACGAATACAGTAGCAATTAAACTTACGAATATAGTAGCAACTAGATATAGCAATAATTAGATTCTTTATTTCAATGTTTCTAGATTTCTATGTTTTTTTTGTAAATACTGCTAAAATTTTCATTTATTAAACGACTTCATTCGTGGCAATGTTATCAATGAAGCTAAATTATTTAGTAAAGTTATGAGAGCAAACAAATAAGAAAGATGAGAATATTAAGAAGAAGACAAACAAATGTCATTAATCGAGTCATCCTGTCTTGAAATTTTCCAATAAATTAATTGAAAGAAACAAATTGTTAATTCAATTATATTTAATACAATTGTAAAAATAATATACCGAATAAGATTTGCATAATTTGCATATGCCATATCGTTTTACCCCATAAAAGTAGCGCCCAAGTACCAAACAAGCTAAGAGCTTCTAATACAATAATCGGTTTATATCGTAAAATATCAGTTAAAAAAAATATTGGCACCTGTAAAATAACAAATATTAAAGCATTTCTTTCTTCTACATTTTACACTTTTTTTTTTCTTTTTGAATGTTGAATTATACACATTGAATTATTAATGTTGGATGCTAATCATAATAACTGAAAGGAAAAGAATTTAAATTTAGAATGAAATAATAATAATAATAATAATAATAATAATAATTCAATCAATTCAAATTTGAAAGACTTAGAAATTGTTGAAAAAAAAAAAAAAAAGAAAACATACTAAAAAAAATAAATATGAATATGTCCAGAATGGATAAATTTCACTGTACAATTCAACATCAGTGAAATTTTTGAAAGATGAAACGAGGTACGGTGTAAGGAAAGGTGTTGCTGGCCGAAATTCTTTCACTATTCCATATGCACATATAAGAATTGTTGTAGCTTTCCAATGCATTTCATTCATTATCATTCAACCGATAATAAATCTGAAAAATTAGAATATCAAATAATTAAACAGCAAAATGTTTATAAAATCATTTATCATATCTTTATTTAATTCAAAAAAAAAAAAGAAAAAAAACAAAGTTTTGAGAAATTAGTTAAAAAACAAAAACAGAAAGAGATAAGAAAAGGAAAAAAAACAAAGATTGATTGATTGATTGGTTCTTTGACAACGATGTAATAATCAAGTTAGTCAAACAATACAAAATGAAGTTTAAGTAAGATATTCGAGTAAGAAAGAAGGCTAAATTTAGAAGAGATAAAGCTAACTTAGTGAGAAGACAATTTGATAGTCTGAATATGATCGAATTCAATTCTGATAACATCACATAATATAACAACAACCGATATTTTTCTCTTTAACAATAAATTACAATTATACCATACTTTGGCTATATCCAATATAGCATACTACGCTTGGCCATAACCAAAATAACATACCACGCTTGGCCATATCTAATACGAAAAACTACGCATGGCCATATCAAATATAACATACTACGCTTGGCTATATCTAATATAACATATGACGCTTGGCTATATCTAATATAACATACTAAGCTTGGCTATATCAAATACAACATACTACGCTTGGCCATAACCAAAATAACATACCACGCTTGGCCATATTCAGTATAACATACCGCACTTGGCCATATCAAATACAAAAAAACTGCGCTTGGCCATATCTAATATAACAAACTGCGCTTAGCCACATCTAATTTCATGAAAAAAAAGCCAAGTAGAAATTTTCCAATAGCCATACCTAATTTAAATTTTCATGAAAAAAAAAGAAAAAAGCCAAGTGATAAAAATGTTCCAACAAGTAATAATAACAATAAATGTTGTTTACAAGTTATTCTCTAAACAGAATGAAGTTAGTTAGTTAGTAAGTAAGTATACATCAGAAAGAATTAAAAAATAATGATATATTAGTGAAGAGACAGCAAAGAATTGATGAAAAATTAGAAAGAGGAAATGTAATGCGAGAATGAAGAAAAAGAGAGAGAGAGAGGGAGAGAGGGAGAGAGAGAGAGAACTATTATAATATATCAAAACAAGAATTTTAAAAGATTATTATTAACAATGGATGGACTATTTTACTTTTTGATGATTTGATGATGACAGACAGTTTTGTTGAGGTGTAATTTTCAGTAAATGTTGTTTACAAAAAAAAAAAAGCGAAAAAAAAAAAACAAAAACAGAGTGAAATGTAAAATGTAAAGAAAAGATGTTTTCAATTTATTTTTAGATTTTGTTTTTTTTTTTTTAATATATAAATATAATTAATTCATAATTTATATATTATTTAATAAAACTAATATATAAGTACATAGATGATTATTGATAATAATATCAAGCATAATTATTAATTTATGTTAATTTATAAAATGGTGAAAAATTTTTCATAAAAATTTGACAAATACAACAATTAGTTAAAAAATTTGTAAACATACAATATTTACGATATAAATAGGAATTAAGTTTATTAGTTTGATTAAATTTATAATTCTTATGAAATTCTTATCACTATTATCTTATCAGTAATATGAAATGCAATATTAGAAATTTTTTTTTAAACTATTTTCTACAAGTTTGCTCACATTACAATTTCTTGAAAGTTTTCTCTTCTTTTTGTTTAAAGTCAACAATTAAATTCATCATCAAATGATAAGATAAATGATTGAAATGCATACAGAAGAATAAAACATAAAAAAAAGTTTCTTTTTTGGAAAAGTTAAAGTGTAATTTATGAATCAATATTGCTGTAGGTAATAATAATAAGTAAGTAAAATCAATAAATAATAAGTAAGTAAAAGCATTCTCTCATTTTTTTTTACTAATTATCCATTACCAGTATTAATTAATAACAAAATATGTGATTATCTTTACGTATTTCGTTTAATTCACGTATTTACGTTAGACATTAATAATTACATATTACATTTATTACTTCTTATTTCATCCTATAAAACTAATTTATAGAAAAAAAAATTTCTTGAAAAAGTTAAAGTATAATTTGTAAATCAATATTATATTATAATCTTTATTATAACGTAACTTTGAAAGAATCCCTACGTATAATCACGTAATACGAACAGGGTTGATCCACGTGGTTTTCACAATGGTTCGATCGTTGTAGTTTATCACAGTGAAATAACCAAATACGCTTTCTTCCATAAAAAGAGGAATGTGCAAAGTCAAATATTGTCTAAGAGGGAAGGGGTAGTCTCTCTCTCCCTCTCTGTCCCTCTCTCTCTCTCTTTATTTCTCTTTTTTTTCCTCTTTCTACCCTCTTCCATGTTATTCTTTAGTCTTTGCATTTATTCTCTTTCTTTTTCAATCTTTTTTACCTTTTATAGTTAAATATTTAATAGTAATTTTTATTATTGAGATTAAAATACATGTTTAAAAGATGACATATATAAATAATTATAATAGCTTTTTGATTATCACGATTTCGCATCAAGCATGAAATTGATGTTCATTTACCTTTCATTTTTATTACCTTGATGGTTTCATGTTACGTGTGTATGTGTGTGATAATTTATGTATATTATGTGTAGTAAAATATCTTTATTATTTATTAATTACAGAAACCAGCAGCTGTAATGGAACGGTTTTTACGACTCGGTGGTCTTGGTGGTCTCAGCGGTTCACAGGTTGCTGCTTTTAGTTGCATTTTATAGATTTAATAATGAAATCAATTATATCAATCGATAGGTTTAATCTAACTGAAATTTCCAGTTTCTTTATATGTATGCTATATGTGGAGAGTAAATTGTCAATTAGATCAGACTGAGATATTCGTACGTAAATTGACTTGTTAATTAATTTGATGAAAACATTTTTAAAGAAAAAAGGGAGAAAAAAGTATTTGGTAAAAGTAGCAGAAGAAGGAAAAATGCAAGAGGAACTGGCATTTTCGTAATATTGAGAAAAGATGATTAAATCGTTCTCGCAATAGTAAGCTAGTATTCTTCCCAAGTAGTAAGCTGTTATATGTAATAATATGGTTTTTAGTTTGGAAGTGCCAGTCCGGTGGACAGTAATCAAGTAGATACATCTGAAACAGTCTATATATCATCATTGGCTTTACTCAAAATGTTGAAACATGGTCGTGCAGGTGTACCTATGGAGGTAATCATTGTACATTTTTCCATTTTTTTGAGTAAATCAATATGAAAGGATATGGAGCATTATTATTAATAATGAAAATTTTCAGGTTATGGGTTTAATGCTAGGAGAATTTGTGGATGAATATACAGTAAACGTTATCGATGTGTTTGCAATGCCACAGTCTGGCACGGTAACTTATTTAAGTCTTATTTTCGTAATAATGGAGGTTTTCCCATGAGTCAGAATCAATCGAGCGCTTAATTTTCCCTTCTTCTTTTTCTTTTTTTTTTTGCTTTGTATTAGCATATGACTGTTGTCAATAATTATAGGGAGTGTCAGTAGAAGCAGTGGATCCAGTTTTTCAAGCTAAAATGTTAGACATGCTGAAACAAACAGGACGACCAGAAATGGTCGTTGGATGGTACCATTCACATCCAGGATTCGGCTGTTGGTTATCAGGTGTTGATATTAATACGCAACAAAGCTTTGAAGCTCTTTCAGACAGAGCAGTTGCTGTGGTAGTCGATCCAATTCAGTCTGTAAAAGGAAAGGTTTGTTCAGTTTACACATATATGATTAATTCATTTTGAGAATTGTATTCGCATTCTTTGATAACCATTTGAACTGTCAATTGTATTAATATCAGTGATATTCAGGTAGTAATTGATGCATTTCGAACGATTAACCCACAATCTATAGCACTTAATCAAGAACCGCGTCAAACCACGTCAAATCTTGGACATTTACAAAAACCTTCTATTCAAGCATTAATTCATGGTCTCAATCGGCACTACTATTCAATACCAATCAATTACCGAACCCATGAACTTGAGCAAAAAGTATATTATTTATAATTTAATGGAGTTCACTGTTGTTAAGCATAAGTGCCTTTTTTGCACAGCATGTTTATGAAATTGTATGTTGCTGCATCAAGTATAAGCTCTCAGTAAATTGTTTTTCTTTTAGATGTTATTGAATCTAAATAAACAAACTTGGATGGATTCACTTGGCTTGGAACATTTCTCTGATCACTGTGAAAAAAATCAAGCATCCATGCAAAAAATGTTAAAATTGGCGAAGCTTTACAGAAAAGTTTGTTTTTATCATTATTTATATTTTCACTTTCCAATTTTTCTTTGCTTATTTAATCTACCATGAATCTTCTCGTTTCAGGATCTCGAAGAACAGGAAAAAATGACAGAAGAACAGCTTGCTGTTAAAAATGTGGGTAAACAGGATCCGAAGAGGCATTTAGGTGAAACAGTGAACGAAATGCTTGCTGACAATATTGTGCAAAGTCTTGCTTCCATGCTTGATACATCGTCTTTCCAATGATGCTGGTGCTATATTCCTTGCAGAAGTGCCAAAATGGTCATTGTGAGCAGATTAAAAACTAATATTTGTTTTGCTTGATACCTTTTTCTTACTATTCTCAAAAAACTGGGAGTAAAAAACCAATAATATTACTCTTTCAACATTTACCTTTTTTTCGAGATAATTAGGTTATTGAGGCTCAATGCTCACTTAACATTTAAAGTAGTACTAATAATAGATTTTCCGATTTCCTTCCGAAAATCAGGAAATCTTATTGTTGATTTTCATTGTACTGGTTGTTGTTGTTGCTGAAATTTTTGACCTCAAATACTTGATAAATGTCAAAAGTGTAACGATAGAGCTTTGAATAGCTGAATAACCTAAAAAATTGAACAAGTCTAAAGATTTTCTGCATAGGTACATGTTAAAGCTATGAAGTTTAATAAGATATGGAAACAGTTTATGCCCATTTGTTACAAAGCCATGTATCCAGTATGGCATTTTTTAAATTCTGTTTTCTATTTGCGCAATGTTTTATTTTAAAACTGTTTCCATTTTACCAATTTTTCTTTTTTTTTTTTTCTTTTGAATCAATAAAACTGTTCTATTTCTCTGTTCTTTGACATAAGAATACGCTTATCGTCAATTATGATTAAATCTAAAAATTATAGTGAAATCTAGCGGAACAATTACGTGAGTAAATAGCTTTAATTATTCGGGATTTCAGAGATAGATTATTTACTTGAACAGATCGAACATTCCGGTTGTTTTCGGGAAAAGCTAAATCTATCTCCATGAAATCATATATTGGTAAAATTCGTTAATTGTGCATTGAGATTGTCCGGTTTTTCATTCCTTTTGCATTTTTCCGATTTTTGAGAGTTTCTTTCTTTTGGACCTACGAATTGTTCTTCCCTTATTCTATAGCATTTGTCAATTTTTATCATTACTTTTACACTACATCTACATTTGGTTAAGATAATTGTGGGTATTAAAAGAAATATTTTATAAATATTTTCAAGAGAATCAAACTGTGTCAAAAAATCAAACATTTGCAGTGATGAAAGTAATCAAAAATATATTTCTATGTTGTATGAAGAAGAAATACTCTTTTATTATGTTAAAAAGATTCAAATTTCGATTCTAATTATTTTGATAGAAGATCTAACTTTCTTTTTTTTTTTTTCTCTGTTAATTAAAGCACAAAAATTTATAATAGCATAAATTTAGTTTTCAACTCAATTTGCAAGCCTAAATGGAGGAGATTAAAAGAATGGTCACTTGGCTACCAGTTTTAGGAAGATTTACTCGTGTTTCATTTATGGGTACTGGATTAACGGATGATCCGACAACGTTATTATCCGGTTTTACTGGTTTGATTATATTGATGATCCCAGGTTTGTTTATTTTTTCGTTGGTTAGTGGATTAATTAATAATATTACTTGTGAAGAATTTGCAATCTTTTTTTTTTATTTAATTCCATGTAAGTAAGTAATACTGGTTCAATTTGAATTGACAAAGTGATGTGATCAAATTGAATTGACCAATTTGTATAATTCATAAGTAAAAATATTTGAGTATAATTAGAGTTAAACAGAGAATTTATATTTCTTTTTTCCTTATTGCGAGATATTCTTTTCTAATATTTCCTAGTAATATTACATATCATAATTTTTTTTTATATTTAAATATATTCTATGTGTAGAATAACTTATGTTACATTTCTAATTGCAAAAATATCTTTAACTAATCATTATGCAGGTAATCCTGGAAATGAACAATTCTATGCGCATTTTGGGCAAACCATTTTGAGCAAAATCTCAAGAATTATGCAAATATCGAGGGAAAATTCTCTGTTTTGTACAATATCTCACCTGAATCATGTTCCTTTACCTGAAAAGTACTCGGAATTAAGCATTTACAGCTACGCTGGTACTGTTTTCTATTATTTTTTTTTTTATGATAATTAATTACAATTTGAACTTTTAATAACATTAGATATATTTCCAGTAGTACAACAACGTATTAGAGTAATAATAAAGCATTTACTCTGTTTAAAGATCATTAAGTGTAATAATTATTGTTAGGATTTATAATTGCTAGAAAAATTTTTAGAAATCAAATTTTACTATGAAACGTTTATTTAACAAAGTGATAAGTTTGTAAATAGTAATTCATCTTTTTTTTTTTATTCATTTTGTCTTTATTCTTTCTTTAGATCGTGTCTCATTAGTTGATCAAATTGAATATAAATTCAATTTTTGCATTCAATATTTACCTAAAACAGCAAAATTCATTCTCATTGGACATTCTATTGGTTCTTATCTAATGTTAAGGTTGGCATTTTATCTTTTGCACTTATTTTTGATCAAATTCAAAACATATTTGATATGATTTAATGAGCTTTATAGTAGTTCTTCGTGAAACACTCAAATAATTTATGGAATACTATGCAATTTTGGTAGATTCTATCAGTTATTAGGATAATCTATTAAAAAAATTTTTATTAACATTGGTCTAGAATTTAATACTGTCATCATTAGAAACTGGAAAAATTACAAATTTCAGGATATTACCTGATTTGCTGAAGCATAAGTTCAATGTTATTCGTTGTATAGCTTTATTTCCTACCATTGAACATATGGCAGAATCACCAAATGGTAAACGTCTTTTACCATGGCTAAAGGTTAATTCGTATAAAATTAATACCTGAATTTATTATTCGAAGAATAGGAAGAAATTTCATTATTAATTTTGGTTTTTTGAGTAATTTTATTTTTTATGATTTTAAAAAAAATTTTGTTTTTTTCAGTCGTTGCTTTGTTGAAAATGAATTTATTATTCGTAGTGATAATTTTTATTGATTTCACTCAAAATATTTAAAAAAAAAAAAAAAAAATGCAACAATTCGAATATGTTATAGAAATGTCGTAATTGGGATGGTACTGTACAGATGATGCTCTCCTGTCTGCGATATTTGCCTAATTCTGTAAAAGAGCGCATCTGTACTTTTCTTATGGGAAATGGTTGTAGGTATTTTCCACCTTGCATACTACAAAGTGCCATTGAGATTATCGATGTAAACGTTATTCGAAATATTATTTTTATGGCAGTGGATGAATTAATTACGGTTCATTTATTTATTTATTTATTTTCTGATTCATATTTGAAATTAACACATGTTTATAGCTTAAATTTTAGCTTCAACTTTAAACTTCAATTTTAACTTTAATTTCAAATGAAAAATGTATTCAATTTAGGTTTCAAACTTGGATGAATCCCTTCTGTACCACAGTAATCGTTGTCGTTTCTTGTATGGAACTGTGGATCAATGGTGTCCGTTGCGTTATGCTTTAGAAATGCAAAAAAGGCTTGGAAATGGTATTTTTATAATTAACTATTTGAAGTTTCATTATTTACATTAAAAAAAAAAAAAAAAATGATAGTATTAGTGCGCATAATGCTGAAAATTTTCACAGCCTGAAAAACTGATTAGGATATAAATATTTCATGCTTCAAATTAGTCTTGATTATCGCCGAAATTTCAAATAACCAAAATCATCCAAAATTTTATAAATCATTCAAATTTTTGTATGATTTTTAGATCTAGTTATAATTGACGACAAAAAATGCGAGCATGCTTTCGTGTTAAATCACGGAGAATTGGTCGCCAATGAAGTTGTAAAATGGATTACTGAATGTTATGACTAAATTTATATTTGAACTCAAATTATGTTTGATTTCTAAATATTTTAATGAATTTTTTATTTTGTTAGGTCTTGTAATAATGGCTGAATATGTACCAAAATTTTTCACTTAGGGAATTCCCTATTAATTACCTTAAATTGAATACTCTCCGAACCATACAGCCATTCCTGTAGATCACAGCAAGAGAATTTCGCCATTTGTTGATATTTCAATAAATTGCTATTTATTTCAAGAGAAGCAGTTAACTGATATGATGGCATCATGAAAATCATCGCCAATTTATTTGGAAATTTCTGAGCGATGAATTTGCTAAAATTTTAAAATCTAAAATTATTGTTCAACATTAGAATTAATCGTTTAAATCCAATTTCATTTGTTTTATCTTAATTAAATGCTTGAAAATACGGCTATCAATTCTGAGAGAAAATAAAATCCCTTGGAGAAATACACAAAATTGACCAATCATAAAATTACATCACAAGTTCTGGCCAAAGCTCAACAAATCACTGATATGTAATATCGCCACAAGCAATTGAGAGATAATTGTCTCTCTTCCTCCATCTTAAATTAGACTCAATTTGTAGCACATCTCCAATAAAATATTCCATTCAACAGAGTGAAATGTCACCTAAAAATGACATTACAATCAGTCCTCTAAAACATTTGTCCAATTTGGTCTTTTTCTTGCAATATATTTCCAATAATTTCAGATTGCTTTATTCTGATTAATTCAATTGTACAGGAAATATAATTAAGTAATGCAAACAAAAGAAGACAACAATTAATCGATTAAGAATTATAGGCAATATAATATGAAATAATGAAAGATAATTTCCATTTCTCAACACATCAAATTGTATTTAGAACAGCAAATGAAAACAGCACAAAGAATGAAGTATTTAATTACTTTGTAGCATCATAAATACAAGTCTAAACAATTCCAATTTAAGTAATTCAATCCGCTCGAAACATGTTACCATTTGGTCACAAATTACAAAAAAACAACATATTGTAGTGTCCATACATGCATACAATTACCGCTCTATTTAATTTCCATCACAGTGACAATTACATATAAAAATTGTTCCATTTCATTCTTTCACCGTGAAATGAGCTCACTGTTAACATGCTTTCGGTTCTTACAATGCATCTAATTATAAATATTACCCATGGATAGGGTAGAAAATGGTGTATAGATTGTAAACAAAACATACACAGGGAATTTACAACTTAAACAATAACTTTATTAAAATTGATCTGAATTTGAGTACACTAATCTAGAAATCCTACCTCGAAAAATTCAAATTGAGAAACTAATAACAATTCAAAAATACCAAATACCTAAATTTACTCAGAACACCATATCAACGTACTGTCCCTGTGATGCCATTGACGGACGAATGTTCTGACGATTTTGATGATGTACACCACGACCTCTTCCACTATGAGCGCCTCTTCCAGCTGTATATTCAAACAAACTTGTCTGAAAAAAAAAAAAAAAAAAATTCAAAAGAATTGAAATAGTCAGTATAAGAATAAGTTCGAAATCAAAAATTCGAAGTTTTATTGATCGAAGAATGGTATAAAATAAACCAATAAAATAACAAACCGAGATTGTGCTCATTAAGTCTTTAACATCAGCTGCCGGATGAGGCTGTGTGAAGAAAAACAAATGATCGAGAGCCTGTTCAGCGTCAAGACGCAGGGATGGATCCAGAACCAGGAGACTATCGATCAAATTCAAGGCATTTCGATCCTTGAAAAGAAAAAAATGGCTAACTCACGGGTTCCATTATTTATAATGTTCAAATCTGAGATATGCTGCATTTTATATAAAAATTCAAGACCTACTCTAACATAGGCTTCCAAGCGTTCAACCACACGACGATTTAGATTCTGTTGAAGCTCCATTTTGCTATAAAGCGGTAAGTTTTCGACACCTCTCCAGGTTTGCGGGTTGATACTTCCACAAAGATTGGATATCAACGACAACTGCTTTTGTTCACTTTCACCCTGAAATTCATTCTCCAGTTTCAGAACTACTTCAAGATAAATTTGGATCCAAAAACTAATGAATAAAGACACAGTTCAACATTTGGTTTTAGGAATTACGATATGACTTCAAGTGACTGCTCCAAAACGCTGTAATTCCGATAACATACTTGCAGAATAGGGGTACGTGTCCATAATTCAGCCATTATACAACCCGCACCCCACATATCGATTTGTGGACCATAATGACGCTCACCAAGAAGCAATTCAGGAGGACGGTACCACAAAGTCACAACACGATTCGTATAACAGTGCTCTGGTTGACCTGAAAACAAAATAGAAAGCTATATTCAACAACTCTTATCAAGTAACCATGATTGCAGAGGCTTTAACACTATCAAAAAGTTACACAGCAATCAAAATGTGCTGTTGTATAACTAATTGCTCATTGTGATAGCGATGATCAACCGCAACAACACAATATGAAATACCAGGTAATTTTGAAAAGAGAGGTCGCGCCAGACCAAAGTCCGCTAACTTCAATATGCCATCTTTTGTAATTAAAACATTTGCAGCCTAAAACATGGATAAAATTTCAACCGAAGTCAATATTCACTAATTTAAATTCACAGAATGTCCTTGCCAGCTTCTGTCTCGTAAAAATATGAAGTGTTGTTGACGCAGATATGTTTAACTTGAGCAGTCGAATAGATAAAGTTGCGTACGATGTGTAGAGAAATATAACATACCTTCATATCGCGATGCAATATTTTTGCAAAATGTATCTGATAAAGACCCTCTAACAAATGTTTCATCAATGTTTTGATATGTACCAAAGAAAGACGAACACTGGTATTTGACAAAAGACCAGCAAGATCATGCTCACAGAAGGAAAATACCAAATAAAAGGTACTACGCTCTCGATTATGTACTGATGCTGAAGTGAAAACATAAAACATAAAATTGCTGAAATTTTAAGTGACAATATGATAAAAACCTTCAAGTGAAAATTTATGAACAATATACCTCTGCTACTGCATATCTCTATCAATTCAGTAATATGTTTATGCTTTAGTTTCTGCAACATTTTCACTTCTCGTAAGGCTGTTATTGGAAACTGCAACAGTACAAAAAATCACTAACATCTCCTCTAAAAAAATTCAAAGTTCTAACTTACATTATAACGATACAAAAGTGGTTAGCAAGCAAATAAACTAAAAAAAAAAAACATACTCCTTCCTTCTCATTCTCCATTAAAATCTTCTTCAGAGCAACGATTCGACCCGTACGTTTACAACGCGCTTTGAATACTTCCCTTCAAGTAATAAGTACAATCGTCAAATTTTCATGAACTTGACTGTTTTGCTCGAAAAAAAGTTACCCGAATGTCCCTTGACCAATTTTTGCCAACTTTTCATAGTTAGTAACATCAGTGATGTATGGAAATTCAAATCTTTCCGTATATCTCATCAATTCAGGTGTCACCTAAAATCAAATAGCATCAAATTAATTTATTCATAAACTCTGTTCCATAGTGCAACTTAACCTATTCTACATTGAATGCAACAATATAATTTTATTATATGTGAATAAATAAAAATAACCTTTTGTCGATCCATTAATGCGAGATCTTCTTTTGATGGATGTAACATTGATGACGTGACTGGAATCGATGATGTACTGGCATTTGCGCCAAATGAATGAGACTGCTGAGGAAGATGATTGTTTTGCATTTCAGCCTAAATAAACTGAAATGCTATGGATGACTTATTATTTGATAAGTCATTTTTGAAAGTCACGTGTATGACGTGACAACGTCCGTATCACCTTGAGTACGAAACATACCAACGCTTAACCAACAATCATCAATCCTTCCTTCTTTATCGACTATCAGCGGATCAATGGCTATCAAACCTTAAAATCCAATAATACAGAACTCACATTGAAAATTGTCGTCTCTCAATATTTAATTAATCAATGATTAATTCAATAATTAATTTATAATAATTCAATTTTATAATAATACAAATTCAATAATTCAATAATTAATTTATAATGCTTAGTGATTGATGTAAAAAATTATCAAAAATATTTTAATATCCTCAATATTCCTCATTTATCCATCAAAACAGCATCAAAGGAACAGTACATTTCTCAATTTCAATTTCTTTTTTTTTTTTTTTTTTTTTACAATTTCGAGATACGATTTCTAAATTAGAATACTTAAATTCAGCTCATTTTTTACGATTTCTAAATTAGAATACTTAAATTCAGCTCATTTTTCACGATATCTAAATTAGAATACTTAAATTCAGGTCATTTTTAATAAATGGAAATTAAATAGAGCGGTAATTGTATGCATGTATGGACACTGTGTTTTTTTTTTTGTAATTTGTGACCAAATGGTAACATGTTTCGAGCGGATTGAATTACTTAAATTGGAATTGTTTAGACTTGTATTTATGATGCTACAAAGTAATTAAATACTTCATTCTTTGTGCTGTTTTCATTTGCTGTTCTAAATACAATTTGATGTGTTGAGAAATGGAAATTATCTTTCATTATTTCATATTATATTGCCTATAATTCTTAATCGATTAATTGTTGTCTTCTTTTGTTTGCATTACTTAATTATATTTCCTGTACAATTGAATTAATCAGAATAAAGCAATCTGAAATTATTGGAAATATATTGCAAGAAAAAGACCGAATTGGACAAATGTTTTAGAGGACTGATTGTAATGTCATTTTTAGGTGACATTTCACTCTGTTGAATAGAATATCTTATTGGAGATGTGCTACAAATTGAGTCTAATTTAAGGTGGAGGAAGAGAGACAATTATCTCTCAATTGCTTGTGGCGATATTACATATCAGTGATTTGTTGAGCTTTGGCCAGAACCTGTGATGTAATTTTATGATTGGTCAATTTTGTGTATTTCTCCAAGGGATTTTATTTTCTCTCAGAATTGATAGCCGTATTTTCAAGCATTTAATTAAGATAAAACAAATGAAATTGGATTTAAACGATTAATTCTAATGTTGAACAATAATTTTAGAATTTTAGCAAATTCATCGCTCAGAAATTTCTAAATAAATTGGCGATGATTTTCATGATGCCATCATATCAGTTAACTGCTTCTCTTGAAATAAATAGCAATTTATTGAAATATCAACAAATGGCGAAATTCTCTTGCTGTGATCTACAGGAATGGCTGTATGGTTCGGAGAGTATTCAATTTAAGGTAACTAATTGGTTCCTAATTACAAAAACTTTATCAGTTTGATCATTATCAGTTGATTTTATTTAGTTGTCAATGATTATTCTATTCAAGTAGGAATTTAATTTCTCTCCTAAATTTCACTCTTTGTGCAATTTGAAAAAAAAAAAAAAGAGACATAATCGAAAATGCGTATTATTTTAATTAAAATTACTTAATTGTAGTAAATTTAAATTGAAGTTTCCTTTGCAAATTTCTGTGTATATACTGATTTGATATTAAATTTTAACTTTTATAAATTATTCAATTTCAAATTCACTAATATTTTATTTTTGGGCATAATTTAGAATAAAATGTTTGAAATACTTCGTAATGATAATGTTTTTGTTCGTGATTGGCGTATATTAACAATGAATGAAAGCCGTCAAATATGTAATCAACGATGGAAACAACTTTTAAATTATAATTTTATCAAATTTGATGGGGTTTGTGGATTAATCTATTTTTCTCACATTACTTTTAATTTATTAAAAGATTTTGAAACATTCTTATGTATATTAAATTATTTTCCCTAATAATATAAAATATTTTATTTTTAAATTCTCATTTTCTTCTATTCATTGTATTAAAATGATATTTTAGCTTAAAACAAATCCTGAAAGATTTGTGGATTTTACGGAAGTGCTAGAAAGCTATGATCAAAGTTTAGCAACAAAATTTTATATCAATGCAATCTTTTATATCACAGTTTTATCAATGGGAACAAATCGTCATCAACAAATTCTCGAGAAATGCATGAATAATGAGGTCTTTACATCTCTTTCAATTCATCATATTTTGTTTACAAAACAAATTTTTTTTTTGGTTCAAATTCATTTAAATGCGTTATCATTCATAAAATTATTGTAAATGGCAAATATATTTACACAATTATCTATGCTATTTATTATTTTGATTTTGAATTTGTACTGAAATAAAGAATTAAAACAATTTATAATGAAATAAAACTGAAATTAACATTATTGATATTTGTGAAAGCAATAAATTAAAGATTGTTGGTTGTTTTTGTTTAACGGAATTGTCGCATGGCTCAGATGTAAATTCAATCCGTACTGAATGTCATTATGACAAAGGTCAATTCGTAATGCACACACCGGATGATGAAGCAATGAAATGCTGGGCCGGAAATTTAGGTTCATCTTCTGTCATTATTATTATTATTATTATTATTATTATTATTTGTGAAAGAATACGAATAACAAAAAAGAAAATTTCCACTACCAATTAATTATATATTATTATCAGTTATCATTTATCACTTATCATACTTTATAGCAATAAGATAATATTCATTACTTACTTTTATTGCTTATTTCCTAATCAATAATCTCCTGGTAATATAAATAATCATTGCATTAGTGATAATAAGATTATCAGTAATAATCATTATTTTTGATAATTTTTTTCTCCTCTTCTTTTTTCAATTTTCTAATTTTTCATTTTTATTTATTTATTTTTTTTTTTTTGTTCGAAATTAAATCTTTCAATTAATCTTTCTTTTTTTTTTTTTTTTTTCATTAATTTTTGAATCTTTTAATTAAACCTTTCATTTTAATTAAATCTTTCATTTTAAAAATTTAAAAAATTTTTTTAATTAAATTTTTTATTTTTTAATTTTATAGCTATGAATGCAACGCATGCAATTATTTTTGCACAACTTTACATCAATCATGCATGCTATGGTTTGCATGCATTTTGCATGCAAATTCGTCATTTTAAAACGATGAAACCTTTGAAAGGTATCACAATAGGTGATATGGGTGAGAAGATTGGTGATTGGAATAGTATTGATAATGGTTGGATTAAATTTAACAAACATCGCTTTCATTTGAATGCATTATTAAATCGATTTGCAACCGTTCATCCGAATGGTACTTATCAATCAATTTTTAAGGTAAATAAATTTGTTTATTTTTCAATTACAAAAAAAAAAAAATTTCATTTTTATATTTAAATATAATATTTATTTATTATCAATTTTTTGTAAGGAAAAAATTTTTTTCATCTTTCTTCTTCTCATTTTTTTTTTTGTCAACAGACTATCAAAGAGCAACAATTAGCAAATCTATCAATTCTATCTATTGGACGCGCAACTGTCGTCGGAAAAGGCATAATGGCAAATCGACTTGCTGTAATCATAGCAACACGTTATTCAGCTATTCGAAAACAATTTCGTATGGCTAATCAAACAGGTTATTAGCAACAACAATAACAACAAATTTACTCCTTTATAGCATTTGAAAATTTAAAAAATTAAAATTGAAATAAAAAAAAAAAAAAAACTTTTGATAATAATTAATTTAAATAATGCTTCATAAAAATTTCTTTCATTGAATATTTTAATAAATTTTAACGTATATTTTTTACCATTTGATTGTAGAATTTAACTAATTACATATCATTCATATACTATTTCAACTATTTTGATTCATATAATTTTAAATTTTTTACTTAATCTGCCATTTAAATTTAAAAATTCAAAATTTAATAGATAATTTGTCTCTTCTTATATATCACTTTTTTTCCATTATTACTAGTATCATACTATTTGATTGATATTTTATCGATTTTAATTTTTAAATAATTTTAAATTTTTTGCTTAATTTGCTTATTTAAATTTAAAAATTCAAAATTTAATAGATAATTTATTTCTTCTTGTATACATTTTTTTCATTATTACTAGTATCGTACTATCTGATTGATATTTTATCGATTTTAATTTTTAAATAATTTTAAATTTTTTGCTTAATTTGCTTATTTAAATTTAAAAATTTAAAATAGATAATTTATCTCTTCTTGTATATTATTTATTTATTTATTTATTTTTTCATTATTACTAGTGCCATACTATCTGATTGATATTTTATGATCTTATAGAAGAGCAATCAATTATTGAATATCCGATGCAACAGCGCCGAATTTTTCCACATATTGCGACATCAATAGCTTTGACAATTTTTTATCGCAAATTTATTTCAATTTGTTATAAGCATTTTATTTATTGTACAAAAAATGAAAAACTTCCATATGATGTTTGTTTGTTTGTTTATTTGTTTGTTTGTTTGTTTTTTAAATTACTGTTTATTTTATAATTTCCATTAAATAAAAAATTTTTTCAAATTTAAATTTTTTTTATAAAAAATTTTCTTTCATTAATCATTTTATTTATAACAAAGATAATATAGCAATAAATGTTGCTTTATTATTTTATTTATTATTGCTATCATTATTGTTAGGCTTATTTTATAATAATTTATTCATATAGTTATTAAAAAAAAAGAAAATTGAAAATATAAAAATGATTTAGCGTTTTTGTAAAATATATTCTAAAATAGAGAAATTAAAAAAGGAAAAATTTAATAATTGAAATTTTATAGTTGATGTTATCACGAGAAATACAAATTCTTAGTTGTGCAGCAAAAGTATTATCAACAGAAGAAGGTGTTAATGCTTTAGATGATGCTCGTCTTGCTTGTGGTGCATATGGGTTTGCTAATATTTTATTTTATTTTTAAAATTTTAATTTAAAAAAAAAAAAAAAAAAAAAAAAAAACCGAATTAGTTAAATTATTAGATATTATAATTTGATTGGATAATTTTTATCAGTTAGATGCATTTTTTTTTTTTTTTTTTGACTTAAAAAAAAATTAATCTTAAAATTTAATCAAAGAGTTACAATAAGATTTAGTTAATATTATACTTTAATTTCTAGTCATTAAGTAATTTTAAAATTTCAAAAAATATTCCATATTTTAATACAAAGCAAAGTATTGTTTCATTATTTTGAATTTTAGAAGAATACCTTCAATTATTAATCAACCAATGAAAGTTTAATTTTTTAATTTTTTTAAGATTTTTGAAAAGTTCAAGATTGAACGATCTTCGCAATGCTTTTGATCCAGCACGAACTTTTGAAGGTGACAATAATATTTTAATGCAACAAGTAACTTATGCATTAATTTCATTGTATGACGAAAAGTCATATAATTGGAATGATTCGCCTCTTCGAAGTTTGACTTTTTTAGCAATGAAGCCGAAAAAATTCTCAACCTGGAATGATGATGCCTTAGAAGGTTTTTTCTTTTTACACTATTTTTCACTTTAAAAAAGAAAAAAAAAAAAAAAAAGGAAAATTTGAAAAAATAAAGTTCTTTCAAAATTTCTTAAGGTGACAAAATTATTTGGTGACAAATACTTAACGAATTATTAATAGTATCAGCTTCTGAATTTTATAAATAAATGATATGATTTGAAATATTTCGATTTCTATTTAGAGTTTTTTTTTTCCAATTTATTTTAATTCTTTGTTTTAATTACTTTATTAAAAAGTTTAACAGCAACTTATCATTATGATATAACTGTTAATACTATATTTGGCATTTAATGATAAGATAAAATGTTATCAATATATTATCTTTTCTTTATAATTTACAGATATTGCAAATGCGTATGTTTGGCTGTTACACTTTCTCATATCAAAGGTTAAAGATGATATCAGTGATAAAATTAACCAAGGCATTGATAAGCGACAAGCACAGAGTGAACAATACAAAATGATCACATATGCTTATTGTGAACTAACCATACTGAATGATTTCCGGAATTCTTTACAAAAAGCTCCGGAATCTATCCGAGAAGTTTTACATCGTTGTGCTCTTCTGTACGCTTATAGCTCCATTGATAAGCATATCGCAACGTTTTACATTGGTTAGTTATCAAAGAGTTAATAATTATTGATTAGCAAATAGTAAACAATATAAAAAGTAAACAAGGTAAAAAATAAATTATATAAAAAGTAAACAAGATAAGAAAATAAACTATATAAAAAGTAAATCAAGTAAAAAGTAAATTATATAAAAAGTAAACAAGATAAGAAAATAAACTATATAAAAATTAAATCAAGTAAAAAGTAAATTATATAAAAATTAAACAAGATAAGAAAATAAATTATATAAAAAGTAAACAAGGTAGAAAGTAAACGAGTATATTTTTACATTCCATATTAATTAATTTGAAATTTTTAGGAAAATTAATCAAATGATAATAAATTAAATTTTCAGGTGGTTATTGTAATAATGGACAATGGGGTAATACGATAAAAAAACGTTTTCGTAAATTAGAAGCAATGATTCTTCCTGATGTTATTACAATATGTGATGCTTTGTCTCTGCCGGATTTCTTTTTACATTCCGTATTAGGTTTAAGTGATGGGCAAATTTACCAAAATCTTATCCAATATTTCATGCAATTTCCTATTGAATCATCAATTGATAGCAATAATAGTGATAATAATGATAATAATAACAATATTAATAATCAATAACTAATAATATAATAATAATTAGTATTAATAATTAACATAATTAATGATACAATAATAATTAATAATAATAACTAACATAATTAATAATATAATAATAATTAATAGTAATTAACAAAATATATACGAATAATAATAATAACTAATATAATAATAATTAATAGTAATTAACAAAATATATAGAATAATAATAATAACTAATATAATAATAATTAATAGTAATTAACAAAATATATACGAATAATAATAATAACTAATATAATAATAATTAATAGTAATTAACAAATATATACGAATAATAATAATAAAATAATAATAATTAATAGTAATTAACAAAATATAGAATAATAATAATAACTAATAATAATAATTAATAGTAATTAACAAAATATATAGAATAATAATAATAATAATATAATAATTAATAGTAATTAACAAAATATATACGAATAATAATAATAACTAATATAATAATAATTAATAGTAATTAACAAAATATATACGAATAATAATAATAACTAATATAATAATAATTAATAGTAATTAACAAAATATATACGAATAATAATAATAACTAATATAATAATAATTAATAGTAATTAACAAAATATATGCGAATAAATTATGCTAAGCATAATATAATGAAATGATTAATTCAATGACAAAAACTAATTTTTATTGTAATTTTTAAATTTTATTAAACTCAAAATTTTCTTAAATTTTAATTGATGATGGAATTTGAAATTATTAATGAATGCAATTGTAAGGAAATATTATTGCATGAAAAGTATTTGATTCAAAGAATGTAAGCATAAAATTAGATATTATATTACAATTCAATTATCTAATTTAATTAATTTTCTATTACATAAAATATTATATTAAATAAATAATTTAGCAGTAAATCATTTTTTCAAAGATTCATTCATCACTTTTGCTTCTTTTAAATATTATATTACAATTCAATTATATAATTTAATTAATATTTCTTTTGCATAAAATATTATATTAAATAAATAATTTAGCAGTAAATCATTTTTTCAAAGATTCATTCATCACTTTTGCTTCTTTTAAATATTATATAACAATTCAATTATGTAATTTAATTAATATTTCTTTTGAATAAATAAATAAATAATTTAGCAGTAAATCATTTTTTCAAGATTCATCTCTTTTTCTTCTTCCAAATCGCAATATTTAGCAATGTAAGGCCAACCTAATTCTATCGTAGTTAATTGTCGACGACAGTGCAATGGTATCGTTGATCTGTAATAAAATATAGTATAATTACACTAAATTGTGTAATCAATTAATTATATACTTAATTTATTTTAATTTCAATTCCAACTTTAATTTCAATGATAAAATTGTTGAGATTAATTAATTATGCTTTATTAATTTAATATAAATTAAAATATTTGATAAAACGTTATAAAAAAAGTTATAAATCTCTTTATTTTTCACATTTGCTAATGGTATATCCACGACAAATATATGTTTATGTTCACGTTTACGCTTACGTTTATGACGTAAAACTTACGCATACCAACTGCTCTTAACAAGACATCGTGGACATTTGACATGTAAAGCAGTTGAGAGGATAGTTTGATTTATGTAATACCTTGCAAGCATTTCATTTGTTACTTGAGGTGCCTTAAAAATTAATTTTTTAAATTTAAATCAAATTTTTTCTCCTTTTTTTTTTTTTTTTTAAGGCTAAACTGCTAGTTTTTAAAAAATTAGATGAAATTAATTTTGCATTGAATTAGAATAATTAAACCATATACGCTTAACTTAATTACTTAATTTAATTAAAAGGAAATGAAGAAAAATGATTGTAATCAAATATAAACTCATAAATTGATTTTTTCTTTTTCTGTAACTTAAACAAATTTATTATTATTATTATTATTAATTTTTTCTTTCTTTTTTAAATGTAATCTCAGATAAAAAGTAATAAATTAAAAAAAAAAATTTTTTTGAGATAAAAAAATAATTTTAAATCAATCTACAAATGACTTCTTAACTGCTTTCTTAAATTCATATTTACCTAAAAAACAAATAATTTCATTTACAAATATTATTTGAAAATGAATAATAGAATATTTAATCAGAAATGAATAATAGAATATTTTAATCAGAAATGATAAACTAACACGAATAGTTGTTTCAGATGTAATATATTCATAAGGCATTGGTGCACCAAATAAGCCACCACAACTTGCCGGTGATATGCGCTCGTTATCATAAATTTTTGATGGTGCACCTTCCAATAATGATTTATGACACGGTAACTAAATAATTAATTGGAATTAATTAAAGTTAATTTAAAATTATCAAATCTTTATTGTAAAATTTTTAAAATAATAATATAAAAAATATACAAAAACCCAAAAAAAAAAAAAAAAAAAAAAGGAAAAGGTTAAAAAAATTTAAATTATCAATATATATATATATATTTAGTTTATTAATTGAAATCAAATTTTAGTTTGTTATTAAATTATAATTAAACATTTTGTCACAACAAAATTTTTTATTATAAAAAATATAAAGTAGTGAAAAAAAAAAGTAAAAGAAAATGAAAGAATTAAAATTAAATTGGCATATTTAATTAATCAAAAAATCATTATATATATATATTTAGTTTATTAAGTAAAATCAAATTTATTTTATTAATTAAAATCAAAATTTATGCTTTTATTTAGCTTATTATTAAATTTTTTTTTTGATTAATTTTTAATTCTTTCAAAAATCAAACATTTTATCACAATAAAATTTTTTATTAATAAAAAATGTTAAGTAGAGCAAAGAAAAATAAAAAAAATATGAAAGAATTAAAAATTAAATTGACATATTTAATTAATCAAAAAATCAATATATTTATTCATATTTATTAATTAAAATCAAATTTACGCTTTTATTTAATTTATTATTAAATTAAAACTAAACATTTTATCACAATCAAACTTTTAATTAATAAAAATATGAAGTGGTGCAAAAAAAAAAAAAAAGAAATTAAAAGAATATGAAAGAATTAGAATTAAATTCAATAATTAATTAATCAAAAAAAAATATCAAATTTAATTATTAAAATACTTTTATACCATATGTATTTTATGAACACATCTTGTTGAATTTGTTAATGTTTTTTGCATTGTCCATATTTGTGCACCTTTACCGTAATGATTATTACATAAATCCTAAAATAAAATAATAAATTATTATTTTAAACTTTTTTTTTCTAACATTCATTTTAGCATAATAATTAATTATTATAAATACAAAAATTAACATTTAATTAAGTATTAATTGCCAGAAATTGAAGCAATTTAATATTAATTATTAATTAATTTCATCTCAATTTTAAATTTATATTATAATACTAGATAAAAATACTAAATATTAAATTCTATCTTAATTTCAATTTTTTAATTTCTAATTTTTTAAATTTTAACTTTTTCTTTTAATCATAATTTGATCTTTTTAATTAATTTAATTAATTTTTATGCTAATTACATAGTTCATTTGTTCTGGTTTCTCCCAAATAGGTTCATAATCGCATGTGTAAAAGTTCAATTTGTGTTGCTCACTTCTTTTCCAATTATTTTCAATTTTTGCTATTTCCATTTCTTTCTGCAATTATTTCAAAATAAAACTTTAATAAATTTATATTATTAAAATTTAGGTAAATAATTTTTAATTAGAAATAATTTAAAAAGTTTTAATTAGATCACAGAAAATTATCATATTAAATAATTTTCAATCAGAAATAATTTAAAAGATTTTAATTAGATCGCAGAAGATAGAAATAATTTAAAAGATTTTAATTAGATCGAGAAATAATTTAAAAGATTTTAGATAGATCATAGAAGATTATTAGATTAAATAATTTTTAATTAAAAATAATTTAAAAGATTTTAATTAGATCATAGAAGATTATTAGATTATCAGATTATTGAAATATAAAGTTGGAAGATAAATTGAGAATTATTAAATTTTGTTGATATATTTGATCAAATATGAATGATAGTAATGTAATAAATATTTTAACTATTTTTTGTTTTAATGAAAAATTACTGATAATTAAAATAATTACAAATATTAATTAGATATTAGATAATTATTAAAAGAAGAAACGATTTTTTTTTCAAAGCTAATTAAATTTGAAAAAGTTATTTATTGTTAAACTAAATGTCAATTTGAATTTTAATTTTATAAATTCGAATTTTTGATTTCTTTTTTTTTTAAATTAAAGAATTGTGATATATGAATGAGGATTGAGACGTAATATCTACCAGTATCTATTGTTCCACCTATATCTGATAAATCTGCTCACGTATATATGCGTCTTTATTCACGTATATACGTCTATATTTACGTATATGCATTCCTTCTATAACTTATTCCCAATATCTTTCTCACTTATTTATCATAAATTAGTTTATTTATTTGTTTATTTTTTCTTGAAATCTATAAATATAAAAACTAATAACTGATCTTACTAATTTCTTGATTTTGACTAAGTAAACTAATTGTAATCTATAAATTTACCTATAAATTAATCACTTACCTATAAATATCAAACTTATTATGCATACAGCATCATAAAGTTAATTTACTTCAAATTCTATGCTTTAAACTGAACAGCAAAGTATTTTAGCATAAAAATAATTTGTAAATAATATTAATTGTTTATTTAATAAGAGAAAATGCTTATGGTATAATATATAAAAGTTCACGTTTCAGTTTTTTTTTTTTTTTTTCGCAACATACGTGAATATTTTACGGAAAAAACATTATTAATTAAAATGATTACTCAAATAATTTAAATAAGAAATAAAGTTTGATAAAGAAAAACTAAAATATTTCGTTGCATTATTAGTAACTATAATTTTGTCAATAATATTTTTAATTAATATATTATACTTTTAATATTTCAAGTATTATTTATTATTTAAGAATTTCTTTTGATATTTTATCAACGATGAATTTTTACTAAATTACAATATATGAAAGATCAGATGGGACTAATGCAACTTTTAACAGGAAAAATCATTTGCATCAGTGTATTAACAAATTAATAAATTAATTTTTTTCATAAAAATAAATTTCATAAAAAAAATTTCATAAAAAAAGAAAGGACACATAAAATGAATAAAGCCTAAGTTCTATATGGCGCAAATTTCTCATTGCGCATAAGTTTTATATGGTGCAAATTTCTTATTGTGTTTAAGTTCTATATGGCGCAAATGTCTCATTGCACGTAAGTTTTATATGGCGCAAATTTCTTATTGTTAAGTTAATTACAAGAAAAAAATAAGTACAAAATAAATTAGTGGCTGAAAAAAAAAAGCTATAATAAGATCAAAATAAGCATAATTTAAAACAGTTTGTTAGATAATTCAATGCAGTTTCCATATATTCAACAAATAAGAATTTGTGAACTAAATTAAATTCAAAACTACTTAAACTGAACTAAATTAACTGAACTAAATTAAATTCAAAACTAATTAAACTGAACTAAATTAAATTCAAAACTAATTAAAACTTCTTAATTAGTTTTTAATTGATTTTAATCGATTTTCGATTGATTTTTCCATCAATATTGCTTTATCTGTATGATATATAAGTCACACATTATTAAAAAACAAAAAGTTACTAATTGTAATTTCAGATTTATTAAAAAAATAAACAAATAAATAAATAAATAAACGAACTATTTCATTTCGAGAAAGCCAAAAGAATAGAAGTAATATTAAAATAAGACTGATGAGAGTAAGAAATTCGAACAAAAGTACAATATAACATTGTTTACGACGTAAAATATAGCGTAAAAAGCGTTCTTGTCGACTACGTCGAGATGATGTTGATTTGGTTTTCTAAAAAAAAAAAAAAAAAATATGATAAAATTCAAATATGCATCTAAAATATTTCGTTTATTTTTAATAATTGAAAAGATTTGTAACAATTTTCAAGAAAAGAAAAATTTAAAAATTATGCTAAAATTTTATTATATTAAAAAAGAAAAGATATGATAAGATATAATGATTAAAATGATAAGATTGCAATATTATCAAATATAACTGATAAAAATTATAAATTATCACTGTGTTATCACTAATTTATAGTTGAAATGTAAATTATATAACATTTCATATCAGTTAACTCGAGAAAAAAAAAAATAAAAATTACAATGAAAGCCATATTTCGACCAGATTCCTTGTTGTTTACAACAAACAATGATGCATTCAGTTAGTAAAATGATAAATGATAAGCTAATTTAACAAAATGATAAATATCTATTTGATAAATATTTTTTTGTCATTTTTTTTTTTTTAATTTTGTTGTTTTTTAAATATGAAATATCAAAAATGAAATTTATAAACAAAAGATATTAATAAGAATTGTGTATGTATTTATTTATTTTTTATTATATTTTTTTTTATTATATTTATTTTTTTATTGTATATATACATATATTTTTATTATATTTGGTAAATATATCATTTTTTTTTATTTTCTTAGCTAAATTATTTCACAGAATCAATATGTTTCTCATTTCATTGATAAATTCATTTCCAATAATATTTTTGAAATTTAATTCCGAAATTCGAAATAATATTTATTTTTGAATTATTTATATTGAAATTATAAAATTATTTTTCATGAATTTATTCATTACTTATTTTTTTTTTTGTCATATTTGCATTTCGTACTTAATATTTAAATTCAAATTAATTTTCTTTTCAAACTCTCATCATTACAAATAGAATAACTAATAATTTTGCACATCTGATTCATATTCTTATAAATTCTTTATCTATGATTTAATTATTACTGTTACTTAGTATTTTTAATTTCTATTCTAGCAAAGATAAAATTTAAAATTACATTCATACGTAAATTCCTGAGATATCAATAAGCTTTTTAATGTTTTTTCATTTAATAAAAATTTGAATATTATCAGAAACAAATTTTATGATAACATAATCGCTTATCAGATCTATTTTTCAGTCTGATAACAGTGAATTTCTCGCATTGAATTCAGAAATTCACAATGTAAAATTGATAGCACAGTGTAAATGAATATTTTGCTCCATTAATCGATTTGAATTTTAATAACAAATATTTAATTATTATTGAATTTTTTTTTTTTTTTGACATTCAGTATCCAAAGATTATGCATCAAAAGTTATTGCTTTTGCTATTTAATCAAGTGAAATTAATTAAAATATGATTATTTGAATTATTAATGAAGTTACAGAATTAAAATTCATCAATACCATAAAATTATTTTGAATTTATTTGATTATGAGTTTTAGAAGCAATAGTAATATTTTGCAGTAATAAATTCATTATTTATTAGCTAATTTGATCTTTTTTTTTCTTAACTTTTAATTCTCAATATAACAAATAGATTATTATTAGAGAAATTTTTAACATATTAATTTAGTATGAAATAAAAAAGCAAAAGAAAAAACAAGAGTATAATATAAGAGGAATAAACTTATATTTTTATAAATGAATTACTCTTATACTAAACGATAAAAATTTTTATCGAATAATTATTGTAAATAAATACTTTTTAACATCACTTTCACTCTATTTGATATAATATCAGAAAAACTGCAAGTGATGATACTATGATAACGATTAGATTAATTAATCTGTCACATCATTTTACTGAATTACTCAAAATTAATCTGTCACATCATTTTACTAAATTACTCAAAAACACTGCAACTAAAAGTAATGATTAGATTAATCTATCATTTTATTAATGCTAATAGTATTAATGACAGAACTGTTTTAGATAAATGATATTAGCGCAAAAAGACAATCCATTAATCAAATTAGCCAATTGCGCCACCATCTCGAATCACTCAAATATGAAAAATGGAACTGTTTTTCCCTTTCACAGCACAGTTCTTAGCATGCAACGAATATGCTACAATTTTATTTAACACAAGAGAAAAAATCCGCGGTTTATGGGAGATAGCGGGGGATGAGATATAGTAGGCGTAAGTATTTATATTTTATTTCTGTTAGGTAGTCTAGATAATTATATGGAATTAAGATTGAATTATTATTAAATATTAAATTATTAAAAATTGACAATGAAATGGAAGATGAAATGAAGAAATGATTAAATATCAACAGATAACAATGATAGTAATGACTGAGATTGCAAAGAATATAAATATTTTCAAGTTTTTTTTTTTTTCTCTTTTTAAATTATTATGTTTATTTTATTCATGATTATTATTTCAGATTGCTTGAATTGACAATTTCTCAAAATAGCCATTTACATTGACGAGTAAAATGGCGTTACAGGTAGTAAAATGTCGTCCATCATGGACACTTATTATGGCTAGCAGTACTGATCAAGGTCCATCATTTATACAGACACGTCTTTTTCAACGTTCTCATAGTTCTATTGCACCGAGGAAGAATTCCGTTAGTTATTCATACATTTTTTTTTGTTTAAATCTTCTATTTGTTTACATCTTGCTTTATAGATTTTATTTTTCCCATTATTAGTATAAAATTATGTCGTTTGTAAATAGCTGTAAACAATTTTGTTTGTTTTATTCTGTAGATTGAAAAATATTCTTGATATTATAACTGTTTCAATTGTGTGGAATAGTCGTAAAAAATGTTTAATTTTCAGCAAACTATAGTGATATTCACTGATCTTTTCTCTTTTTAGAAATTTTCATCTATTTTTTGCAATATTTTAGTTGTCAAGTTGCAATGAAAAATCTGGGTCACAACAGTCCAAGCCAATTCTTGTCGGAAGTCGGAAATCAGACCCGGAATTAGTGCGGAACGAGAAAAAATATGCTCCAGTTATTTTGAAGCAAACAAGATATTTGCCGACAGAGACTAAGTTCACATCTGGAATTCTATCTTCTACAGCTACAGCACGAAAAGCTAAATTACGAAGTTTCATTGATATCGTGCCGCCTGCGCCAATAACTATTCCGAATTTACCAAAAGATGAAACGGTATTTTTGGATTATATATTTTCCTAAAAATTTGGCCTTCTTGAACTTTATCAGTCTCTTCTAGTATCTTCAAAAGAGTAGGCTAATCAGTTGATTTCATGCAAAGCAGACTATTTTTCTGTGATCTGAATCATTTTTTAAGGATTTTTTTTTTTAGGTATTGTATTATTCCTAGATATCGTTAATAGCAATCATTTCAGGATGTTATTGTTGATCTAAACAAGGACGACGTTTCACGGATTTTAGAGAATTTTGCTAGAAAACCTTTAGTTCGGGAATTATCTGAGCAGAACAACGTAAATAGGAAAATGTTCCATGCAGCATACAAGTTTGTTCATTGTTTTCATATCTACGGAAATAGTTTACCAGGAAATATGTAGTACATTTTCCTATTTCATTAAATTAAAAAGTAATTGAATTATGGGATTTCGTTACTAAAAAAGCTTTTTTTAGAAGCTTTCGGAACTACTGCTTACATGCATCACCGCTAGATCCCTGTATTGCTATTGTAATCAGTGATATTCTCAACAAAGGTAAGTATTTGCTTCACTTCCATTAATTGAGAATATTTAATAATAGTTAATAAAGAGCATTGCATTTTTTATACAATATTACTATGTCAACAATTTGTTTTGCATATTAGATTCGTTTTTTGGTTGGTCGAAAATTTGCATTCTGCTGATAGCGGTAGAAAACATGATTCTGCTTAAATGATTATCTTCAGCACGTGATGTCGATAGTTTATATCCGTATTTCATTGACCATGCCAAAAGGGTATATCCGCATTTGGAGTGTGAAAAGGAGTTGAAGACCCTAAGTGATCTAACTAAACCGTATAATTGGTATCCAAAAGCTAGGGAGTTATTCAGAAGGATACATTTTCATGCAGGTCTCATAATTTGTATTTTTTTAAATGAAATCAACGAAATAATTCAATTGCTTTTCGGTTTAAATGAATAGGGGAAATTTAAAGATTCTCTGGATGAGACAGAATTATTTTGTAGCTGTTTTTATGATAGTTTTTAAGAGAAATAATGTTATGTTACTGTTGGATATATGACTATACATGTAACAGATGATCTCTAAATAACTAAAGGTTGGAAAGAACTGCTAAATATGTGATTAATATGATTTTCATAATTAATTATACTTTATAGGACCAACTAATAGCGGCAAAACGTATGAAGCATTGCAGCAATTCTATCAAGCCAAAACAGGTTTTTATTGTTGTCCGTTAAGGTTACTTGCCAACGAGGTGTGTGAAAAAACTAATGAAAAAGGTTTGTTATCATTTTGAATCCTCTTTTTCTTTCTGTTTCCTTTAAATTCATATTTGCAAATTAAAATTTCAATCATTTTAAGGCATCAAATGTGATATGATTACGGGTGAAGAACGGCGATATGCAATTGATGCTGATAACCCTTCATCTCATGTTGCAATGACTGTTGAAATGGTTCCTGTTGATGTAAATGTTGAGATAGCCGTAATTGATGAAATTCAAATGTTACGTGATCAGAGTCGTGGTTGGGCTTGGACAAGAGCTTTACTTGGTATTGCTGCAAAAGAGGTTCTCTTTTTGACATTATTCTTATCTGTTTCTTATTGAAATATCTTCAAAGCTTTAACTCATGTTTTACATTACTTTCGTTATAATTAATGTGTTTATTGAGTTGTATGGACTTGAATCTTTTTTTGTATGAAAATGATTGATTTTTGTTTTTAGAGTTGAGGATTTTCGTTTTTTTTTGATAGGAAAAAAAATTTAAACTAACAAAATAATTTCTTCTTTTAGATTCATCTTTGTGGTGAAGAAGCAGCAGTTGATATTGTACGCAGTTTGTTAGATCCTATTGGAGAACATGTAGAAGTGCACCGTTATGAAAGGAAAACTCCTCTCAATGTGAATAAAGAGGCCTTAAAGAAGCTTAATAATGTTAAGGTTTGTTATATGTATCGTTACGTTACTTATGCTAAGATAAAATTCTAGTCATTAGCTAGTATTTGATAATTGAATTATTACATTACTACAATTTTCTAAGCTTGTAGCTGAACTATATATTTCTATAAATGAATTTAAAATTTAGTTTTGATATTTTTGAATCTCTTTCGTCTTTTTTTTTTTTTTTATTTGGGACAATGGTTTTATTTCAGGATGGTGATTGCTTGGTATGCTTTTCGGTTTCTATGCTATTTTCAGTAGCTAAAAGCCTAATGAAATTGGGCGTACAACCAACTGTGATATATGGAGCATTGCCACCATGGACAAAATTGAATCAGGCGAAAACATTCAATGAAATGAGTCGTAAGCCTAATGTAATGGTTGCAACCGATGCTGTTGGAATGGGTCTTAATTTAAATATACGCAGGTTTTGTTGCTTTTATGTGTTACAACATTTTTTCAATAATATTTGAGTATTTATTTGTTTGTTATATATGTTTCAATCTGTAATAAAACGCGTAATCTTATCAATTGCACATTTGAATTACGACTTTTTATCACTTTTTTGAAGTACTGCAATTTTGAAGATATAAATTTAAATTTAAACACAAATTACTCATCATTTGTGAATGTTGATAAGATGAAGATAAAATAGCTATTAATGAAATATTTAGAATCATATTCGTACAATTTCCATTTGGTGAACATCAAGCAAACTATCATGTAATGCAAGTAGCTGGACGTGCTGGTCGTTTTCAGTCTGCCTATCAGAAAGGATGGGTCAGTATATTGTTGTAATAGATTTGATCAGATTTAAAATTCATATTTTTTGGAAATTGTTTTTGAAAATTTTTATTACGCATATTTTTGAGATGCAATAGATGTATATTTAATTTAGGTAACAACTTTACGACCAACAGATATGCGATTGTTGGAAGCATTTATGAAAGAACCTATTAAACCTATTGAAACTGCTGGCATTGCACCAACTTCTGAGCAGGTAGGTACCTTTTTTGATAGCTGTAAATTAACATTCATAATAATTTATGCGGTTTATTTCTTTGCAGTTGGAAACCTTTTCATATCATCTGCCTCATGCTTCATTTCTCAGTATCATTGATATGTTTATATCAATCAGTTCTCTAAGCAAAAAATTCCATCTATGTGATATTGAACAATTTCGAAAACTTGCAGAACTTATAGATGACGTTCCATTGAGTATAAAGGTAAAATTAAATGTTTGTTTATTTATTTATTGCGTATATTTTTAAATTTTGATGTAGCATACTTTTTAACCACTTCTCTTTTTCTTTTTATATATATACAAAAATTTGTTGAAAAGGAAAGAAAAATTGAAATTTTTATTCGAGTTTTTTTTTTTTTTTTTTTCAATTTTTTGTTTATTTATTTGAGTTGTTTCAGGTCAAATATGCTTTCTGCACTGCTCCTGTAGATATGGATGTAGATAATGGTGTTGCCCGAGCATGTTTTGTTCGTATAGCTCGGAGGCAAGTTTAAACTTGTGTCACATTTTGCTTCATATTCTAATTTTGCATGAAATTGTAGGAAATGTTGGAGAAAAGGTTTTGTCATTTTATTGTTTCTTATTTGATTATTAAATCTTGGTTTCAGATTCGCTGAGGGTCAAGCAATAAACTACAATTGGTTTTGTGAAATAATACAGTGGCCGTTACCTAGACCGACAAGTATTACAATGCTTTTGGATATGTGTAAAATATATAACTTAATTGATCTTTATCTTTGGCTCAGTTATAAATTTCCGGTGAGTGCTCCTAATTGTTCATTTTCATTGTTAATATAATAAGAAAATAAGATTATGTACTTCGAGTGAAATCCATAAATTCTCTAATTGTTGCTTGATGCTTCAAGAATTTAACTCATTTTTTTCTAGTGTACTCTGGTACACTTTTATTAGTTTTTCTGTTTTCAAACTAGACCGAATAGTATATGACATATGGGACACTTAGCAATGATAAAATAATTCTAAAAAAGAAGTCCCATATTAACCGAAAAGTGTTTTTTTTTTTTTTTTTTGCACCAAAAAATACAAAATTTTGGTTTTTGAAACTGTTGTAAAATTTGCCAAATATTTTAGGATATGTTCCCGGATCGAGAAAGAATACGTCTTTTGGGAAAACTGATTGAAGGCTATATAAATGATGCATTGCTAACAATGTCTGATATCACCTCTTCACAACAGGACGAAGTAGATGAAATTATCACATTGTTCATTCTGTAGTGAAATTATCGCTTTTTTCTTTTCGATTAAATTAAACCATGTAAATAATGTTACTTATGTTCCTGTTTTTGTAATATTGATCTATAATACTGTACTTTCAGGAAGAAAGTGGATATATAGATGAAATGAATGATCAAGGTACTTCAATAATGTTGATTTTTAGTAATTTTCAGTGGTTTCAAATTAACTATAACTTCAGAATAATATATTATAATTAAAAATATTAACTACAATATGCTATTCTGTATATTTATATTAATTTAATATCGATTAACTTCAAAAGTTTAAGATGCATGCAATAATAGTATATTACATACTTTAATGTACTATATCCTAAATTTCGATGTAGCAAAATTTACTAAGAAGAAATAAAATTCGTTCCATATAAAATTAACTGTTTATATAATTCTGTTACAGGGAATATGGAGTCAGTGTCAGAGCGGTTATTACGGAAAGGATTGGTAAATAAAAGCGAGTTGTTATTATTAAGGGAAGAGATTAGACGTGAAGAAATTAAAAAATTACAAAATCGTAATGTTGACGATGAGAATAATTAATAAAATAGTTTAAAAGAAGTAATTAAATTTAAACTGTTTAATCAGGATTATTTTACAGAATACATACTTTTGAGGTATGTTCGATTGATACGTTTGTTATATTGTTAGTTATAAGTGATCTCTCAGGTCGCTATTGCATTGCTCATCATTAATTAGGAAATGCTGTTGAAAATCAATTTGTAATTGAATTATTTCAATTGTTCTAGTTTGTGATTGTTGAAATGTGAATAATATTGAATATATTTACTCGTTTTACTTGTTTTACCTATTTACGTTTATTATGTAATTTCCAATTTCGGAAAATTGTCTCTTATCTTAAGCGGTACTCTTATCTGCACTGAATTCATTTTTTTCTTTTTTTTTTTTTTGTCTTTGTGACAATCGGAAATATTTGGATTGAATAATAAGTAGAAAATAGAAAACGAGTTGTGATAACATATTATATATATTTGTTAGTATGTTGAAATATTCGTTTCAAATTACAATCCCACTAATAATGATTGAATTTTGAATTATCGTTTTTTTTTTTTTTAATGATAACATATTATTTTCAATGGCATTACATCCGTTTTATAAAATGCAGCTAACTTTTTCAAACTTTCATCTTATCATTTATAATTACTTTGTTATTTACATATATATTTTTTTTCATATTTGTGATATTGTTAAAAAGTTAATGTCTGACTGATTAATGTTATTTGAAATGTTTTTGAGTATTACACTGTTTAGAGTTTGAGTAAGATTTCAAATAGTGAGTTTTTCAAATAATCGCTTGATTATTGATGCCGATAAGCAATTAACGAATAATAATCTCTAGAATTAAGAATTAAATATGAATTAAATTAAGTATTATATGTTAACTTTCATATTTCCGATCGTTTCTAGAAGGCATACATCGCTTTTTTTCTACTCTTTGTAGAATATGTTTAATGAATTCAAAAAAAAAAAAAAAAAAATGAAATGGTAGTAGTTGTAGTTCTCGACATTGAATTAAAACCTTAAATATTAGAATATGAAGAGTTAGTTTGAGATTTCTCGAATAATTTACATATTTCTCAATGTCTCTTTTGTTTGCAGTAAATAGGAAATGCTTGTTGATTGATTGATTGATTGATCGATTGATTGATTAAATGATATGATCATAGGAGATTATCGTTTAAGGGATTTTTTTTAACCATATAAATTGAATGATTAGTATTTTTCATTAATTGGAATCGTTCTATTCATGATTAAACTAATATAAAATTACTGTTAAAAAGTAAAAAGTTCGAAGCGTTGATATCAATTTAATCAATTATGGAAACTATTAGAAGTTATTAATATGAATATAATATAAGCAAACTTCTTGTGAAAGTATTTTTTATTTGTTGAACTCTGAAAAAAAAAAAAAAAAAAAAGAAGGAAGTTTGGATTTCTTTGCATGTTAGCCATTCTGGAGTGATAATTAAGTATGCGATATTATCAGATTCGGGAGTGATAAGAGTAGATAATTTCTTTTCAAATTTCTGATCTATAGATAATTGTCTTATTTTTCAATTCTTTCTAAACATTTTTCTTTCTAACATTTAACTATGAAGTTATCAGAGTTTTGAAAATGAAATATAAAGTATTATATTATGATTATTAATGATATACTCATTCTTACGTGAACATTTAATAAATGAAATTTAATAAAAAAGAAAAATTAATAAATGAAATGGAAATAATCGAAATACATTTGATGATAAATAGGTGAATAAATAGAAACGAAGAACATATAAATAAATAAACATATTATAAATAAAATAAACATAATAAATTATAAATAAAAATAAACAATAATATAAATTTAATCAAAAAGTATTCCTATATGAGCATTGGCAATAAATAATTCTTTGAAATTAATTGAAAATTCAATGAGGAAAAAAAAATTATATTATCTATAGGAATTATATTTAAATAAAAATGTTGAAAAGATTATTGTGATTATAGTCAAATTGTCAATCTTTTCAAACGATATCTTTTGCTTATATAATTGGTTAAGAAGAAGAAAAGAATTTATTAAAATTTACTGAAAAGAGAAAAAAAAAGAATTTATTGAATTTATTACTACTAAATTATAATTCTGTCATAAGAATATGTGACAACAAATATTTGAAATTTGCTTGGGACAAAAGCTGTGTCACGAATATGGGCTACGGGCCATATTATAGTGTTGTAAATTTCGATTTAAATTTTATCAGGGTAACGGAGCTGAGCTTCCCGTGAATTCGGGAATTCGAGAATTAGGTTGGGCATACATGTCTATTCATTTCTAGAATGAAGAGGAAAGTATAAATGAGATAAAATATACAAAAAGATAATTTATTATCAGAGAGAGAGAGAGAGAGAGCTGAAGAGTGAATGATATTGTTTATCAGATGTTATGCTTGATAGTTAGGCAGTTAAGCAAGAAGTTTGATTGAAATTATTGTATGAAATTTGATAAGAGAAATTTTAAAGATCTTATCATTTCTGATTATCTAATCAAAGCAGTTGAAAAGGTCTTATCATTTCTAATTATCACATTATATACGTAATGATTATTTTTAGATAGTGAACTCTTATTTTTATTTATTTTTTTTTTAGATAGTGAATTAATGGAATCGGTAGAGCTTGTATTGGAATCAGTTGGGAATGATTATCCGGGTTTAGTACGTGAAGCTCTTGCTGGTTTGTTTCTTCTCTAATTAATACTCACATTTAGCATATTTCATATTTTCTGTAATAATCTTATATCTTTATCTTTTCTATGTTTATATGATGTGATAATCTTCTTAGCATAATTTTCCATGTACTATTTATCATTTTATACAGAATTGATCTATTGATAAGTACTGATATGATTATATTTCATTTTAGGAAAGGAACCAAACACGTTATGTTCAGGCTCCCTGTCCAGTTGTGGTTATGCTTGGCTAATAATTGGTCAAAGTCTGTATGTGTGGAAGTATGATGCGGAGGTATTGTGAAATTATTATATTTGTAATAGATAAACTTTGGTAAATAATTGTTTTTTTTTTCAGGATGACTATATAGGTGCACCGGCAGTACTTAATATGCCACCATCTGGGCTTCCATACAATGCACAAACTGTTTGCATATATAAAAGACAAGGTTTATTTTCAACTCTTCTTATATTTTCTATCATCGAATCAAAAATCAATGAAAAAAAAAAAATAAATATTAAAAAAGTGAAATATTTGTGTTATTATCAAGCTTTAGAAATAAACTCGAGTATTCCGTTCTTTTTTGAAGGTTTTTCAACATTGGGTATAATCGCCGTAACACCGGAAGGTGTTGTCCGACATTGGTCTATGCCAGATCGTCATTTTAGTGATAGTTCAGTTGATCTCGATCGAGAGGTTGCGCTATCATTAACAAGGGTTAATTTGCAATCATCAGGTTTTCATCATTTATCTATTTGAAGATCTTGTTGAAATTTTATATTGATTGCTGATTTATGATTGGTTTGATTCGCTGGTTATTTTTGTATTTTTAACCTCTGAAATTGATCCTCATTCTTCTGAACAGTTCATTTGCAGATAGAAAATATCTCATTCCATTTTTTTAACTTATTGTACTGAAATTAATATTAAAATTATTCTACTTTTATACCTGCAAGATGAGGTGGATAGTTTAATCCTATAAAATTAGTGTAAATGAATTAGTGTAAATTAATTCAGCCCAACTTAATTACCAACCAAACATTCTCTAGTTTTTTTCAACAGTATAATTTTCAGAAGGAATATGCTTTCTTCTGGCAACAACGACATGCTCATTGTTCTTATTGAATGTCAATGTGAGTATTGCTCCTACACCAGGAAAAAGACAACGATTATCTTCCGAAATTACCATAAAAACAATTCATACAAATGCACGAAGCGGTATTAGTGGTAAATTGGCTTCAGCAATCTTTGGTGAAGGAAGACAATCTGGAGCAAAGTATGCCTTTTTACATTTTCATCTTTCGCAGTACAGTTTCAGCAGCACTTTCGGATCTAAAATTTCAACTGCGCATGCCTCTTAATTATCGAATATATACTTTAACTTACAAAATTACAGGAAGAACTTATCCATCATACATTGTGCAATACCTATATGTATATACAAAAGTTATGGAAAAAGTTTAGGTTAGTTAAAGCTCTGGTATATGAACAGTCAAACGGTGATTTGGTGAATTCACGTTCCAATGCGTCAAGTAGTTCAAATTCTGTTGTTGCCAAGAATATGCATATACTTGCTGCAACCGAACATCATCTTTACTCGTATTCGATAAGAGATTCTGCTAAAATTTGGAGCTGTCAATTGGCAAATATAGCTAGCGAGCATTTTGCATTAAATCTATGGGTATGTGTCATTCAAAATTGCTCATGTTTTTATTACTTATGAGGAGTTGTTTACACATCATTTTTAGAATTCATATGACGTTGAGGAGTGTAGCGAATGGCATGAAGAGATCAAAACTTGGATACTGGATGTGGTTAACATCAGGAATGGTGCATTGGTCTTATTCGCATGTAGTAATAAAGTTGTTTCTAAGCAGATATACTTTGCTTTTGGTTAGTATTAATGGATAGGAATTAATGAATCATGATTCTCAAGTGGCAGATTTAAATAATCCTTTCTAATGTTTTCTATCTTTATGAAAGAAACCTCCTAGCAAAAACGCGCTTTCATCACAAAAATTTCAATGAAGATTTCAGGTTATATATCGGAATATGATGGTGCACATCCTCCTGCAGATATAGAATGGTTTTGTGTTTTAAAGGCTCTCTCAGACAAGTACGAGGTATATTATCAAATTTTTAGCAGTTTGACTTAGCATGTGTTACATATGATATAACATGCTTCGGTTCAGCATTTGGATACACGTATTTTCATTTTTAATTTATATAGAAACCACAAATTTTCTATTTTCTACTCCAAAAATGTAATTTGATCGGAATTGATCAAAACCATAGTTACTAATTGTGGATAGAAAATTTAAACTGAAAAATGCTTTGAAATACCTTAATTAGTTCCCTCACTAATTTTTCACTCTTGTTGCAATATTTTGGTAGTCCATTCAGTTCTTTTAACAAATTATTTCAAACAAATTTGTATTTCTTGCTTTGGGAAGATATTTTTTTGTTTTAGCATTAGCAGTCGTATTAAATAATTGCAGATAAGCGAAAAAAATGCTTTGGCAGATATTGCATTGAGATTACCAACCGGCTCAGAGCAAGTTCTGCATGACAAAATGGAAAGTGTTCTTGTGGTTACACAAAAAGCTATTTATTCTTTCTCTCTGCCGGATCGATTGCTGAAAAAAACTCCATTCAAATTGGTATTATGTGCTAAGTACAATGCTACATTTATTAGTTCGGGTAAGTTATATTCTTTACTTTGTCTTCTATGTATTTTTTAATTTTTTTATTTACTAAAGCATTTTTTTTTTTTTGTATAGCTTTTCTTATTGCTTCTTAAAATATTTTTTTTAATTCCAGTAACAGAGTATTTTGCATCACAGTCGATTGATATATCATCCCACCTTTCTTTGCAAATGTATCTGATATTCATCCTACATCTTTTTATGTACATTTCATACATACCAAAAAGGAAAAAAAAAAAAAAAAAAAAGATTTTGTTCAGTGATTTTGCATAACACATATGAAACTTCTGATAATTTCTAATGAAGTATTACAGGTCGTGATACACGATATTGCTATATTTTCTTGGAGGAAACTGGTTTACAACGAGTACGATTACTTCCTAGGTAAATTCGCGTTCTGAAAAGAATTGTCTAATTATAATATTATATGAATATCTATTATTAAAGTGATAAATTACAGAGGATTTGATGCAAATTTGGCACAAACTATAGCACAAATGAGTAAGATGGAAGTTCATCCAATAAATTTATCAAGTGTCACAACTGATCGTCGTGCACTCGCCATGGCATTCTATCTCTTTTCAAAAGCTGACTTGGTATGTTAGCTGACTTAAATAGATTATATCTAATTTTTATGCTCCATTTTAGTTTCAAAATTAATTAACAGAAATTATTTCTATCATTTTATTCACTTGCTTGGCAAACGCTTGACAAAAGGATAGCTTTTCTTAGTTTGAATGGTATGTGGTAACTGGAAGCAAGATGATTGCTACATTAGTTTTATACTTTCAAAATTTTTTATAGCATGAAGCTAACAAAATGATGCAAGAACTTTTGGAGAATCGACATACTGGAATAGCTCAGATATGTGTTGATTATGCAATTGATTTAGCTGATGATATTCCGAATGATGAACGTTGGATTGCTGTTAACCATCCATCTCATTGCAAGTTCAATTTCAATAAATTGCTTTATGTTATAGTTTTAAAATGGGAATTATGTATAACTAAGTTTATTTTTCAGCAGTAGCAACAGCGGACCAGTTATCCTCTAAAAGTTCATTTTTATTGGAGGTACACTTGGAAGAGCAGAAGAAGAGAGTGTTGGCAATGTTTATTCTTTTTATTAAAAATGTTGGATTCGATGATAAAGTAACTTCTTTTCTGCGGTTTTTTTTTTTTTTTTTTTTTTTATGCAATATAATAAGTTAGATAATTTATATTTTAATTACTGTTTTTTTTTTTTTCTTAAATGCAATGTTTTACCATCGCTTTCTCTGTGATATTGTATATTATTTTAGTTGAATCGAACTATTAAAACACATCTTTCTCAGTCGCGTAGCGCACGTTCTCAAATTGTTGAATTAATCGAAAAGATTGATATTGCGATTGATTTATATAAATGGAGTAAGGTAATGTATGTAATATTTTCTGGGAATTTCAGTTTAGAAAAATAAGAAATTGCAACAAATTTATGTGATATTTGAAATAAATTTTGTTTGAAATAATTTGAGTTTCTTTTGTAGAAAAATCCGTCATCAATTTTTGATGCAGCCATAGAAAGAATATTATCGAAGCGGAAAGAAGGCATTGACAGAGAACGAGATCTGCTCACTCGATATGATTATTTCTTCCGAGAAGTAAGCTTTTTTTTTTTTTTTTTTTTTCATTATAAACTTTAAAAAATGCAATTTGTTAAGCTGGATTCTTGTAAAAATTTTCACAATTTTCTTCAAAAAAAATTTTTTTTTTTTTTTGATTTTTAGAATTTTAAAGAAAAACATTTTAGATTTTTTCTCAAAACGAAATAAAAAAATTCAGAATTTCTAAGCTGTTTTTATTAAAAGAAATAGAATGAATTCTTTCATTATAAAACTTTTGCTACATCATGTACTGATGCTGTTAATAATACTAAACTTATCTAGCAATTACACATTTGTTCCATTTTAGATTTCTCGAATTGAAGAGTTGTTCAATGGACTTTTGGAAGAAGAAGAAGATATTATAGGAAATGATGATGAAATGCTCGATTATAAGGTGGAATGTGTTGAATATGTTGGTACTGCTTTAATTATTGGAAAAGAAGCGATTGATCAACGTCGTGATGATGCTGTTCTCGATATGGGAAATGATTTACGATGGACGCAAGAAAAACATATATTGAAACCATTCATAAAACATGTTCGTAAACTTTAGCTAATTGAAATTTATGTTTTAAAATTTGTTAACAAAATTAGCCAAACATTCGTTTCAGTTGAACATGTTATTCAATTGTATCAATCAAGCTGGTCATGAATGTTCAAAATATGTAGCATTGTTGAAACAAGGTGTAGTTATTGCTGCTTTCATAATGAATGAGCAAGCATTTGATGAACGACAAAATTCATCAATTGTTGCCAAATTTTTGGAAATTTCTGAACATACAATTGCTATAGAATTAGCTAAACGTTTTCAGGTTTGTTACTTTTTAAACATTTTTTTTTTTTTGATTTCAAAAAATTATATAAAGTATTTAAATAGTAGGAGGAAGAAAGCAAAAAAAAAAAAAGAAAAAAAGAAAGATAAATGACTTAAAAGAATAAATGAACATGAATGAAATAAAATGAATAAATAGTGTTGCAATCATTTTTTTAATTGGTTTCTAAATTTAAGTCTTTTTTTAACTAATTTTAGTTTTGATTCAAAACTTTTTCAAATTTTTTCGAAGCTTTCATTTTAAAAATGAAGAAAAAAAATGTTTATTTTATGGTATGACTACACATTTTATCACAATTTTTTAAATAAATTTTTTCTCATTAGGACTACAAAACTCTGATACGATTGGCATGTGCTTTACCAGATATTGAAAGGAAAGCTAAAATTGAAGAATACAAGGAATTCTTCAGTTCTGGCGACTTTTGCAACATGTTATATGAATATTATTTGGAAAATGGTAATTGTTCTTTTTCAAGAGAAATGATTCAATATTGTCAATAAAGAAAAATTTTAAGTTTTATCCTTTTAGGATATATGAGAGATTTGCTGGAAGTGAAAGAACCAGAAGCAAATCTTTTCTTTGCAACACAAACTAATGTTGGATGGATGCGTGATCTTGAAAATGGCGATTTTGCCAAGGTTTTTGCAATGACTTTTAAATTCCAAAATTACAACTTCATTTTCTATGCCGTTTTTTTTTTTTTTTTTTATGAAAGCATTATTTAGCACTATTTGACTACTGCCATGAGTTATGATAATTTTTCTTTATAAAGTAGTTTTTCTCTAAATCTTATTGTCTTGAAATATTATTAATTTTTGCCACTTTACAACAAGCTTGATTCTTAATATTTGGTGCGTATACACTGGGTAAACTAAATCCAGAGTACATAGTAATTATCATTTTTATATAACTTTGATTTCAGGCATGTCACACTCTTAAAACGCTCTCACGGAAATCAAACGACGATGTTATACTTAAAAGGGTTAATTTTGAGGTTTTAAAAAGCAATAGTGTTCATGAATGATTTGATTCCTTTTTAAAAATGTGATACCATCTCAGTTTTTTATTTTCTTCCAGTTTAAATTTTATTAAACTGTTATAAGAAAAATAAAGTTGAAAGATTTTTTGGATGTTTTTAAATAAATGTTGATAATTTCATTTCAGCGTTTGCTTTCCTTTGCAAAACTTTCTGCCCTTTGCGAAGATGAAGTGGATGAGAACTTCTTGGAGGGTGTTAAACGTGACCTCAATTTGATTAAGCTTCAACAAAAACTTGACCCCAATTTAGAAATGGTAATTAATGAATTAATGAAGCAATTTGATAAATGCTATATCTTAGACAAATAATTAGACTAATAGAAACTAAGAATTCAGCTGGAAATTCTCACTGAAAAAAATTTAAGTCAGTAATTTATTGGCTATTTCATGATATTAAATATCTTCAGAAATTTGACTCACCTGATCCTGTTTCAAAGATACGATCATGTACTGCAGAAGAGATTATAAGAGCAAATTTGAGTGATACGTCATGTAATATTGATCGATGCTTTGAGTAAGTTTTTTCCATAATTTAATAATTTAATGAAGCTTTACATTTTTTTTTTTTTTTTTCACTTTGAGACTATAACAGACAAAGAGCTCAATTTTAGTTATAATTATCTAATGAGCTAGTATACAAATTGAAAGTTAAATATAACATTTTGCTTAGATATAACACTCCTTCATTAAATAAAGTTATTAGAATCTCTTCAAATCATGAGTTGAACTTGTATTATGGTTATTTTTACTACTTTTTTTTTTGTTGTTATTTTTGTTTAAAATAAATAATTGCAATATTTTGATATAGCGCACTGCTCACATTATCAACATTGATCGACGAAGAAGCATCAAATGGAATAGCAAGTGATTTAGTACATTCTTTGCAAACTAAAATATGGATAGCAGCTGTAAGGGCAAACAGTGAATATTGGAAAAAAGTGACACCAGATGATGATCCAAGATATCCAACAGTTTATAGCGAATTGTTAGATAGGATTGTTGCATGTGGTATTGTTATCTTCTTCTAATTATGATTATTATTTATGGAAAATTTCATTTTCAAAGCCTCTTTTGCTCTTTAATTATTGCTCTTTCATTATTCTTTTGCTCTTTAATTAGTGGCAAAAGAAAAGAAAAACAAAAAAACAAAAAACAGCTTGCTAATTCATAGTTTTCTTATTGTTTTAAAATTACTTATATTTATTTTAACTGCAGATGAATTATCAAGCGAGCGAAAAATTGAATTAATACCTGATACTAAAGAATTGGCTGAATGCTTGACAGAATTTGCTCATAACAAATTATTCGGTGTTTTACTTCGAACCAATGAAGAGGCTGCTCGAAGAAGTATTTCAGATAGGGAAAGCATAAGGGTCATCTAATCTATGTTAAGTTGATTTTGGTTGTTTTATGTTATTAATTTCAATAATTTGTCTTGTTTTTGTTTACAATATGTGATTATTGTCAGTTTCTAGATATTTCTACCAAGTTGATCTCATATATTTCTTCATATCGTTTCAAAATTACTTAGCTAGTAGTTTCGCATACTTTTCCAAAATTTATTTTGAGCAGTTTTATTCAATTACATTATTATAAGATCTTGAAGTGATTTTCAAATTTTCACTTTAACAAGTTAAAAGTCTTAATTTAAAAGCTTAAGTTTTCCTACATCTTGTTACACTTTTTTTTTTTTCTCAAATAAAAAGGTTCGATTTGGTTTTAATAAGTTGACCGGATTTATAGTGATGATTTTTCGAAGGTTACAAATGTTTCTTAATCTCATTTTATTATGCAAAGAATGTAATGAAAAGAAAATTAATCGATGAATAATTGAAAAATTTATTTATGAAATGAATCTGTTGATTTTTGTTGAGAATTTTTAGGTATTATGATGTTCAGAACATATTTATTAAATATAATTGTTATGCAGATCAAATATGAAATAGTGTTTACGAGGACAGAGTAAATGTTAGTTCGTCCAGGAACGATAAGCTGGCGGTAATACGTAAATTTCTGGTTCAGGTTGTTCATTATAGGCGTAACCAGGTAAGTGATGATACAATCCATAAATCGATCTTTTCATCTGTAATATAATATTAATCAAAAATTAATTGTAAAAAAAAAGATGGTAACATGAATTTAAATATAATAAAAAAAAAAAAAATTTTATAGACTGTTTAATATTTTGATAAAATTTGTTGCAACTGTAAGTAGTCATATAGAATTTAAAAAAAAAAAAAAAAAAAAAAAAAAGGAGCGTTCTTGTCTTAATTCGGTAAGTCTATAATTTCAATTAAATTTATTTTCTTCAGGAATTTCTTTTAATATTTTAAAATTAAACATATGGAAGATGATAGAATTTAATTGTCGCTTCTATTTTTTTAATAAATGATAAAATTTAAGCTATTATTAAATTTATTGAGTTTTTTTTTTCTCTTTAATAACTGTGCTACATTTATTGCAAATAAGGAATAAAAGGGATTATGTTTAATATTTTAAAATTGAATAAGAAATAAAGGGACTTGGTGATAATATTTTCGGTGTGCAAACTGTTAAATTAGACGTCAAGAAATTTGTCAAGATTGATAATTAGATGTGAATTAAATGAAACAATATGAAATATAATCAAATGATAATAAGAAATTCTTAAATGATAGATAATAATAAAATGAAACAAAAATACTAGCATTTAGTAATACAATAATGAATGAAAATTAGAATTGGATGAGAAATTTAATTTCAACTTTATCATTATGTTTATGATCTTTAGTGATCATAGAGATATTTAATGTTATGTTATTCTCGTTTTTGTTTTTGTTTTTTAAATTCTTTAAAATTTCTAAATTGTCTTTTAATTTTTATCTTAAACGAATTTAGTTTGCATAACATTTATTTGATTAATATTTGGAAGAGAATTGAAAAAAGTTTACAATAGTATTCGAATTATTTCTCTAAAATATTTACATTGTAAAATACAGTCCAATATTTAAAAAAAAAAAAAAAAAAAATTGAAATTAAGCATTGTATGAATGATTTGATTGGTAATTCATTTTTATGCAAATTAAAAAAAAAAAAAAAAAAAAAAAATGACAAACCGATTGCGCCGCGCTATCTGGTAAATTTCCCCAAATTGATGCAATCGGTGATGCATGTAGTAAATTTAACAGGAGTGAAATTAATGCTGTAATAATTAATTAATTATTAAATGTTTCATTTCATTTTATTTCAAAATATTTCGTTTTATGAAAATAGTTTAATCGATTGAATTCGTTAACGAATTTAAAATAGTTAAATAGTAATTTAGTGTATTCCTTTTTTTTTTTTTCATTTTGTTAAGTTTTTTTAGATAAGTTAAAAAAAATGTGAAATATTTTTTTTGTAGAATAAGTGAACGACGATAATGCTTGCAGAATAAATGTTGAATTTAAAACTAAATTAAAGTTATTTAAATTTTATATTCTTATTTAAATAATTTAGGAGTATCTTTTAACTGGTCGATAAAAGCCAAAAGAAAGAACTTAAAATAAAATAAATTGAACTTGATAAGATCATATCTCATGGAAATATGTTATCAGCTATAAAAATGTATAATTTGTGATATTAATTTTAATTAATTATTAACGCTAATTTTAATTAATTATTAACGATGTAACAAATTGATGGAAGTGAAATTCATAAATTATTTTTATCAATATCATATCAAATCTTATTTGTACTCTAAAAGCATCCAATCAAAATCATCTAGATAGTAAACTATTTTAAATTAAAGTTTTTTTTTTTTTTTTTTTCAATTAAAGTATTATTTTTCTGAATTTTTTTTTTTTTTTTTGTTTGGAAATTAATACTATGAAAGAAGCTCAAAACTAAGTGAAATTAAATCACTGAAATCAGAAATACGCAAAAACTTATTAAAATTAAAAACAAAAAAAATTTGAAATTAAAAGTACCCAAAAAAGTTGCAAAAGAAAAGTTAAAAAAATAAGCAAAAAACTCATTGAAATTAAAAAAAACACAAAAACTTATAAATGAGAAACTAAAAAATAAACAAAAAAAGTTATTGAAATTTCAAAAAAAAAAAAAAAAAAACGCAAAAGCTTGTGAAAATAAAAAATGAAAAGAAAATTTGTTAAAATTAAAAATAAACAAAAACTTGTGAAAATTGAAAAAAAAAAACACAAAAATTTATTGAATTTAAAAATAAGAATTTATTGAAATTATAAATAAGCAAAAAACTTGAAATTAAAAATTGAAATTAAAAATACCCGAAAAATTACAAAAACAAAAATTAAAAAAATAAGCAAAAATTCATTGAAATTATAAATAAACAAAAAACTTATTAAAATTAAAAATAAACACAAAACAGATTAAATATTTATGCAATATTTGATAGACTAATTGATTTGCATGAAAAAGTAAAATGAATGAATAAATGTTAATAAATTAAAAATTTTCATTGTTAATAAATTAAAATTTTATGTTAATAAATTAAAAATTTATTTCATTTAATTGCTTTTTCCTTTTTTGCTGTTAAATTTATTATTAATTTAAAATTGAAATAGAAATTGAGAAATTATTATTAATTAAAATAATTTATAACATACCAAATGAAAATATTTGCTTCATATTTGAATTGAATTGATAATGAAAGCTAGCAATGCTAATAATATTTATTCATATAATATTAATAAATATCCAATTCTATCAGAAATAAAAAAATGAAATTCATTTTTTTTTTTTTTTCAAAAAATAAAATCTATGCTCCACCCTTTCCTCAATATTTCTTTTTTCGTGTTATTTATTTATTTTCTTGATAAGATCAATCAATCAAATTGATATATTATTAGATTTAACCTCTCTTATATTCATCAAAATTATTTATTTCTTCAAATAAAACCAAAAAAAAAAAAAAGTTTATTAATTTATAAAATAAACCTTCAATTTTCTCAATTTCAAAAATAAATTTTAACAAATAGCAATAATATAAATGTTTCATTTATATCTCTCTTTCTTTCTTTCTTTTCCCCTTTCTCTCCCTATCCCTCTCTCTCTCTCTTGTAAATAAATATTCACTAAAAATAAATTGTTTATTTATTCATAGATTTATTTATATGAATTTCTTATAATTTTTTTTTCTCTTTTTTTTTTTGCAAAATTATAAATTAAAAAAGGATGACAAATTTATTCACTAAGATATAGGTGAGATGAAACTATGTTTAAAAATTTTTTTAAATATTAATAATTTTTTTTTTCTTTTCATTATTTTATAAATTAGAAAATAGTTAGAAATGAAAAATAAGAAAATAATTTTTAATTATTTTCTAATTAAAAATGATATATTTTTTAAAAAAAAGCTTTTAATTCTATGAAAATAATTGAATTGAGGTAAGGATGTAATATACAGTAATTACGTATATTAGAATGCAATATTCAGTAATTACCTGTACAGGTAGGTACGTATTTATGCATTTAATAATTACCTGTGTTGGTAGGTACGTATATATGAATTTAGTAATTACCTGTACAGGTAAGTACGTATGTACGCATTTAATAATTACCTGCACAGGTAGGTATGACACGTATGTACGCATTTAATAATTACCTGAACAGGTAGGTATGACACGTATGTATGCATTTAATAATTACCTGAACAGGTAGGTATGATACGTGTGTATGCATTTAATAATTACCTGTACGTGTAGGTACGTATGTACGCATTTAATAATTACCTAAACAGGTGGATATGACACATATGTATGCATTTAATAATTATCTGAACAGGTAGGTATGACACGTATGTATGCATTTAATAATTACCTGAACAGGTAGGTATGACACGTATTATGCATTTAGTATATGGAAATGCAATCTGTAGTAATTATCTATGATAATATGGCTATAAAATTTAAATTATGCTTCAAATCAATTAAAAATTTCAAATATTTTAATTGAAAACAAAAAACAAAAAAAAAAAACAAAAAAACAAAAAAAGAAGTGAGAAAGGATTCAAAACCTTTGCTTTTAAAATCTTTTTTACTTCTCTTTTCTTTCTTCCATGCAAAAATTCCTTTTATCTATTCTCTCTTTCTCTTTAATTTCTCCCTCTCCCTCTCTCTCTCTCTCTCTTTCAGTAAAGAGTTAAACTTCCTCAGTAATAGGACAATAAAATGTTTCGAAGCGGCAATTACAAAGGGTTCTTTTACCAAAAAATCCACACCGATTTCGTCGTCCCTTCGTTTAGATACATTACCAACTAACCAATATATTTTACATTTATGGTACCTTACATTTGTGGTACCTACATTTATAGCACCTTACATTTGTGGTACCTTGCATTTATTTTACCTTACATTTATGATACTTTACATCTACAATACCTTACATTTACGTGCCGTATATTAATAGTACCCTACATCTATACTACCTTACATTTATAGCACCTCAGATTTATGGTACCTTACACTTATAAAACCTCACATTTATAGTACCTTACATTAATAGCACCCCACATATACAGTACCTTACATTTATAGCACCTTACATTTATGGTACCGTATATTGATAGTACCCCACATATACAGTACCTTACATTTATGGTACCGTACATTGATAGTACCCTAAATTTATAATACCTTACATTTGTGGCATCTTGCATTTATAGTACCTTACATTTAATGGTACCTCACATTTATGGTACTTATATAATATAAATATATGTAAGTTCAATTTTTTCCTCACCTTTATTTACATTTTTTTTTTCATTTACAATAGATAAATATTATTGTATTTCAAAAATAAGAGAAAAAAAGATGAAAATTTCAATAATTAATGTTAAATTTCATTAATTGATAAAATATTTCAATAATGGATTTTTTTTTTCAATAATGGATGTTAAATATTATAAAATACATTAAATAATAATTTTTTAATTAAGTTAAAAAAAAAATTAAATTTTAATTAAATTAAAAAAAAACTGATTTATTGTAGCTGAATTAAGTACTTTTACAACATATTTTTTTTTAACTCTATTCACATTCGCAAACAGTTAAAATTGATAAGAAAACAATGAAAAAAAAAAAAATCAAAGAATGTAAATTTTAAAGATTTAAAGAAATCAATTTATCATATTCAAATGATGTAATGAAGTATGTGGAAAAATATAGCATTACGAAAAAATTCCAACGTACGTGACCTGATATTCATTTCATTTATGCATTTTTATTTTAAATTAGAAAAATTTTTTATCACATTTTAGTGATGCAATTGAATTAATTTTGTGAATGTTGATTGTTTCTTTATTAATACGCACATTATTAAAATATTTCAAATAAATTAAATTAATTAAAAATTAAACATTTCTTTTTTATCCTTTAATTTTAATCAATTACAAATTAATTAATTAGTTATATGTCATTATCTTTGTTGTTGTTGTTGTTGTTTTTTTTGTTTACAATTAAGCAACATTGATAAATATGTGTATAACAGTATAACTAAATGTTTTTCAACATTTTTCTATCCTTATTATTGTTTACACTTTTATTTATTTGATTAATTAATTAATGTTGTAAATTTAAAAAATAATATTTCCATTGTATGCCAGCAATTGATATATTTACGTAACACGTACACGTAAATATATTACGTAAATATATATTTTGAAATAAATTTAATCGAAATCCTTTACTGAATTACTTACTGACGTAGGTACCAGTACACATAAGTATATTAAGTAATACAAGAAATCTTTTTTTTTTTTTAAATAAATATACTTTACTGAATTACTTACCGACGTAAGTACCACTACACGTAAATATTTTAAGTAATACAAGAAATCTTTTTTTTGAAATAAATTTAATCGAAATACTTTACTGAATTACTTACCGACGTAAGTACCACTACACGTAAATATATCAAGTAATACAAGAAATCTTTTTTTTGAAATAAATTTAATCGAAATACTTTACTGAATTACTTACCGACGTAAGTACCACTACACGTAAACATATTAAGTAAGACAAGAAATTCTTTTTTTTTGAAATAAATTTAATCGAAATACTTTACTGAATTACTTACCGACGTAAGTACCACGTAATGTTTGAGCCAAACAGAGTTTTTCATGTTTTAATGAAACTTTTGTTTGATTCGTACTGGAAGGCCAATCAAAAATGAAATTAACCTGAATATCGAATTTGCCAGTTTTAATTCCTACACATCGATATTCAATGTTAAATGCTGTAATGAATTTCTTTTTTCATTTTTTTGAATTATATCAAAATTATTTAGAAAAAAAAATGTTTATGATTAAAAAATTTTTAAATTAAATAATGTTTACAAGAATATTAGAAATAATTAAAAAATTGTAAAAAGAATAAAACGCTTATTTGTTATATATTATAAATCAAATAATTTCAATTATTAGCAAAATTAACTTTTCTTTTTTTTGATAATTTAAAATCTAAGCAAACGTAAAAGAAAAAGAAAAAACTCTGTAAAAATTTCAAATAAAAAAATAAAAATAAGAAATTACAAATAAAGAAAATTTTTTTAGTATAATATTCTTTCATTAAACCTAAAGTTTTTTTTTTAGTAAAATTTAAAATTTTTATTTCTTATTAAACTTTTATTTTTATAAAAACCTAAAATTTTATTAAACTTATATCAAACCTTTTTTTTTTAAATTTTATTAAAACTATTATTGTTAAACCTAAAGATTTACAGTTTAGGTAATATTTCAAGTTTGTAAAAAAAAAAAAAAAAAAAAAAAAAAAAAAAAAAAAAAAAGAAAAAGATGAAAATAAAACTAACTTTCTATTTTTAATGGAACTTTTCCAGTGGACGGTATTCGAAGTAATGGTGTCACACTATTGTCATATGTTATTATTCGTATTGTATAATGCACCTATAATAAAAATAATATTTATATATATTTTTTTTTGAAATAATCAAAAAGATTAGAAATAGTTAAGTAAACAGATAATTGTATTTATTTTATTTTAAAATTATGATAATTTAAGTATTAGATATTTTTAAAAATATCAATTTAAAAAAAAATGAAAAAATTTAAAGAATACAAATTGCTTATCAAAAAAAAAAACATACTATGATTGCTTATGCATTCTGTTTTTTTTAATTCTTCGAACTATAATACTAATTTTAAAGTAATATAAATTCAAAATAAAACTAGCTGATCGATTAAGAACTTTTAATTATGATAATTTAAGTGTTAAATATTTTTAAAAATATCAATTTAAAAAAAAAAAAAAAAAAAAAAAAAAAAAAAAGACATACTATGATTATTTATGCATTTTGTGTTTTTTTTTTTTAATTTTTTAAATTATAATACTAATTTTAAAGTAATATAAATTCAAAATAAAACTAGCCGATCGATTAACAACTTTTGTATTCCATGAAAATTGCACATAAGAAATGCTACTGTTAATTCGATAAGGAAATTTAACAGAATATAAATTGACAAAACCATTTTCAATATAATTCAATTGCACATCCAAACCTAGAATTCGATCATATTTTATTTTATAATATATAAAATTTTAACAGTAAATATTGATTGGAACAAATTAGTTTTTTGAAAAAACAAAAAAAAAAAAAAATTCTTTCATTCTTATATTTAATTAATAAAAAAATATGAAATAAATGATAAAAATTAGTTATAAAAAATAAATAAACAACAAATGAAAAAATTAAATCTTAAAAATTTTTTAATTTTTTTTTTTTTACCTAAAGTTCGAATCATTTCTGTTTTTGAAATGAATAAATTGATCATTGAATGTACCAAATGATTGAAAAATAATAATTGTAAAATGATTAGTGATAATGATAATGATAATGATAATGACCACTTCATTTCATATTGCTTTCAAATATTTCAATCCAATGGCTTTTAATCCAATGGTTATTAATAAAATTATAATTCCTAACATTAATTTTCTTCCTAAAAAAAAAATGATAAAAATCAAATATTTTTAAAAATTTTTAAATTGAAAATTAACAATTTAAAAACTATTAAAATAGTATTAATGTTTTTTTTAAAAAAAAAATTTTTTTCGACTAAAAATATAGATAAATGATAAAAAATATTATTGTATGATAACCTGAAATAACACAGTGGATTCAATTTTAGTATTTTAGGTTTTTTTTGTTTTTTTTTAAAAATGACAAATAATCATTTACGAAAAGTGAAATAATCATTTTTTTTCTATCATTTAAATTATTAAATTAAAAAAAAAAAGGAAGGAAAGAAAAATGAAAATAATTAAATGATTACTGTTACTATGTATTTTAGGATTTATCAATAAAAATTTATCAGATCAAACATTTAAATTAATCAATTAATCTATTCATTTAAATCATTTGAAAAATTTTAATTAACTAATTAAATTAATTGCTATACAAATTTTGAATTATTAATACTATTATTTTTATTTAAACATTAGTAAATTTATGAATAACTTTAGTATTACTACAACAATGCATTAATTTTATCTTAGCTATATGAACTATCAAATTTGTTTTTCAATCAATTATATGAATGGTACTTTCAAAAGAAACCTATTAATTTAATTTAGGATGCGCATAAATTGAAAGTAATTATTTAAATTACTACTAACAATTAAATAAAATTATTTATGATATAGTATAGAATTGAATACTGAAAATTACTTATTTATTGATTTGAAATAAATATTGTTACAATTATCTAAATTATTACCGGCAATAAATAAAATTATTTAATTATGATATAATATAGAATTGAATACTGAAAATTACTTATTTATTAATTTGAAATAATTATTGTTACAATTATTCTAATTATTACTAACAACAAATAGAATTACTTAATTATGGTATAGAATTAAATATTGTAAATTAGTTATTATTTAATTTTAATTTAAAATACATATTTACAACATAACATTGCATAATATATTTTGATTTAAATTTTTATGAATAAAATTATGCAATTATTGAAACATTTACAATTAACTACCAAAATATTGCAATCAAAAATTAGAAACAATAAAATGAAATATTAAAAAAAAAAAAAGAATTCGAAATGAAATTAAAAAATATTAAAATATTGGAAAAAAAAAAAAAAAAAGAACAAAATGATTATATTTGATAAATAGAAGAAAAAAGATTTAAAAAAATAAATTAAAAAGAAAAAAAAATATTTTAACTTTTTTTTTTTTTTTTAAATTAATTTAAATAACTAAATTTTGAGGACAATGAAATTAATGGCTTTGCTTTAAATGAAAGAACCATAACAAAAAGATATCCAACAGTGACAAAAAAAAAAAAAAAAGAGAAAAAGTGTCCTTCTTACAAGTAAATTCGATCGAAATTTACATCAATCATTTTTTTTTTTTCTTTTCATAATTTTTATAAAAATTTAAAATTTTTATAATTTTTGAATGAAAATTTACAAAATTTTATAATTTATACAAAAATAAATAAAATTTTATAAAATAACAAAAAAAAAAAAATTCACAAATTGTATAAAATAATTTATACAAAATTTTTATAATTTTTGAATGAAAATTTATAAATTTTATAATTTATAAAAAATAAATAAAATTTTTATAAAATAACAAAAAAAAAAATTCACAAATTGTATAAAATAATTTATACAAAATTTTTATAATTTTTGAATGAGAATTTACAAAATTTTATAATTTATACAAAAATAAATATAATTTACATTAAAAAAAAAAAAAAAAAAAAAAAAAAAAAAAAAAAAAAAAAAAAAAAAAAATTTTAAATATTTAAAGATATAATTCTATTTTTTCTTTCCTCACATATTTTTCTTCTTTCATTATTATTTGTCAAATGAAGCAAACAATTTTAAAACTAATTTCAATCCTTCACTTTATTTTACTTCTTTTCAAAAAGACGAAATAATTAGACTAATAAGAAATAACTTTGCTATGACAAAAAAAAAAAAAAAGAAAGAAAAATCAGATTACATATCTTTGATAATATTTAGTTCATTTCTAATTGGAATTTCTACTTTTTAAGCAGTAATTATTTTAAAAATAAAATGTTAGCAGTTGATGATAGTATTATCATAAATTGATTAAACTGATTAAATGATTAAAAGAGGAAAGGGTTAAAAAGTTTTGATCGAATTGATCACCTAAACATTGACCAAAAAAAAATTTAATTAAATATTAAATGCCATTCTGATAAAAAAAAATCATAATTAAAAGTGAAAAGAAAGAAAAAAAAAAAATGAAATTTTTACGAAATTAATAAATTTAATATAATCATAAAAATTTCAATCAATTTTATTTCGAAAAAAGAAGAAACAAAATTTTCATAGCATAATAAAATTTTTTTATCTTCAAAGTACGAAATTATCAGTTTATTATAATTGAAAATTAAAGTAAATGGTGCGCAAATGACCTGAATCAACAAAGATGCTGTCTAAATGCGCATTTAAATAAACTTGAAAATTTTAAATTGGTAGAAGAGAAAAAATGACTAGTTATTTTTTAGATGTATAGATGAAAAAATTTTTTTAAATTATAATCTGCAAAAATCTCTCTCTCTCTCTCTCTCTATTGGAAAATATTAATTTTGAAATGATTATTAAATTTAATGAATTCAATTCAATTTGATTATATTCATAAGAAAAAATGAATGAATGTAATGAAAATAAATTGAATTTAATTTAATCGAATTAAATTAAAATTTTGAAAAAGAGAGAGAGAGAGAGAAAAAAAGAAAGATCTTTTAGCAAAAAAAAAAAAATTATGACAAAGAAGATTATTCATTATACAAGAAGAAATAAATTCAATTATCGTTGAAATTTTAGTCTTTGAAAGGGAGTGGAAGAAAGAATGAAAGACACAAACACAGAGAGAGAGGGAGAGAGAGAGAGGGAGAGAGAGAGAAAGAGGTGGAAGAAGAATGAAAGTTATCTTTGTTTTTTTTTTTTTTTAAGTGAAAAGAATAAAGGTATATATATTAAAAGAAGGGGAATTAGCATATTGGTACTTTCATTTTAAAGTATAAATTTTTTAAAATTTTAAGAAAGTAATTAAAATTTATTAGATAGATTTTAGTCTAATTAATTATCATTTTCGTATTCAAATTTTATTATTTTAGTTTAATTATCATTTTATTTTATTCGAATTTTAGTCTAATTATCATATTCATTTTATTCAAATTTAATTATCATTTTGTTCAGATAGTATTCAAATTTTATTTATAAAATATACATAAATTTCAAATATTCTCAAAATTAAAGTGATTAAATTTTTCTTTTTTCTTAAATGATAGAAAAAACAAAAATAAAAAAAAAAAAAAAAAAACTGATCAGTAAAAAGTTTTCAATTACTTGGTAATTTTTTAGATAATTAGTAAATAATCTTTAGGTAATTTAGATAATTTTCATCTTTAACAAATGTTTTTTTTTTATTAAAAATAATAATAAAGCGATAAAAATTTAATTTATATTTCAATACATTAAGGATTGATTGATTGATTAATTATTAAATTTGATAGTGAGAGTAAATAAAATTATTATTATATTATAATCATTTCAACTTTTTGTTTTTTTTTTTTTTTTTTTTAACTTTTTAATTCCATAATTCTTTTATAAAAGATTGCTAGATGTTTTCAAAATTTTACATGATTAAAATTTAAATAGTAAACATTAAGTTAAGAGTTAAGAGTTAAGAATGAAAAGATAAGTAACAACTGATAGTCACTTATTTCTTGTGATGAATGATGGATTACAGCTGTTAATCATTAACAACTTAGAGTGATAAATGGTGAATGACAAGGGAGGATGATGATAAGAGAAGATGATGATAAGAGAGGGTGATGATAAGAGATGATGATAAGAGAGGGTGATGATAAGAGAGAATGATGATAAGAAAGGGTGATGATAAGAGAAGATGATAAGAGAGGGTGATGATAAGAGAAGATGATGATAAGAGAAGATGATGATAAGAGAGGGTGATGATAAGAGAGAATGATAAGAGAGGGTGATGATAAGAGAGAATGATGATAAGAGAGGGTGATGATAAGAAAGAATGATGATAAGAGAGGGTGATGATAAGAGAAGATGATGATAAGAGAAAATGATGATAAGAGAGGGTGATGATAAGAGAAGATGATGATAGGAGAGAATGATGATAAGAGAAGATGATGATAAGAGAAGATGATGATAAGAGAAGATGATGATAAGAGAGAATGATGATAAGAGAAGATGATGATGAGAGAGGGTGATGATAGGAGAAGATGATGATAAGAGAGAATGATGATAAGAGAGGGTGATGATAAGAGAGGATGATAGGAGAGGATGATGATAAGGGAGAATTATTTATAATTTATGAAAACATTTAATTTATAATGATTTGTTATCATTTGAGAAGACAGTGAAATTTTTGATAAATGTAACATTTCTTTTAAAATATGAAATTTAATTGAAAAAAATAATTAACAAAAACTATGATAACAGTTTTTTTTTTTTCTTTATACTGAAACATATTGGATGTGAACGGTGATTTAATCATTGAATTTATCTTTTAGTTAAATCAAATTTAAATTATGAAAAAAAAAAAAATGAAAATTTAAACCTTATTATAGCTATTATGCATGCTTTTTTTTTATAGACAATAATAAATATTAGCTAAATATTTAGCAAAATGTAATTTAATGAAAAAAATTGATAACATATTATCACTTTATCAACTTTTTTAATACAAATTATTTATTGGATAAACATTTTTTCAGCAATAAATAATTTAATAATTTTTTTTTTCTTTGTTTTGTTTTGTTTTCACTTAAAATAATATGTGATAGATAGAGCATTAACAATAATAATATTTCATTAACAATGATAAATTTATAAAATTAACATTATTATTATTATTATTGTTGTTATTACTATCATTTTTATTATTATTATTGTTCAAAATATATTAATTATTACTTTTGTTTTATCTCTGAAAATTTTTTTTGAAATTAACAGAGAAGAAATATTTGAAAATTTATAAAATTACCGAAATGAATTTAAATAGTAAATTTCAAAAAATTAGAACTAAAACGGATTTTTTTATTCAACACTGCACAATAATCATTGATTGCTCGATGCCAACAATTTTAGAATAAAATGGTTAAAATTTTAACATTTATCGATTAAATTATTTCAAATTTGAAATTTAACTCTAAAATTGGGGATGAATGTGCAAAAAAATAAAATTAATTTGAACAATAATAATAATAAAAATGATAATAATAACAACAATAACAACAATAATAATAATAATAATAAATAATAATAATAAATAAATAAATAATAATAATAAATAAATAAATAATAACAATACAAACAATAATTTTAATATATTAATTAGAGTATATTTCATATTTTCTTTTTTGTATCTTAATTAATTTTCACTTTAACAAACTAAAATATATCAGAATTCACACAAAAGGTAGATAAAATGAAATTTAGAATTAAGGAATAAAATAAAAAAAAAAAAAAATTAGAATTTGAAAATGAAACAAAGAAAAAAAAAAGAGAGAAAATTAAAACTTTTATGTTTTATTTAAACAAAATGAATTAATTTTTTCATTTTTAACAAATTAATATTATAAAAAGAAATAATAAAAAATTGCAATAATTGTTTATATTATTTAATAAATAAATTTCATTGTAATAATTAAATTATACAAATTTCAGTGCAAAAAAAAAGAAAAAAAAAGAGAAAGCAATGAAAATAAATAAATTCATAAATTGTAACAAAATAAACAAACAAACAAACAAACAAACAAAATTTTTTTTTTTTTTTTTGCAAATATAATGGCTAATCAATAAAAGCTATTAATTAAAGCTATTAATTTGATAAGCAATCAATCCTACGATATCATTTAAAAAGTACCTACATATTATCGTTGTGTTCGGTATACAATGAATCATACATATCATTAGAGAGAGAGAGAGAGGGAGAGACAGAGGGAGAGAGAGAGGGAGAGGGAGAGAGAGAGGGAGAGAGAAGGATCCAATCATTGTTATTTGAATGAATTAAAGAGGGAAGCTAAGCAGTTAAGGGCGCTATTGTCCCATCATTGAGAAATTATTTTAATGATATACAACAGAATTATTCGATAAAATGAATGAATGAATGAATGAATGAGTGAATGAGTGAAGGAAGGGATTAATTTAAATTTGAAAAAAAGAAATTAAAATATTTAGCTAATCTAATTTTGTTCTGAGCAAATCAATAATATAATTTTATATATTTCCTGAATAGATAATATTCAAAAAAAAAAAAGAAAAAGAAAAACTGAAACATATTTTTTCCATTTCATTATCTTCTATAATTATATAAAAGACAAGTGTAAATTTAGGAGAGAAAAATCGATTGATTGAAATAATTAATGATTAATTAGCTCTATTAATTTCATCGAAAAATTGTTAGGTAGAGAGAGAGAGAGAGAGAGAGAGAGAAAGAAAGAAAGAGAGATTCCAATATCAGTAATTTGTGTTTTCACTTCAAAATTAACTCTAATACAAATATTTTCAAAAATTCTTCCTTAAATAAACAGAAAAATTAGTTGAAAACTTCTAGCAGTTCAATCCGGATTAACATAAATGGCTGAGTATGCAATGAAAAATTTCCTGAATAACAATTACCAACATTTTATTTCATGATAATGCCATGAAGAATTGAATCGTCCAGCTAACATAAAACAAATTAAGCTTGAATTATCTTGAGCTGTAAGTTTGTCTCATCAGGTAATAATCATTCATTGTCTCAGTTCATGCGCTCAGGTTTGGATAGTTTTCATTTACCAAAGTGATTTCACTTATGTTTTTTTTAACTTTTTTCAAAAAAAAAAGCCATAACCACCAATGGATAAAAGGAATATGAATAAAGAGATCTATAGAGAAAAAAAAAAAGATCTATAGAGAAAAAAAAAAAAAAAAAGAAAATTTACATAACACAATATGTGGATAAATTTTATTTAACTAAAGTTCAAGTTCATCTTTCACTTACCAAGTATCTTAATGGATGATAAATTTGAAAAAGTGACATTTGACATGGGAGAAAAATGGGAGAAGTGAGTGGTGTAAAACTGCGAAGAGAACTGCACTGTAAAAAGTTTATTTTGAAACAAAAGAGCAATACAAAAGTTTACACCACAACTGTTTAAAGGCTTAAGTATTTACTTCTGCTCCTCTTTTTCTGTCTTCTTTTTCCGACGGCGTTTCCTGGAAGTTTTCGCAGCTGGCTGAATACTGATCATTTGGATCTTTTTCTTCTTCTTCTTTACTGAAAGTGGATTTGGTCCTTTTGGATGCTTTCGCTTTCGTCTCGGCTTCTCATCCTCACCAAGTATTGCCTTTTTTAATTCATTCACTTCAGTTAGTTGATCTTTCGGCTTCTCGATTTCCTGAAATAATTTAAATCAAAATCTTAGCCATCTTTCTCAGATACCTTTTTTTTTTTTTTTTTTGCATATCTAAATTAATAACCAATGGTTTAAAAATTTTAAATATTAGTTGATACTTGAACAAAATACTTTCCTTCAGTCACAAATTCGAAACATATTTCTATAAAAGGTATACAAATGTGTGGATAGTTAAAAAATAATTGATAGAATTATAAAATTTATTAATTTAAAGTAATTAACGATTAACCTGAATGGTGACTTCACTCGGTTTATCGATCAAAATTGCATTATATTTGATAAACAAGATTGGTACACCAGGAATCTGTTTTAAGGCTTCCGTAAGCTCATTATCCTATAATTTAAGCATGATTATTCACTCAAATAAGCTAAAAATTCAGAAATATTACAATTGTCTACCTGTGTTGCAAAGAAATACGTTGTTCTACGTTTCATTCGACGGGCCATATGTTTGATGCATTCCACTGCTGTTCGAACAGGTCGATGAGGACATGATTCAACCTGAAACATATTCTATCAGCAAATTTCTGGAGAAGTTAAAATAAGCTAATTCAATCTAAAAAAAAAAAAAAAAAAAAAAGAAAAGAAGACAAAAGTAAGAAAAGAAAATCGAAATAAAAACTAAAATAAGAAAAAGAAAGAAAGCTTACATCAAATTGTCTGCAAATATGCAATGCACCATACAATGCAGATCCCAATTTTTCCAACTCTTTAAGCACACAACTAGTTACTCGTATATCAACTTCCTAAATTTCAGAAATTATAGGAATGAATTTCGAGAATTATATAACTTTCATATCCATTATAACAATAATAAATGAAACAAAATGCTTAGATAAACTGCTAGCAGTAATTTTAAGTAATATAACAGCAGCAGCAGAATAAAGCTAAAATAAAACAAATAATGAAAAACAACACAATAATCAAACATGTACAAAAAGAATTGTTTCGATGAACGAATAAAAAAAAGCCTACAGCATTTAAATATTTTGGCATCTGTTCTCGTAAATTAATTTTATTTTGTAGTGCAGCCATAGCAAAAGTACCATCAAGCAAAACTTGGTAAGGTGGTTCCAAATTAAAATTATGTCGATAAATGGAGATGATACGTTTTGCTCGTTTGTAACGTTTCACCTTCATTTCTTAGCTGATTGGATCTGTAAAGTCTAGTTAAATATGGATTTCATTGCTTGAAGAATCTCTCTGCTAGGAATAACTTAATTGCTTTGCAATTAATCTCAAAATTTCTTGAAGTTTGTTCATTTGTTCAAGCTTATCTTCTATAAAATTTTGAAACTAATCAAATTTCAAATGATTTTATAGAAATAAACGAGAATTGGAAAGCAAATAAGATAAAAAAATTAGCCATATTAGGTTACGTTGCATTAATCATATAGCTAAAAGAAAGATGATGATAAAACTGGAAAAATTTTTTCTTGCATTTACATATTCTACCTGTTTTTTTACACAATCTAGTAATAATAAAAATTCTTGCTGACATGCCAAATGAGTTACTTTTCCAGCTTTTTCACCAACACACTTCCCGTAATCGATTGCCTGAAATTTCCATTATCGTTTTTTTTTTTTTTTTTTTTTTTTCAACAAAAAAATGGGATAAATCTTTTCGTAAAATTGAACTCGAACGTACGAAATATACATTTTTCAACAAGTTCGACAATATCACAAATGATATTTAATTATTGTAAAAATTCAAATGATTTTTACTGACAGACGTAAGCTCATACTCAAAACGTTTGTAACATTATGGAGATAAAGCGTTTACGCACCTCACGTGAACACTTGCTTAAATATGTTGCATATTTGTATAGTTTTCGGTCATCAAGCATAACCACAACTGGAATAACAATTAAATATCCAAATTTCAATGGAAGCTAAAGGTTAATTTTTGCTCGCTTATATATGCTTTTCTTATTTTTTGATAATATTCTAGAAACTTCTCATCTATCATAAACAATACATTTAAAATGAATTTTTTTTTTTTTTTTTTCAATAAATTTAACCAAATATAGAAGAGATTCGATACTTTAATGTCTTTACAAAGAGCAGTAATAAATATTAATGAAGATATGTGAGAAATTATTTATTAAGAAGGGCAAAAAAAAAAATATATTAAATGAAAACGATTGATCAGCTAATGATCAATTCAAAAGACTGATCAGTTACTGATCAATTTATCACATTTACTGTCTAAATTGTTATAACAATGCACATTCGTTAATCGATAGCTCAGATTAATTTGAAATTAAATTACAAGTATTCTCGAAATAACTGTTTTACACAACCATTTCTTAAGTATATTCTGTCAACTATTCTCAAAGCATACTCTACCAATTTGGCACGAAAATATTTATTTACATTATTTCTTCTGAGCTTAGACACCACAAAATTTAAACTTGTAGTACTTCTATAAAAAATCAAATCGTCTATCTAGGCCATACAATTTTCATTTCAGAAAGTCAAGGATAAGTATAGTGTTTACGAAGCTTAAAAGCAATGAAAGAAATGAAATTTACATTAATTAAAAGCATAGCTAACATAACAATACAGAATATTCAAGTACAATATGTAATGATTGCCAATGTAAAGTAGTGAAAATTCAATAATATAGGAAAACAGTAACTTATTTGATCCTTTAATCATATTTTGTAATCTGAAAGTATGACAAAATGAGAAGAATACATACTGAAATTATGATTTTATCATTCCAAAAAAAAAAAAAACACATCACTTGTACATCAACAAAAGTACTCTGTTCATCTATTCTTATTACTTTTCACATGAAAAAGCTGTAGATCATATCTTAATTCAATTCGAAACAATCATCATCAGTTAAAATAAAATGTCACCGGTCCTTGGTTGATATGTAATCCTAAGTGATTTTATATGAAAAGAAAATAAAATGAAGATAATCTACACAAATAAGATGAAATTTTGGGGAATACACATGTATATGCTTATATACTGCAGCCTATAATCCTCCTTTATCGTTGTTTATCCTGAAATTTTTTTATCAAATGAATATAACAAATGATAATTTGGCGGAATATCTTTCAATACAATACAATACAGTTTATGAAAAACAAAAGTTGTGAAAAGGATAGCAAATAGAAACAAAGAAATAAGAAAAAAAACATCACAGTTGAACGGGAGGAAGTGAAAAAACATGCATGGAAAGAGAGTGTAATTCAATAGAGCAAAGAATATTTTGTATTGGTGAATCAAAACCATTTCGAGATAAAGTATGAAAACTGTCCGTAATTAGAGGTAGCATTCTTGCCATCGGCATCTCTTTATTGGTGCTATGTTGATTTATATACTGAAATTCTTTTTTTTTTTTTTTTTAAAGTTAATATTATAATAAAATAGTTTACAAAGCGATAAAAAAAAAAAAGCGGAGCTTTGTTATGCTCTAAAAAATGAATTACTTTTAAAAATAAGTAAGTGGATAACAAATGACTTCACTCAAAAAAACAACAACAAAAAGAAAAAAAAAATATAGTGAACTATAGTAAACATAAGATGTTTTTCACTTACGTTTACGACGGCATCAAAGAAGAAATCTACCAGTGATGATGTTACTTCTTTGCATTTCGTTGATTCCAACATTTCTACAAGACGTTTCAGAAGCGCATCCAGTTGACCAAGATTTGGTAATGCAAAACCATTCTGAAAATTAATGCGAGACGCATGTGACAAAGTTAATCTCGAAATATAAAATTCATGCTAGATTAGAAAAGTTCAGTCCGATGAAAGAACAGGAATGATTATTACCTTATTTGCATATTTCGGCACTATGAAATATGAAAAGTGTCGACAATGCAACAAGTCCATACTTCTCTTGAGATTTAACAAGATTGCCTTTAGGTGTTCTCCATCCATTGGTGTTTTTAATTCCAATTCGTCCAGTTGTGCTCTGCTAACACTTTCAATATTTTTCAATAAATCATCCAAGCCTAAACTAGCACATTTGTAAGTGCATGCATTTTGTATTTATGTATATATTATTCAGCACTTTGTTATGCATGTAAGCTCGAAAGAGTTGTTAAAGAAGGATAAAACAAATAATTTCTAGTTTAGAATTTCGAAATCATTAACTTCTGTAGAAAAAAAGAATGATGTATGTCTCAAGCAGTTAGAATTAAAGCTTTAAAGTGATATAAATTGACTACCTTTTTAAATTATGAATTTTGCCGGTTATGTTAAAGAAATTAAGGGTCTCTTAAGTACATATTAGTAAGTATATATTGTTGGTTAAAAATATCAAAATTAGTCAAGCCTTACCTGTGGATATGAAAAATTGACAACATTTCATGAAAATCTGTTGTGAAGAGGAATCAACAGTACGTTTCTGTGGGGCGACTAGATTCATTAGTGAAGTGTTGAGTTTAAAATTTTCAGGTAAGTATTGATTCCACCTAAAAACGACCAGTGCAGATGATTATAAATATGAAATTTATTTAATCTTTCGATATAACTTAACAATACATTAATATAAGCTTGTTTGAAACTTTCGAGTATTCGCTTGAAATAAAAGAAGAATAAAACAAAAAAGTGGAATCTAATGAATCAGTATGGGTATGAAGGTTCTTTTGCCATTATTCCACATCAACCTATTGATGGCTTTTATTGGCTGGTATCTATTGGTGGCTGATATAGAAAATCTGCTACAATATATGAAAATGTTGCTGAGACATTAAACCATTCTCAAACCATTCACAAATGGAAACAATCATTTCAAAAATTTTGATTTGTTAGCACTTACCAGTAATCTTCATCTTTTTCAGTAAGTGATGAGGAAAGCTGAGCAGCTAAAATCGAAATCTGACATTTCAGTGTTACAGTAATTAAGGAGAATGCATAGGCAATTGCAACCATTCGCCCAATTGCTTTTACCTACAAAAAGAGCTGAAATGCATAATGCATAATATAGTAATATAAAGATAAAATAAATATACAGAGACAAATACAGAAGGTCATATAGTTATGATAGAATTGATTATGAAGACTGCAAAGTTAAAATGCTGAAACGACAAGGCTTCCAATTCATAGATTTAAAAAATCAAATCTATAAATCATTAAGTATGTAAAGAGAAAAAATCGCAGAAAGATAGATCGATGATTCGATCATTTTTTTTAAATTGTAATGAAGACAATCTTAAATCGTCTATAAACAAAGTTGACGCAAGGATATTTCCGATTTCATTTCTATGCATTAAAACGATAATTTGCAAATATATCTGTTGAAACTATAAAACATAAGTTTTTATATAAGAGAATGTCAGATTTTTTATATAATATAATTTCTATATAATGCCAGACCTTAATATCCTGCCACTGGATAAATCGTTGTTCCTTGCTGAGTTCTTTATTATTTCTAAGGTCTTCAATTAATGCTTCCACATCAAAATATAGCGCTATTCGTTTCGCTATACCGGGCAACAAATTTAGAATTGAAATATCGCATGTTCGATGTTGAGTATCGTAAATGTAGTGTCTTTGAGCCTGTATTAGTATTAGATAATCAAATCTTCAGAATTTTCTACACAAAACTCTCTATAAGATAAAATAAAATTCCGAAATGCAGTAGTTTCGAAAAAAAAAAAAAACAGATAAAATATATAAAATAAACAAACATCACTCCTGCTAACCTCTATTTGACTTCGGTTAAATTCCCGATCACGGTTCCAACCAGAACCGAGTTGTAGAGAATTTCGCAAAGCTTGATGAACAACAAATGCTCCTCCAGCAGCAACTGCACCAGCAATAATCTTGCCACGGTGTCGTTTCAAGAAATCCCACACACCTGACATCTTACTGAAAATACATATTAACCAATTTACCCAATTTCTATAATCAACTTAACCAAAACTGATAGCATTACATCAATGAATTTCTCCCGAATAAGCTCAGGTATAACGATTCATCAAGTTTGAAATGTTCGGTCACAATCAAAGCATTTTTTGAAACCATTTGCTGTTAAGCTCTCGAAGTATTAACTTAGCTTGCAATTCCTTTCTGATTTGTTTCAACAAAAAAAAAAAAAAAAAAAAAAAAAAGAAAAAATGGACTTTTTCGCTTTGATATATATACCTAAGATACAAATAAGACTATGTCTAGGATACCAATTGTTAAAATCTCAATAAATAATGCTGGCCAATATTCCAGATTATAAATAACAAAAGCACCTTAAGCTGATTGCATCCAATTAGCACAATTTTGAATGAAGAATATCGTAGTATGATACTGTATCAGCAATTCGTTTAACAATTTAGTATGATTAGTGATTAAAACAGCAAAGATGTCAATACTTAACAGTGTTACAATTGAAAGCAGGAAAAAAAAAAATTTGGAAACAGTGGTAATTTAATCATCTGTAAGAGAAAAGGACCTTTAATACAGGTAACATAGCTGTTTTCTGTCATTTTCTGTCTTTTTAAATCGTAGTAAAAATAAACTGTAAAAAAAAAATGAAAAACTTGCTTGCAGCAATTTCTCTTTCTTCTTTTTCCATCCCATAACAGAATTAAGTAAAAAAAAAAAAAAAAAAAAAAAGAAAATGTTAATAACTTAACAAGATGAGTAAAAAAATAGTAATGGCAATAATAATAATAATTGTTATGGTAATAATAAAATAATAATAATAATAATAATAGCGATAAAGCAGAACACTATGGATCATTCATACGAAGCAACAATGGTACAGTATATCATCATTTCATCATACAGGGTGACAATTCTTCTGTGACACTCAACTCACTCATTTTAACATTTAATATTAATTATCTTATGTTATATCACATGTCGTAATAGTATTTCAAAATACATTATCATAAAACAAACTAAAGTTAGTAAAAAAAATTCCAAAAGGTTCAAAATCATCAAAAATGATTTATGTCAACATACATACATCCGCATACACACATGCACATATATAAACACATAGTCGCACTACTGCTTTTTTCTTGTAACCTATTATTCTGAAACTTTCGTTCATTTTTGTTTTTATGAAAACTTGAACAGCTTTTTGCATTTAATCGCTCTTTGACTACTGCAATGTGTTACCTGTTAACAGTGTAATTTTTTAAAATTAAATCATAGTAAACTAAGATAAAATCTAATGAGCCTGATTGAAAGTGGAAAAAACTTGTGATTTCCTTGAAAAAAAAACACAAATATTTCCTTTCTGCATATGTCGCAAACATATATTCCAATTCCCCGTTAAGAACACAGCAGAAAAACAAAAAATATAGAACCCGCAGATAAAACATGTAATTTTATTTCATATAAGGCTTAGTTGTACTGCTAATCAGAAGCTGTGATAATATGCTTGGCTTTCACCGAACTAGAACTCTTGTTTTGAACCTCTTGGTGATCTTCATAGCGAAGTACATCAAATATTGGCCGCTGAATTTTTGAATCGATATCCGGGTTCGTCAATTTCTGCTTTAATATTTCTCTGCAAAAAGATAAACAAGGTCTCATTTAAGTAATTGAATTTGCTTAAAAAAATTATGAAAACGAATTACACTTTTACACAGTCACGACTATACTCGTTATTTTTTTTTGGCAGTAACTTATATTGCAATCCACTACACATACTGCTGAAACATATAGCATATTCTCAATGTCTTTCAAAGAACGAATATAAAAAAGAGGAAAATTACCCAATTTTGCAATTAGATTCGTCGTTGTTACAATCTGTTGTCCAAATACTGATCTAAAAATGACAAAATTGGCTCACTGATTACTGCACCTGCTCAAATAAATACCAAAGGCCTACCTTGGACCCCTTATTTCTTATGTTAACAACTACACCACATATATCCGCCGTATATTTACCGAACTGTTGGCCTATTACGGCTAACAAAACTTCCAACCAAATCACATCCAACAGATCGTGATGTCTAGACTTGTCAATCTGCAAACACATTAGACAGCTAAATAAGTTTTGCGAGCATGGAAAACGTCCAAAAACATCACAATTAACTGTTTAAAACTTGAGATACACCTAGCTTTACACTGCAGTATCTACCCAACATGATAGTGAAATCGAACCATACCGTTATCAGCCAGCGACCACCTTTAGCATTTTCGGGAACCTCCCACATTGGTTGAATATCCTTTTTGAAAACACTATAATCGCAAGCCGTTGGTAGTAATGATGGTGGACGAATATTAACATAAAGACTGAAATTTTAGCAGATTATGAAATCAGCGTAAGAGTTGGCTTTGTAACAACCAAAACAACCAAAAAATGAGAAAAAACTGCTGCTTCGCCTCTCAAACTGCAGGAACGCTACTTAAACCTACTTTGAAATCAATTTTACATTTCTTTATGTAAGAAACTCAGAAACCTGTTAAGTTCTCTTACCCGGAATAAGACAAATACCATTCCTATCAGCTAATCAAATAATGGCAGAACTTGAAGTGCTGAGTTAATTAATTCACATTTCTATATGTTACGTTATGTATACGAATAAGAAGAAAATAAAAAGAAGTGAAATTATTAACCGCAAGAAAAGATAGAAAATCAAAATGAGTATGAAGATCTACATGGGTAAAAGAACTTGAAAGGAAATTAATAATTTTAACGACATTATGTGTCAAGGTAGCTTTGTGGTCTTTGTAGATCATACAGTACTAAGAAAAATATTGAAATCAAAAAAGATACTAAAAGATACTACTAAAAAACACTTACGCCCAAAATTCTTCCACCGTACCAAAATTGGACACAACTTTAAGCCGCTTTTCCCAGCTTTTATCACGTTGGTCATTCAAATACCAATATGTCCAAATGTATTTTAATGGATGATTCGGAACTAGCGTACCAATTTTCTAAAAAAAAAAAAAAATACGAATTACTCGATCAATTGTTACTTCAACAATGAATAAAAGAAATTCAAATAAATGAAAAACAAACCGATTCCGATATGTCACAGGTAAGATCTGCTTCCTCATCTGGATGATGAATCGCATCACCGTTGCACTTCATCATAATCGTCTCAGGTTCTGATCGTTCCGGTACTAAATTATCAATAGCCATAATAATATCTGTTCTACAAAAATAATTAATTAATTAAAAGCATACATAATGAATAAATCATAAATAGCACCGTAAAAAAGTCTTCATAAGCTTTACTTATTAATGATAACTTAGAAATGAGATACATAAAAATGTTAAGTTCTATTGTAGCTAATAAAATATCCTAAGCTAATTAAATTAGATCAAGAATGATAGATTTCTTAAAAAAGTCTTAAAATCATAAAGCCAAAAAGTACAAATTATAAAAAAGCAAATATAACGAAATACGACCAAACCGCCTAATTTACTTTTACATCCATCAAATCCGCCGCTAAAATTGATACGGTACATAGGTCAGTTTATCAATCCATGAAATACCAATCGGTCTATTTTGGTTAAAATTTAAGTGCGAGACTGAGAAAGGAAAAGCAGAAATGATTTGAGGGAAGTTTGTGGAGCAATTTGATGGACAAGAATTTAGGTGGAAGAATTCCTCTTTCAACCATCTTTTGAAATGAATTTCCTATTGTTTATTTAAATTAAAAATCTTTGAGTTAAACTTGAAAGTTAGGTTTAAAAATCTGAATATATGATCTAAGTGATGTAAGGTCGCATAGGAAATGAAAATATTCAAAATTCTCTTACTTTCATTGGTAAGATAAAAGACATAAGACATAAATATGAGTTAGAATTGAACGGGTTTGAAGTATAATTCGCATAAGGTTGAAATACAACTTCGCAAAATTGAAGCAAACTTTGGGGAAGTCCAAAGTACAACTCTTGCAGGACTAAAGTACAATTTTCGTAACAGAATTTATAAGGTTAAAGTACAACTTTCGCAGGGTTGAAATACAACTTATAAAGTTAAAGCATAACTTTTGTATGGTTAAAATACAACTCGTAAGGTTAGAGTACAATTCTTGTAAGGTTAAAGTATAACTCTCATAAGATTAAAGTACAACTTTTGCAAGGTCAAAGTACAACTACAACTCTTCGGAATATTTTGCATATAGTGTTGCTTATCACTATCATATCTACAGATATCAACATCAGCAAAATTCATACAGATTAGAATTTAAGTTAATCAATTTTTCGGATCAGGGAACGATCGAACTACACCACACCTAAAATGTGAATTTCATTTATTAAATACTGACAGGAATTAGGGTGAATATATTGATTGCAAGATATACAAAAGAAAACTTGTTATTTAGTGTCTACGGAACAAATATTGATATATCTCGAGATAAACTGGAAATTTCTTTCACTTTTTTTTTTTTGAGACGAGTCAATTTCACGTTACGTCATATTTGATAAATATCTATGAACGTTGAAGTTCGATTTGTTTAATGATGTATAAATTCCTAATGGAGTAATTGAGATGGGTTAAATACATTCTTCTGATATTGTATAGTTGCGTTGATAATGATAATGATAATACTGGAAAAGATAAATGGGATCAATAAATGATTTATGAGATATTACTTATCATTTTTTTTTTTTTTTTATTTTGTTTGTTTTATTTTTATATGAAAAATTTTGATGTTGTTTGTTTGCAGGTTAGTACTATTGAACGATTACTTGTTTGTTCATTCAGGTGCATATTTCCTGAATTCTTCTATTTGAAGTGACATTTTGATATTGTACGGATTGCAATTACCTCATTCTTGGGTTTGACGCTCTATTTTGACATCAAGGCAAAAAGGTTGTTATTATTCTAAATTTTTTTTTTTTTTAAAGAAATGTGAGGATATCATAGTTATAAAGTGTTCTTGAACTTATATCTACACATCATAATGAATGTATTGGATGAAATAATCTTTCTGTGTAAAAATTATCGACTAGATGAGTTAGATAGTTAGGTTTGGAAAATAAATAATACCAGTAGGTTAAGTTTTCTCTTTATTTCCAATTAAAATTATTAGTTTATAAATGATTTCATCTTCTTTGTTTATTTTATCAATTTAATTGGAAACATATAGTGAATTTATTTTTTGCAAAATGAAAATAGAAAGACATTATTAATTTTTCCTTATAATTTCCACACATTTACAGTTGTGATTAGCAGCTGTTTTCGGTTTATTCAATATGTACTGTTATAAAATTTACAGTCCTAAGCTAATTTTCAAATTTCAGATGATTTAAGAAAAGAAAAAACGAAGAAAAGTTAGCGAAATGTGCAGGAGTTAGTAGGATGAGTGCTGCAGCAGCCACAACAGCGGCGGTCGATTCATCGGTTAAGGATAAGTAAATCTTTTTTCTTTTAATTTTTATTCTTGTCGATGTGTTTGGTGCACATAGGAAGTTTTAGATCATTCGTTCCTGAATTGTTTGATAGAAATTTTTCATATTACAACTAGTTACTTTCATTCTCTTTCTTTGCTTCCAATCTTCATGGTTTTTTTAATTATGGGAATTGGACAAGATATATTTAGAAACAGGCCATATTGGTAGATACCACATGTCATTGTAATAAATTAACGAAGTTGCTTCGAAAATTATATTCAATGCAAGATGGAATTTTTCCGGCTCATCTAATAAAATGGATGGCAATATGATTTGTTTTTTTTAATTCAACATTTCAATACAATTTTCCTCTTCTCATGATGTAAAAAAAGCGGAAACATTTTTCGTAAAGGAAACATTTGATATCATTTGCAGTTTATGAATGGCATATTTTTCTTTAAGAAAATTGTTTAGTGGGGATTAGACCAAATGACAAGAACTGAAAGCTTTAGGCTTACTCGGACAGATGAATATAATCTCTGCGAAGGAAATGGATGGTTATATCTATACTTCAACCGAGAAATCAGTGTTACTTGCGAAGATATATAATGAAAGGACAAGTTTTAATATTGTAGAGAAATCGATGGAGCCTAGAATAAAATGATAGATAACTTCAAGATGAGCTGCCGTTACAAGTTAGATATGTTGCAATCAGTGACAAACGGAAAAGCAGAAATTATCTGTAATGAAGACGATGGATTGGTGAAGAGTGTTGGCTTGTCACTTTATTCTAAGATCGAATTGTTCATCAAATAAATTCTTTAACAGATGTCGCAGTTATGGAAGCAAATTTATCTGTATATGTGCTTGATCTTTCTGAAAAAGACATGATCGCCCAATCGGTCATCGGAAAAATAGGGCAACTGGACGAAACAAAGGCTAAAAGACTAATAGCAACAGATATGATCCGATTGTATGCATTAGAAAACTTGACTCATCGTGATATGTTTTAAATTTGATTTTATCTTGTTGAACTTGATTTTAAATTTATTTTTATTTCTACAAATACTCGAATTTAGGGGTGAACCCGATTGGTCATTGGAAGATGTGGACTGTGTGTTACACTGGATTGCTGGTGGTACCATTTCTGAAAGAAAGGGAACAGAGCTACTGAATGTTATCTTCGGGAAATCTCTTTCTCGTTACACTGTTCGTTCAAAAGTGAAAGCATTGAAAGAAAAGGTAATAGAAGAATTGAAAAAAACGAAAGGCAAGCAAATAGGTTCTACTAGTGGTGCAATGTTAGACGAGTAAAATCCCCTTCAGATTGCCAGTGAGCCTATTTGCTTGTTTTTTTTATCTTAGTTAAATTTAATCTGTCCTATCTTCTTTTCTATGTTTTAAAGAAATTTTGCAAACAGCTAGTGATATTACTTTAAAATAAGCTATTCTATGTATTTCAGGAGCGTATATCTAATACAACTATTAACGAACTGAAAGAAAGTAGTGATAACGATAACGAATCGCAGTATCGTATTGTGGAAGTGGAAAGTGTAATAGTTTTTCTTTTTATTTTTCAACTTTAGTTTTGTTTTAGGTTGTTTCCTTTTTTAAAAGTTTTGTTTTAAAATTGTTGATTTTTACTCCTAAAATTTTAAAAAGTTATCTTTGGAAATGTTACATTTGAACTATTGAATTATGACATGGTTAGAAAACCAAGTGAGCAGATCATTCTGAACTTGTTTCCTTTCTTTCTTTTTGTTTGAAACGAAGGTTGAGATAAAGTTTAAGGATCAAAGTTTTGCTCTAGAATGATAAGCATTCTGCACAAGCCTTTTATTAACGTTTAAGCCTTTATGTTGTTTACCTTTTAAAGTTGTTGTTGGTTTTTCAAGTAATATCTTTCAATAAATTCTCGACTTTGAAAAATTTCTAAGACTATGCCGTATTATGTTTACCCATTTTAAAATTTCACTCCTGCTTTATATGTTGTTGACAGTACTGCTTTCATAACTTCTGATCTAATACCACACCAGACGCAACTCTGATTAGCGTTCATATAATTTTCCTAATTATAAATAACATTATATTAATCTAAATAAAGAGCGGCACAATCTGTCGATACCCTTTACATTAAGATATTTACAGTTATTTAATAACATGCTTTTACAAATATAATTATATAAGGTGGGATTCTGAGTTCTGAAATGTTAAAGTAAAACCATGTAGAATTCAGAATAGCTTTTCTTTTTAGCAATGTTTAAGTTTTTTTTTTTTTTTTTTTTTTTTACTTAAAACAAGTAATGTTTTGTTCAACAAGATAGTACTTAATAAAAGAGATAAAATTAAGATATTGATCATATAGCACAAACTCTAGAAGTATTAGAAAAAATTACGAATAATATTTTAGACTAACGAAGAAAAATAAGGCTCTAAAATAGAGCTAGTATTATCAAGTATTTAAAAAAAAAAAAAAAAGTGAAATGAAATGCAGATATAAGTGATTTAATGTTTGAGGATTTAAAATTTTTCTATTATAGGAAAATGGTGATGTGAAAACATATACGGAACTGATGAATTGCTCAGCTAGTTGTAGCGATGTGGCTTATGAGAATGGTGACACACTTTGGAGTACAGATGTGTACGATTTGAGCTCAAAAGAGGAAATTGATGTAGGCTTTTAGATGTTGAAGATAATTACATGATTTTGAGTTTATATATTTATTTACTTTATCGTTGCATAATTTCATCTGTTTTTTCACTGGAACATTACATTCGGATATTTCTTCAGTATTAAATGAAATAATTGATATGATTTAGAACTAGTGGTTTTTTTTCTTTTTTTTTTTTCGCGTTTTAAATTTTATTTTTTGAATCCTAAAAATAAATCCTTATGAGTAAAAATAATTGATTTATGTCATTAATGAAGATCTAATTGTTTGAATTCAGAGGTTTAACTAATGAAGTATTGAAGCTTATGAGTGTAAAGCAATAAGTATAATTAAGATAATAATGCATGCTAAATATAAATATATACAAATATGAGTGTTAATTTGCTCAATTTATTTTTTAGGTGAGTAAAATTGAAATTACACGATTGTTAAATCGGCGAGGCAATTTGGGACTTATTGCAATAGCAGAAAATAATGGCTATCGTGTATATAGGCAAAGCACAAAACAGGCAACTCGAGTTTATTATCGTTGTTCTCGATGTGATTGGTTGAAAAAGAAAAATGGTTCTGGTCGAACAGCTTATATTACTATGGTTAATGATACTATTGTTGGTACAGCATATCCATTGCATAATGAGTTATGTCAACTTTATACATCATCAGCTCTTCGCATGAAGCAATTCGATCGGATAGCAAAAAAAGAAGTTTTGCATAATTTCAAAGAAGATGAGCAGCTAAAGGTATCATTTATTTAGTCTATTTAGTCTTTTCACTTCTTCAAAAATTTAACTTTTATCTCATCAACGTTTAAATTCTAAGTGTAGTTTCATTTATGTATGTATGAGACATTGAACAATCATAAGTTTAATTTTTTATGATTAAAACTTATTCACCTTCCTTCTGGAAAAGTTTATGGAGTGTTGAAATGTAACAAAATTGTTTCGTGTTTTATCTTTTTTTTTAGAAAAGTGAGAAAATTGGGAGATTATAGTAAATGAGGGAATAATTTAGAAGTGCAATGCCTTGGATTTTTTATTGATGAAAGCATTGTTTGAATTATTTGTTAGATAGTGGAAGAAAAGTTGGGTTTTTTGGTGTATTTGCAGCTTTTAGTGAAAAATATGATTTTAAATGGTTGTCAAGGATTTTTTTTTTTTTAATAAAATTACATGATGGAATGCATTATGGTCAGCTAAATTGAAAGCGAAATTAGTAATGAATATAATGCGAGTAATGATTATGATAATAAAGTGATGTTAAGGTTAAGGTTAATGAAGAACTTCATATAGCTGATCGTTCGATATGTCAGAGTGGTCACAAGCGCTCTCAATACTGGAATGATACATATCTTCAGGAAAGAACGTTTCCGGAGTATATTTTTGCTCATTTTGGAGGTCCTGCTAATTTTGAACAAAGGTCCGATTTATCAGTTTGCTTAATCTCTTTTTTTCCGCTTCATTTTCTCACTTAAATTATGATAATGTAATTTTTGGCTGTTTTGTGATTTACATATATGGCCATTTACTGTTTACGTCTTACAGTGTTTATAAAATAATACTGAACGGAAAGTCAAGTTATACCTATTTAACATTTTTGATATAATGATTTGATATTTTTAATGAAATAAGTTCTGATTAACAGTTTTTTAAGTTAAACTTTTTTTTTTAATTTAAAACTATCATTATAGCATTATGATATATGGTACAAAATATAAGTATCAATAATAAGTGGAGTGAGATTTGGTAGTAAATAGATATTTTCTTATTTTATGAAATATTTCAGCTGTACACTTCCACAAAAAGAAGAGGTCTGTTTAATTACGAACACAGCTGTGGTTTTGGACTGAAAAGATGATTTAAAAAAAAGAAAAAGAAGTATCTCCGGTCAAGAGTAAAATGAAAAAAAAATACTCCTGACATATCTTAACAATTATTGTTAAAGCTGATTACTCTTCTTCATTTATCATTCTTTTGTACTCGAGAAATTTTTTAATTTTACATGTTTTTTTTTTTTTTTTTTGTTACAAGCTTATTGTTGATCATTTTCTATCGGAATGGTCTTTCTTTCTTTCTTTCTTTCTTTCTTTCTTACAAGAACTGTGATTTTCTTTCTGCTAATAACGTACCTTTTCAAATTCAATTTTATTCCAGTTCGTTTTTTTTTTTTTATACTATCGCATTATAGTATGATTTCCACTGAGATTACTACTGGTGGTTCTAAGTGCCGCATAAGTTTTTTTTTATTACTTTTTTAGCATTTTATTTTGTTATTTATTACGCATACCATTGTGAGTGTAAGTGATGTGCTTTTATTAATATATTGTTTGTTTATTTATTCTTGCCAAATGACCTGCATAATTTTGAAGGAGCATATTTTTTAAGTGTAGTAGCTTATTTTATATTTTTTGGCACATTGTAATTTACATTATTCAGTTTTGTAACTTCTTTTTTTTCTTATTTTTACTCATGGTGGTAAATATAATATCAAGTAAAAGTATAATAAGGCATTGTAAAAAAATATATATATATGTTAATTTAAAGAACTGTCATCTTTTAGGTAAAATTTTACATTTAATTAAGATGTTGAGATGTATTATACGTATTATCAAATACGTGTAAACATGTTCTTTCTTTTTTTTTTTTTTTTTTTTTTTTTTGTTTTGTATTATTGTGTACATTGTGTTGTATCTATTTGATATTCCATTAATGTTGCATCTAGCTCTTTAGCTGTTAATGCTAGTTTTTCTTCTACATTTGCTAATTGTTTTGTTGTAGTAGTTGTTGTTACTAATGCTGCTTGTTTAGTTGGTGCTTTTTTATGAGAAATATATTCGTGAGCTTTTGTTTCTCCCCATTCGAAAGGAGCTTTTCGATCGATATTACGTCGTTTAATGGCAGCCACAAATAAATTTTCAATTTGATCATAATCAGGTCGATGATGATAACGAAGCAAAGAGATATATTCCAAGATAGCACCGAATTGCTTTGGACAACCCTCAACTTTTGAATTTGTTTATTTTTGTATGATTCGTTAAGTTTGCATTTCTTTCTTTTTAAAAAAAAAAAAAAAAAAAGGCTATTTCCATTGTCAATTTATATTATTTTATTGTTTTTTTTTTTTTTTTTTTTTTTTTTACCAACTATAGGAAAATTTTATGTGCTGCTCAAAATTGTTTATAATCGAGTTTATATTTTGATGGATATCTTTTTCTTTTTTTTTTTTTTTTTTTTAAATTTTGCTATTGTAAAAGTATATAAAGCTAACTTTATTTTAATTATTATTATTTTTTTTTATATCAGAATGATTACTAGATTTTATATAACATTGATTTCCAAATTAAAAAAAAAAGTTTACCTGGAGCAATCTTCTATTACTGACCGTTTGTTTAATAACAGCAGTTTCTTTTCGATCTAAGCCTTTCCATGGTAGACGACCAGCAATGAATTCAATTAACATATACATCATTGACCTTAATATTTAGTTTATTTGTTTATTTATTTATTTTTTGTTACTTAAGTAAACATTAGTCCGTTAGCCTTATGTTTTCTTTGTTTTTTTTTTTTTGTAATGAAATGAACAAAAAAAAGTTGTAATGCTAATAATTTGCGCATTTTCTTTTTCTCGTTTAATTACTGATAGATTACAAATTATAAAATCTGTGTAATTAATTACAGTGTTTATTATTATTATTTTTTTTTTTTGAAATTCGATTAATTTGATAATTCATTAAATATTTTTCTTTTTTACTGTTTAATACGTCTTAATTCACAAAATATTGCCATTTTCATCATATAAATTTTGTTAATTGCGATAATTTCTTCATTATTTCACTAATTTATATTAAAGAGTTATTTTTTTTTTAAAGAGATTAAAATTGATTTAATTACTTGTAAAATTTGTTAACTATATGTAGTTCCTTCTTCTTATTTCTATATCATTTATTTAAAAGCTATGAGATAATTTATTATATTAGTTTCTATTTTTAGATACCATAAATCATCGTGACGTCCTTGTTCCAAATGTTTATGTACATTAACGCTACAGTATGCGACAGTACCACGAAATGATGCACGTGTACGTGGTTTACGTAATTTAAGTGCTTTAGTTTTCGTATCATATGTAGCAAATTGTCGTGATAGACCAAAATCCAAAATGTATAATATATTAACATTTTTTAAACCACTTGCAAAATTTCCTGGTTTTACATCACGATGTATGAAATAGATGCTGTGAAGATCACGAAGAGCCTTAGAATGAAGAATGATTAAAATGTTGAAAATGTGATAAATACTTTCCTTTTTTTTGAGACAAAAAAATATTTAATATTTCAATGTATTATAGTTTATATTTGAAAAAATTTGAAAAATTATATGCAATTAATTTTAATGAAAATTTGGAAATTTTTGCTAAATGATTTTGTCTTCAGAAATGTTGAAAGATTTTATGTTAAATTAAATTTCATAGTTTAATTCTGCTAACGATTTTGATTTTATGGAAATTTTAGGAGAGTTTATTTGCAGGAAAATTTTAATAATAGAAGATGTAAAAAATAAAGAAATAGAAATAGATATGAAAATATATACAGTAAGAGCTTGAAGAGCTATTTTTAAAACGGTAGCTATTGTGAATTGTCGATGTGGTGCTATTTTGTGTAATTCACTGAGTGATTTCCCGAGTAATTCCATAAGCAAAAAATTAAACATTGCTGTACGACCTTTAATTAATTTTGATGAATTTTTTTTTTTTGAATTTAATTCAACAAAATAATTTGCTTAATTAGCAATTTTAAAATTGTTTGCTTATTTTATAATTCAATTATTCATTAATTATTCATTTTGTTATTCAAATTTATATTTTAATTAATCGGTTAATAATTATTTAGTATTATTAATTATTATTATTATATTACCTGCTGCGACAAAAGCGGGAACGTGTTTGGAGTATTTCATACGTTTTAAAATACATGCTTCTATTCGAAGTAATTGATCATTATGATCCAAATCACGTGATTCCACCTTCATTGCTAGATGTTTCGTTTTATCTGCATGCTAAATTACAGGTTATTTGCATCGCTAATTAATTAGGAATTAGAAATATTTTAAGTAGAAGTATAAGAAAGCTTAATTAGAAATATATTTTTAGCACTGATAATTAATTTATATTCTAACAATGAAAATTGCAAAGTGTTTGATACATTTTTGCTAAATAAATTTAGATTTTATAAAGTGTTTAGTTTCACTATTAGATTGTGATATAATTTTGATAACATTAGACTGATTAATTATTATCAAGGCTAACAAATTAAAGAAAGAAGTCAGTTATTTGCATCGCTAATTAATTAGGAATTAGAAATATACGAAAGCTTAGTGTGTTTGATACATTTTAGCTAATTAAATTTAGATTTTACAAACTTTTTAGTTTCACTATTAGATTGTGATATAATTTTGATAACATTAAACTGATTAATTATTATCACAAAAGTTGACAAATTAAAAAATTTAGCTGCTTACTTTTGTGCATACTTCAAATACAGCTCCACAACCACCTCTACCCAATTTTTTCATCACAATCCAATCACCAACCGTATCAGATGCTCTTAAGCCTAAAAGTTTACTATCACTTCTACCGGACATCTTTCTAAAATTGCATTGGAACATTCAATTAATTATTCCATCAACACTCTCACAGCCACATTTCTATAAAATTATTGTTAAAATAATTGCAACAAAATATTTGTATCTTTTATCTTTTATCACTATCAACTTATCATATTTGAATAATAATAATAATAAATATATTCAGAAAATAAAAGAAAAACCACCTGAAAAATGTAAATAGGAACGATCATATTTGAAAGATAAAAATATGTGCTTGATTATCTTTTACACTTTTCTCTAAATTCGAATTTTCAAATGAAATTATAGAAATAAATTCTATCAATTAAGTATTCATTTATTTTTATAGTTAAAATAATAAATTATATGATTATTAGCAACATAAAGCTAAATGTTACATTTAAAAAATTTTCACAAAGATTTGTGATGAGGTATTAATTATTCTTACCTTTGTTTTGCTATGAGTGATTTTATAATATGTTTTGGAATATAGTAAAAAATATTGTAAAAGAAGCTTTTTCTTTTTTTTTAATGCATCTTAAAAGTAAGGAAGAATAAGTAACTGATCAACTTTTTTTATTTTCTATCCGATCATTTAATTATTTTAACTAATATAAATCAAATTTTAATCAACTAGTGAATAACACTGATAACAATTTTTCTCCTCTAATTTGTCAATTAAAAATTAAAGTTCACGAAAATTAAATTTTAATTAATTTTTTTTCTTCAAAAAAAAGTGATAATATTTATAAAATGAAATATAAAAAAAAAAAAAAAAAAACTAAAATATCAATAATTAGCGAAGTAAGAGATTGAGAAATGTATTAGATTGTATTAGAAAAACATATCGCATATATATCTATTATAAATATAGCACAGAGTTAAATGATATTAATTATTAATTTATAAATATGCATTTGAAATGAATTTACGAAATTTTAAGTATGAAATTCAATAAATTTAAATAATCCTTTCTCTTGCATCTGATCATTATCTTCCACTATCATTATCAATAAATTAGAAAAGAATGAAAATTTTTCAGAAATACTCAAGCTAAATTATGAGATTTAAATTTTTTTGATTTTTTTTAAATGAGATTTTTAAACATTTAACACAATTTTTTCTGTGTTCAAATATTTGATATGAATGTAAACATGAAATGATAAATGAAACTTTCACTTTTTTCATACTGCTTTTTTTTTCTCTCTCTCTCTCTCCCACTTTCTATCATAATTCTTGATAAGAAAGGAAGAAATACATTTTGACTCTTTGTTTTTAGCTAAATGAGAAAAATTCGATTAAAAAACAATCGTAATAACTTTCACAATCTTACTGTTTTTAAAATTTTCAGACAAAAAGGAAAAAGTATTTTCTGCAATTTAGAATTTCTCATAATCTTATCAACGAAAATGTACTATACATAAATAATCAAAATAGATTTAAAATAGCAAATTATCATAATTTCGATTGAACAGTTTTTATTATTCGTATCAGCAATTTTGCTAAGCATTAGTAAGGTTACTTTGTGTTTTAAAATAATGGAAAACGAAAAGACTGAATTTTAATACAAAACAAAGTCATTTTTTTTTTTTTTTTTACTTCTATGACTTATTTAAGTAAATATGTAATAGGTAATAGGTAAATGCTTAAAAATCCAAAAAATAAACTTTGATTTCGCGACAAAACCACTGACCGCAGTACTCGGTTATATGTTTCCAGCAGTAAAGAAGAAGTTGAAAGGTGCTGGAACAGAATATAACCGAATGAATTTTCTTCAACAAGAAGAAAACGAATAATGCCATTGAGAAATATTTAATTATCTACTTTTATCTTTTAACATTCCACTTCACAAACTTTTCATCAAAAGAAATCATTAAAAATCTTCAATTCAGTCCAAAAGAAAAAAAAAAAAAAAAATAACGGTCCTTAATTTACATCTTGTCATACTGATGATTTGAATAATCAGAACTGATGGAATGTCTTTTATCAAAAAGTTGTCTCAGAGGTAAGAGAATAAATTAATTGAAGCAAACAATTTACCAAGTGGCAACGTTTTACACAACCTACAGAACAAGCGTAATGCTCGAGACTGAAAATGATAATTATGTACAATCGACTAATTTCATAATTCAAATTATAATTTCAACTTCAACGCACAACCAATCAATTTATTAACCGATCAGTAAAGCAATGAAAATCTAATAGTAACTGAATCATACATAAAAGCTAAATTATTTAATGTTCGAACTTAATTCTCTAAGAATGAAAGTGATGTATGAAATATCACAATAATGCTTAAAATTGAAATGAAAATCAAAATATTGTTGTCGAATTGAATTTGTTCTGCCAGAAAACAATAATCAATGTGACAAGATACATACCAGCAGCTACCCAGCACTGCGTCGCCTTTTCCGCATATTTATCTTCAATTACGCTAAAAAATAGTTTTGTTATTCGTCACATACATTGCTCCGATGTGAAATGATTGTATAAACTAGAAATAATAATTATTTTCTCTCGAGAGAAAAGAGAAAATAACTTCAGCTTTTCTATGCATATTAATCAATAACACTTCATCAAGATATTAAGCAATCAATCAATCAATTATAAATGTTAGGTTAACTATATGATTGTTTTATTTTTCAACAGAAAATAGTTTAAATTCCAAAACATCCAAAAAGAGAAAAAAAAAAAGATGAGGTAAAATAACTAACGCAGTTGTTAATGGCAAAGCCCCTGTTTCATCCTGTTCAAAATGAAGATCAGGGAATAAATTTACTGCTTGAACGTAGAAAAAAACACCAAGCAGACCAAGGAAAAAAACACCCCAAACTGACATTACCATGCTAAAATACAAAAATTTATTATTCATAAATTTAGACAAATAAAACTTCCATATTATCTAAATAAAAATACACATCCAAATCTAACACTATCATTTCATAAATAAATTAGCTGGGAAAAATTAAACGAAATAGTAAAGATTTAAAAATATTTCATAGATATTACTACCTTATCATATCATATCAATGAATTTTCTCAGTTTAAACTTTGTGTCCATTGTTTTTCCTTCATCAAATATTGTATGTAAAATTTAACAAAACTTCAATAACATACCAAAAAGCTGAAAGCTTTGGTCCGCATATTGGACATAGTCTCATTTTTGCATAACCTGAAATTACATGAAATGCTCAAAATGATATCAACAACAACAACTGAGGTCAAATGTCAACCACCTGCATCTGAAACACACCACTCATCCTTAATTAAAATGATCCAACAACTCGAATTTATCGTAAATAAATGTAACGCTGCAAGAGCTACAAATGATCTTTAATCTTTAGTCTTTAGTCACTACGTGGTATCGTTGTGCAACACTGATTGGACGAGTTGCTTTTTTTCTTTCCCGAGATTTCTTGCTATTCGAGAGATCCGAGTTGAGAGGTCGATAGTAAGTAACATGTTTCTTTTTTATCTATTCGAGGTATCATTCTAGCGGAATATGCAAATAATTTATGAATGTTATGTCTTTTGTGCATCTTACAATCTAACTTTATCTTATCACGAAATTTTCCGATTCCTTTTTCTTATCTTTTATCAAATAGCTAAAATATCCTAGAATATTCTTATCATATCATAACGATGTATTAAATTATGCAACATATTCATTCACTCAAATTATGCAATTCATTTACAAACCGTTTTGCAAGTGGAATTGTCAGGAATGTTTCCTACGGGAATTTCAGATGCATATCACATTTTCTTAATTAACACAAAATGTAAATATATATGACAGTGTTTAATTGTTTTTTTTTTTGTTAGTTGTTCCTTTTTCAGGATTCATTTTTGTTTGTTTAATTCTGTTTATTTCAGAATTCATTGAAATGGGTGTAATCATCCTGGTATTCACAGTTACAGCATTCTGGGTTATTGTAGGCGTTGGTGGTCCATTCATTGTGCCAAAAGGACCAAATCGAGGTATACTATATATGAAAAACTTTTTTTTCTAATTCATCCGTAAATGTATTCTTATAATAGCAAATCAGTTTATGACAACTCATGAATTTATTAATCTTTTAATTTAAAAAAAAAAGAAAAAATGTCATTGCTTTGATTGAGATCTTAACAGTTGTAAGTTTTTAAATGGGTGATTGATTTTTTTTGCTAATCATTTGCTGATGAATTATTCACAAATAAAAAGTAAACATTGTCCACCTTTTTTTATTATCATAACACAGCCTTGGTTGCTTACATTTGAGAAAATGATATGTAACTATAGTGAAACTGAATCACATGCATTTTGTTTTTACCTTTACTTTATAACATTTTTGCTTCAGTTTATATAATGTCTAGCTCATGTGTATGATTATTGCAGGAATAGTCCAAACGATGATTGTATTAACCGCTTGTTGTTGTTGGCTTTTCTGGATTTTGGTTTATTTGCATCAGTTAAATCCCCTTATTGGTCCTCAGTTGCCAGTGAGGACAATACGTTGGATTTCGGAGAAGTGGGGTGATGCGAAGGAACTTGTTCCATCTTAAAATACAGTCACTTATTTGCTGTTGAATAGTTTATCTTTTTTTTTTTGTTTAGAGTACAATCAATTCCGTATATACTGTGATAATGTAGTTAATATCTATCGAATTCATGAATGGAAGATGAAATAAAATTTATATAGATTAATTGATGAGATACAATCATTTATGCTTTATCTATCTTCAAATACTTCACTGCTTCAAAAATCAGGCTTCAAATTAATTGTTTCCGATTTTCTCGTAGTTCTTTTATGCAATCGCTTCCTCATTTATTTTTCACAGGATTGCAACTTATCAAATTTCTTCGAATACACATTTCCCTCTCTGTGTTTACACATTTAATTGATGTTTTACTTTTTGGACGTAGTGTTTTATTCTCTTTGTACAGTACATTCATATACATACAATATATTCGTATATATTAATAAATTTTTCAAAGTTTCTGCAATTTTCATATGTTAGAATAAGTGTAAGAGTGCATCATATTTCACTTTTGCTTGTAATTGATTTGAAATAAAATTATTGATTTGATTAGTAAACAATTTCTGAGTCATTTCTGATAAGCTTACATTTCAACTAAGACATTAATGTTCATGGCTTTATTATAAATTATCTCGTTCTATTATTTTCACTAATTTATTTTCAGTTTTACTACAAAGGAGATAGTAGCTTTAAGATAATGAAAACGTGTTTGATTGATGATAGTTAGCTTCATGACATGTTTAATACAGTTAGTTTTAGGGTAAGGATTAAAAATTGGCGCAGGTTGGACATATCAGGAACTAAAGCATACTGAAGAACTTAAAACCGAATATAAAGTATATTCGCAGATAAAGTTATTTTTAAATTACTTCTAGATAAAAGATGTTTCGTAACCAGTACGACAGCGATGTTACGGTTTGGAGTCCTCAGGTAATTTCCAATGTCACGTATTCAAATACGTGGTAACGTATTATATGTTAAGATTAACGACTAATTTTTTGCATTTTTATGACTGCTTAACTCATTCTTTGTATTTCTAATCACAAGAATTAGGTTTCAAAATTTTATCTTGCTGATTTCTTACAGTCAATGAATTCTTTTAGTGTAGTTTAGAAAGATTTATTAACTTGTTCAAAGATTTATTCTGTTATTATTTTAGGGTCGACTCCATCAGGTTGACTATGCTGTGGAAGCAATGAAACAAGGTAGTGCTACTGTCGGAGTGAAAAGCAATACGCATGCTGTTCTGGTAGCATTGAAGGTGAAGTTTATGACTGAAATTTATAACTGTTTCTTAATTGACCTTTTATAATCGATATAAGATCACATGTTCATTGCTGTTTATAAAAAGATCCAATAAACATCTCTTTTCGTGTAAATCAATACAATTATCATGATATAATTGTGATTATTTCTTTATCATTGCATGTGATCTTATATCGATTATATACTTAATCCTAGCATACATCTTGGGATAGCAAATATATATTTCTTGTGCGCTGTTTGCATATCAAACTAGTCAAATTGGCAAAAAAGATCTATCTCATACGTATCATCCATATACTACTCGAATTGTTTTAGTTTTACCAAGTTTATTATGATATATAACTGAATGAAAAGTTTATTATTATGGTATACGACTGAATCGTATCTGACATTTGTTGACAAGAAATATTTGAGGTCAAATTCTGTTGAAAGTAATTGAAGTCGTATAAATTTCCAGCGTGCTGCAAATGAACTATGTTCGCATCAGAAGAAAATTTATGAACTGGATACGCATGCCGGTGTTTCCATTGCGGGTCTTCTTTCTGATGGTCGCATACTTGCGTTAGTATTGATTTTTTTTTTATTTCTACAATTTGAAATATATATATGGCTATATGTTTATGTTTTGCTAAACAACTTATTAGTTTACAAGTCAATCGTTGCACAGTATTGTGCTAGCTTCTTTTACTTTCATTACAATTTATTCTAGTGAAATCAAATATTAACTTACCAAAATTTATTGAATAAAGGATCCATTACTAAGGAACTTACCAAAAATAAATATTTATCCTTTCCCTTCTTTGTAATGGATTTCTCTATGTATTCTTAAAATTATATTCGGTTGAAGTTTGCTTTTAGGCGTTTTTTGCAAACCGAATGTTCGTCATGGAGATGGGATTACAAAGAGCCAGTCCCTATTCAGGTTTTAAACAATCGCATTCAACTAAGTGAGTTTATTTTGCCATATTAAAAATTTATCATTTAGAAAAGATTATTGAGGATAAGAGGAAGTGAACAACTCGTTCAGTATTGTATGGAAATCACAGATTTGTAAAAGATATGAATACCATTATAGAATGATTCAAAATTTGCATATTCTAAATTGGAGAACACACAACGTTTTTTAAACAAAATATCTTTTTCGTTAAATTCAAAATTTTCAAGCAAATTTTTTAATATAAAGTTTACAAATGAAAATAATTGATTTTTCTTGATTTTTAAAAAAAAAATTTTTCAGAACTACAGGCAAATACACAAATTTATGGAAGACGTCCATTCGGTGTTGGACTTGTTATTGCTGGTTATGATGTAAGTTCATCATATGCCTTTTTTTTTAATTTTTATTTTGATTGTAACATTGAAAATCTTGCAACCAAAAATTTTCTGCACATCATAATCACTAGTGTGAACCAATTTACATATTAAATAATTCTTTGCATACTGCAGATGATAAAGCTCAACTACTCATTTAACTAAAAGTGTTTGTATTTTAGAAGCAATCTATGATATTTACAATATTTTTTGATAGTTGATCGTTAATCTATGACTTTTTTTTTTATAAAAACAATTTTGGCACCTTCATAACGCTCTGTAGATAACACTATTCATCACCTTCTCCTCACAATATTATTGTTTATCCTATAGCATATTTTTCATTTTGGAAAAGAATGGTGATAGTGAAATATGATTATTTTTTTTGTATCATACTTCAGGAAAGAGGAACACATATCGTAAAGACTGATCCATCAGCAGAAGTTGTCGAAACATTGGCGTGCTCAATAGGCGCTCGTTCTCAAAGCGCACGTACGTATCTGGAGCGGAATTTAGATCAATTTCCTACTGGTTTGTGCTTAGAAATGAATCTAATATGGATTATTCATTTTGACTGTAGAATGTTTTTTTTTTTTTTTTTTCTTCTTGTTTTTAGAAAATGTTTGTTATTTATCATTTAGTCAAAAGAATTTTGAAAACAAGTTTAAATTTTATATGCTTATTTTACAGCAAATGTTGAGCAGTTGGTTGAGTATGCCTTGCTAGCACTGAGAGATACACTACCCGCTGAAGATAGTTTATCAAAAAAGGTAATTTCCTCTCTCAAATGATTTCTGTTTAGATGTGAAAGTTGATTACTGCACATCTGTTATAGTTAGTATTCTGTTTTTTTATGCATTGATTACTTTTGGACTTCAAAAAAGAAATAACAAATTTTTTTCTTTGTGTAAGTGCAATATTTTATTGACATATTGTAAGATTAAATTTTCTCTTATAATTTATAATTTATCAACTTGGTATAACACATATTACAGAATACAACAATTGCTATTGTGGGTAAAGGTACACCGTTCAAAGTAATGGAAGATGACGATGTGCAACCATTTTTAGATCGCATTGCAGGTGTTCCGAGAACTGGCCAACAAATTGGCGGTGAAGTAAGTTTACAATTTCTTTTGAATATTTTGATACCATTATCACAAATGTTATTATTGTTGCGTAATATCCAATAGTTTACAGTTTCAATCCTTAAATTTCTTATTTATACTTTCAATCCAAATAGTTATCGAACTCAGTTTAATCTTAGTTTCATACTGTACGAGTTAGATTATATGTTAATTGAATTTATGGGAAAATTTCTTTGTTATAAACATAAACTTTTTTTCAGCAGCAAGGAACGGCAGAACCTATGCAGTTGTGATGGTTTTAGTTTATTTATAACCGATTATTTGAATGTTGCAATCAGTTGTTTCGCATTGTGGATATTCCTTCGTAAATTTTTATGAGAATGAATATAAGGAACGTGAATATATTTTAAAATTTTGATATATATTTGATAATAAAGAATAAGAAATGGAAAAGATAAATGTGCTCAAATTTAATTTTTGTTTTGAAATTAAATCTCTTATTAGAAAGTAAAATTTGTTGTTGAAGGAATAATTTATCATTGCATAAAATTTCGATGCTTTTTAGAGATGCTTTTGTTTCTCATGACTGATTTAATATGTAGCATTGTTACTTTCATAACATATTTGAATAAATTCAATATATTGTCGGTGAAGCTTAAAACCATTATCAGTCATGAATTTAACATTCATAACTAATAATAAGTTCATTCGATATTCATTTTAATTGCTGTTTTTTTTCTTTTTTGTTGGAATAAATTTTTAATTTTCTATTATCTTTTACACATATTGTTTCTGAAAATGAAAAATGAACCATTAATTCAGATTTTGGAAAACATATCCTAAAGTTCCGCAATAGTATGAACTCAATTTTTGTGAATTTGATATTCTACAGACTGAAGTTTTCACATTATCTAGGCTTAAATTATTTATTTCTTTATTATTTCTATTTCTTTACTAAAATTCCTTATTTCCTTATTATTATTATTTCTTGATTTCTTTATTACTTTTGAAAAAGCTATCCATAATCAAAATCATTCACTTTGTCAACATTTAGTTATTAAAACGAGTTTGGACTTAAGGCCTTTATGGGTTCATTAGAATCACTGCTAGAATGAAATTTTCAATTTTATTGATTCCTTAGTAAAATATTTTTTTGACATTGAATTATTTTACATAGAATTGTAAAGATTAATGAATTTCTTTCTTTTTTTTTTTTTTTTTCATCCAATTATATAACAAAAATGTTTTATAGTTTGTTTGAAGTTGAGTAAAAATTCAATAAAGAAAAGTTAAATCTACAAAATTATGACCAAAAATTTTTTGAAAATTTTTTAATTTAAAAAAGGAACAATGTATGATTTACATGATCCTATCATAGAATTTTATAGGGAAGTTATTTGTTTGAAATGAATTCATTTAATAGAAAAAATTTGATCAATAAGTAAATTTGAAAAATAATTGATTTTGGAGACTAATTTTAACTCTATTTAACATGAAATTAAATTTTGAACCATTAATTTTCTTCAAAAACGGAGATAAACTAATACAAATTCAACCATCTTTGCTATCTTTATAAAGCAAATTTTGTAGTGTATGTAACTTCTGCTAAGATTTCAATAACTGAGTGCATTGTAAGTAAATCATTTCTAATTCATCTTCTAGGTACAAATTTGAATAGCAACTATAGCTATCAAAAATGTTGATCAAATTTTTATGATTTTAATTAATTTGAATTGGATTAAATAAAATAAAAATTACTGAAATAAAATGAACAAATAATGGGTATATGAGCAACAAAATATTTAGCTTTTCTTTCAAAAAACGAAATCAGAATGATCGTATATTGATAGTTCATCCAAATATTTCAGATAGTATGGTATCTTTTTTTTTTTCCAAAACCTCAATTCAAATGTAAATTTTCAAAATTTCAAATGAATTTTTCAATCATTCACTCTTTTATAATATAAGCTTCCGTTGAAAACATCAATCATTCATAGCTTTTGTATTAATAATAATAATAATGAAATCAACTGTATACACACCACATTTCCCTCTTCTACAATCGTTATATCAAGGAAAAAATGACAAATGACAATTGTTTATTCCCAATTCTTCTACTGTTCATAATTCCATAATTTCTCAGCTGGATGTGATGAAGATCATTTCCAAAATTGATATTTGAATAAAGTCACTTCAAACCTTTTTTATTACAATAACAACATTATCCTTCCCTTTCTTTGGTGATCATAAATATAAATTTTATTATCCTAAATAGCGATAAACAAACAAACGAAACGTAACATATATATATGCAACACATTTCTATAACACAGATGAAATATCATCAATTAAATTTGGTGGAAAATGTACAAAAAAAAAAAAAAAAAAAAAACGACTGCATATAAATTCAATTAAATGAGATGAAATAATAATTACCGCAAAAAGTTCAGTTAATTAAAACTGATACGACATCGGAAATACTTTATTTGAATGTGATGAGGAACTGGTAATTAAACTATGCTATTCTGCACCTGTGTATATTTTACTTGGACTTTATTTCTCGCTAAGCTATATGTAAATTAAGTAATACGACCTGAGACCAAAAACTACTAATTCTGGAAAAAAAAAAACCCCATTATTACTGTAACTACCAAATCATGTCCACTACAAAAGTAAAAAGGAATAAACTTAATCTGACCAACTATAATAAAACCGGAATTTACTACAAATTAGAATTAAACAGGAAGTAGAACTAGGAACGAATTATCAAAAAAGTGGTACTCAGAAGTGACACATTTTAGATATTGGCCATTTCAGAACATGCTGATTAATGTGGGGAGGACAGGTGGTTAACATCCTGACCTTGTTAAACAACAAACAAAATACGAGGTCACGACGCTAATTAAACCCGATTTTTCCAAGATCCTCACTCGCATAACATCATCTGAAAAGGACAAGAAAAAAAAGAAAGAAAGAAAAATGATTGGAATTTTCTAAAGCTCATCCTTATCTTCGCCTGGTGCAGCACCTTCTGGTGCTGGCGCACCCTGATCCTTGTACAACTTGCTAATAATCGGTTGTACTTTACTTTCCAATTCTTTCTTATGCTCTTGCAATTCCTCAACAGATGCATCCTGAAAAGAATATATGTTTATTGTAACAGCAAAACGATTAAATTCTCATACTCATGAACTAACTTCCCAATTCTACTTATAGTAAAATAAAAGTTCCTTCAACTTGCTCTATTTTATAATAGCAACATAAGAAGTATATGACTGATTGCCTCAAAGAATTTTATAATTCAGAAAGCTTCGAAAAGTAATGAACGAAAAAAAAAAAAATCAAGAACCAAAAACCTACCCTGTGGCTTTCAAGCCATGATATCGCATCATCGAGGACAGTTTCAATCGTCTTCTTGTCACTATCATCCAATTTACCACCCAATTTATCTTTATCACCAATTTGGTTCTTTAGTGAATATGCATAACTTTCTAATTCGTTCCTTGCCTCCACCTGTTCCTTCACCTGAAATATCCTTATTTATTTTTTTTTAAAGAAAACCCAATGCTAGAAACTTGAAATATCACAGAAACAGAACAAACTAGAAAGAAACCTTCTTGTCTTCATCGGCGAATTTCTCTGCATCATTTATCATCCTTTCAATATCTTCTGGTGACAATCGATTATGATCATTTGTGATCGTAATTTTATTTTTGTTTCCAGTACCCTTATCCTCTGCTGTGACATGTAGAATGCCATTCACATCAATTTCAAACGTAACCTCAATTTGTGGTACACCTCGTGGTGCAGGTGGGATACCGGTCAAATCAAATTTGCCCAAGATATGGTTGTCTTTTGTCATTGGTCGCTCACCTTCATAAACCTGAAGCATTGACACATCGAACAAATTCATGAATTTCAGTATATGCAGGCATCATTTTCTAATAAGCTTCATCTGTCGTCATACATTTATTTATATGAGCTGTTACACATGAGGTGCTTCCAGTTTTCTAAGAAAAAACTATATCCAACTGCTAAAGCAAACCTGAATAGTGACTGTTGGCTGGTTATCAGCTGCCGTAGAGAAGATCTGACTCTTCTTGGTAGGAATAACAGTGTTCCTTTGAATGAGTTTGGTCATAACACCACCAATTGTTTCAATACCAAGGGTTAAAGGATTCACATCCAACAATACAATGTCACCAGTACTTTCTTCGCCCGAAATAACACCAGCCTGAACTGCTGCACCATATGCCACAGCTTCATCTGGATTAATACCACGCGATGGTTCCTATAATCCACTATATATGTATACTAAATCAACATCACATCTAAAATCTCAGTATAAAACTTTGAAAATCGCATCCTTTAATTTTGTTCAGAAATGAATACACAAAAAAGTTTTACCTTTCCATTAAAGAACTCTTTAAGAAGTTCCTGCACTTTAGGAATACGTGTAGAACCACCAACAAGAACAATTTCATCGACATCTTTTTTCTGGATATCAGAATCTTCCAAAACCTAGAAAAGATATTATCAAGCGTTTTAAAACCTAGAAAAGAACCATATTTTAAATGGCATAGAAGATATGAAAGTAAACCATGCAAATGTCTAGAAGCAAATATAAAATTAATTCTCAATAAAAACTGACCTTTTGCACTGGTTTTAATGTTGAACGGAACAAATCCATGTTCAATGACTCAAATTTAGCTCTTGTTAATGTTTCAGAGAAATCTTCGTTGTCATACAACGATTCGATTTCTAGCCGTACTTGATGCTGTGTAGACAATGCTCGTTTAGCCTTTTCTACTTCACGTCGTAATTTTTGCACAGCACGAGTATCTTTTCGTAAATCCTTGCCAGTCTTTTTCTTGAACACTTTAATGAAATGTTCCATAACTCGCTGGTCAAAATCTTCACCACCCAAATGAGTATCACCATTAGTAGCCAATACTTCGAAAACACCATTATCAATTGTCAACATCGACACATCAAATGTACCACCACCAAGATCGAAAACAAGAATATTGCGTTCACCTGAAATAATTCTCTCTTACATACTAACATCTCTAAATCTCACATTTGTAAAGGATAAATCCCAAAAACCTCCAGACTTTCAGTTCAAGTGGGACTACACAAATTGCCAATATTTCAATATGATGAATAATAGATAACCCAGAAATTCAATTCACCAACATTTTTGAGGATTACCATAATTAAAAAAAGAGCAAAACGTCACTACAAATAGACTTTCCAAAAAAAAAAAAAGATCAATAATGCAGTGACCTAAAAGAAATGTCACACAAAACTTGCCTTCCTTCTTATCCAATCCATATGCAATAGCGGCAGCTGTAGGTTCATTGATGATACGAACAACATTGAGGCCGGCAATAGTACCTGCATCTTTGGTAGCTTGACGTTGTGCATCATTAAAGTAAGCAGGTACCGTAACAACTGCATGTTTTACTTCCTTTCCTAGATATGCTTCTGCGATCTCCTTCATTTTGCCAAGAACCATTGCTGAAATCTCCTCCGGTGCGAAGGTTTTTTCGGTTTTGCCAACTGCCACTCGTACCATTGGTTTGTTCGCTTTATCCATAACCTGAAAAAAAAAAATTCAGATTTTAGTATTGAATCGCACTTATAATTTTTTTTTTTCCGCAAATCCTTAAATCAATAAATAAAACTCACAGCGAAAGGCCAATGTTTGATATCTTGTTGTACAGTTGAATCCTTGTACTCTCGGCCAATCAGACGTTTAACATCAAAAACAGTATTTTCCGGATTTGTTGTTAACTGATTTTTGGCTGCATCACCAATAAGACGCTCACCGCTTTCACCAGTGAATGCTACGTATGACGGAGTGATCCGATTACCCTGTTCATTTGCAATAATTTCCACTCGTCCATTTTTATAGACTCCAACACAGCTGCAGAATATTCAGTTTTGGACTACTTAAATTCTTTACGTTTCTTTGAATTACTAAACCATCACAACTTGACTAACACTAATTTCATAACCATTAATATCACCTTAAATCGTCGTTGTATGCAAGACTAAGGTTACGATATCACGGATTTTGAAAATATCTTGTAGCCTAAATTCTGAAAAAAAGAACACTAGCCTAAATTATTCAAATTATTTTTGCTCTTCCTCTACTTGTTACACTACAGTGAATCAGTTAAGGACTGCATGATTTATACAAAAGGCACTATATTTCTCCTCTATTAACTTGATTTGAATGAGAATATGTGACTAACCTATATGTAGTGCCAAGATCGATTCCAATGATTGTTCCATATTTCGTACTTTTTTCATCGTCCGAACCATGTACATCATCTTTCTTACCATCTTCTCCTTGTCGTGAGAAAACGTCTACAACCAGAAGTGCCACAGTAAGAAATAACGGTAACGTCTTCATAATCTGAAACATTAATTCATCGATCAATTGAATAATTAGATACTAAATTCGCTTTTAAATCACAAGTATATACGAAAGAAAATGTGTAAATGGAAAAAAAAAAAAAAACATTTTTAAAAAATATCATTCTATATCATAATGAGTTCAACTTATACTATTCAAGTTAGCAAAATGTTATCAAACATAAGAAATCATCATTATATCATTTAATGTCATAATAATCATCACAGTACATATAACAATCATGATCTAATCACTATTACCATATCATTTAATTCATAATCAACATTGCTATAAATATTTATCATAATCATCTTAGTCATAATCAAACAAAAAAAAACAAAACTTTCAAGACGAATTAACCAAAAAAAAAAAAAAAGGGAAAGATTTTTCTATAACAGTGTAAATTTTACTAACACGTAAACTAGAAGCACGTGATATACATTATAACAATAGTCATTAAAATTATAAAAAAAATTACAATAATTTTAGTTAAAAATGAATAGCAAGAAATATAACAAAAAATATAATCAAAACAGTGTAAAATTTTACTAAACACGTACGTAAACTAAATAACCACGTAATCTACGTAAAACGTGTCATACTTTAAGTATTACTATTATTACTACTACTACTACTAACTAGTACCACCCATAGCAAATAACAAACCAACCATTCCTGTCAGCATAACTCCTATAAGGAGGAGGCGGAGATACGCGTTGCGTTTATAAATAAAATCATTGGTGGGCGTTACCGGACGTGCTGTACGATGATTGGTTGATTTAAATAAATGACGTGTCTTACTTGACGTGTAATACCGTTTTGTGCGTTTTAGCATTTATGTATATTCGAATGTATTACGTATACTTTTCTTTTCTTTTTTTTTTTGTGTGTGATATCTATTTGAGGGATATTTTTATGAATAAATTATTTAAAGTATTAAAAATATTAATTACTATAATATGTGTTATAACATAAGTATATGAAATAATATTAATTCAATCAATTCAAAAAATGAATAGTTTTAAAATTAAATTTCAATTCTTTTTTTTTTTTTTTTCAATAAGTAAATTTTTACACTCTTAATTTATTGCAATTTTAAATGTATATTATGAATGGAAATTAGCAATAATGATTCCTGAATAATTATTATAATTGCAAAAAACAGAACGAAATAATGTTTATTTTTTTAAATTAATTTTTAATGGTTAATCCAACAGGTAAATTTTTACACTCTTAATTTATTGCAATTTTAAAGATATATTATGAATGAAATTAGTAATATTAATTTCTGGATAATTATCACAAATGCAAAAAAAAAACAGAACGAAATAATCAAAAGTGCACTCAAAAGTCTTTTCTGCTATACCTAAAAATTTAATGCTATAAAAGATGATGATAAGATGACAGTAGCTAGTTGACAATTTTTTCTTTTCAGCCATTATCAAAGACCTGAAAATACTTTCTTCTTTTTTTTTGTGATATCATTTAGAGGGGATATTTTATGAAAAAAATGAGAAGTGGAAGAACTTTTCAAGACTTTTTTTCGGACTTGTTAAAATAATAATAACAAAAAAAAAAAGCTGTTGGCAGGAGTTCGAGTACGATTAATGTGGTATAAGAGTAAATAAGAGTTTTTGAGTAAGTAATAGTTTTCGAGTAAATAATAATTGTTGAGTTTTCTTAAACAAACAGTACCCAAGGCATATGCTTAAATCAGGAAAAGGATGTTTGTGAATTCTTCATAATTATTATTAGCTTTTATTATATATTGCATATAAGGAGAATAAATTTAAATAATACACTGTTTATTTGCACAAAACGAGGAGATAAAAAATAAATAATTTAACGATTGAATTAATTGTGGAGATGAAATAACTATTTTCGATAGAATAATAGCAATACAGACAATTTTATCATTTAACAACTTTATAACCACTTGATAAGTTAGCAAAAGAAAAAAAAAAAAAAGAATCCAAAGAGAAAAATATCTTGACAAATTCAAAAGTTTTGAATTTTGTTCAATTATTTTTCAACATATCTAAGCAGCAATTAGTAAGTTCCATGTTAATTTCTTCGAAGTATGATTACTTTATCGAAATTACCTAATTGAGACCACAGTTTCATCTTTGTCATTTTATCAGAAGTAGTAGTTATTTCATTCATTTTGTATAGATAAGTGGTAGTAAGATAACTAAAGATGAACAATGTTAAGTAAACAAGATGGCATACAAAACTTGACGCAAGCATTATCAAATTCACATTAAACGAATCAAAACTAAAAAGATTCAAGTCCAGATATTTGATAAAAGTTAAAAGATTAAAACATTTATGAAAAAGATAATAGTTGTAAAAAATTACTCTAATTGCATATACAATAAAGTCCAATACATAAAGATCAAATAGTGACATGTTTGATGCTTAAATAATATTTGAATTATCGAAGTACAACCACAATCTTATAATCATGTGTTTACTTAGAAATATAATCATGTGCTTTCTGATAAAGTTCATTAATTAGCATTAATGATTTCATTTCGTCTGTTTTGCATTCAACAAATTTTTTATTCGATAACTGCTTAGTACTGCCATCAAATGGTACTCTTTCAGCACATCTGTAAACAGTTGGTTAATTGGATTTGATACTATCAAGTGAGGAAATAACTCAATTGAACAACTAGGATAACATAATAACTTTTACATATTTCCTTTTTTTTTTTTTTTTTTTTTTTTCTTCAAGTTTCTGTCAAAGTATTTTGATGGTAACATCAATGTAATTTCTTGTTAATAATACAATAGATGAATAATTAACGGACATGATAATTACATAGCAAACATTATCAAGTGAATAAAAGATTATTCAACATTGTGTTGAATAATCAAATTATTCAAGGTATACTAGAAGCAAAAAAAAAAAAACATACTTTGTAATTTGTTGCTTGTCGAAATCAGTTCGAATTAATCCATAGAAGAAATTAAAACGATAACCAAATGAAGCAAGAATGCTCAATAAAATACAAAGTGAAATTACAACGAACACAGGTATATGAAACAGCCAATGAAATTTACCAATAAATGATTGCAGAAATTCACCAAGTGCTCCACCAAACTGCAAATGAAATCTGCTTTTTAAAACAATAAAATAATCAGTTGCGATGATAAGTTATGCATTTTTTGCTTATTTACAGGACAACATATCACATATCACTGTTTAAATCTAATGATCCACTTAACAATTCCTCCTTACTTTACAAACAATTACATATTACTTATCAATTTATTAACTGTCTTAATCATCTTTATCTATAGAACAGTCCACTAAATCATAATAGATCACAGTGCAATTAAATGTATGCTACTCTTAAAACTATACCTCCATTATAATGAGATCAATTCCTCCTTAAAAAAACTTCTCTAACAATTCTAACAATGATTTAATAGTGTTATCTTAAAATATTAGATAATATTTTACATATAAGAAATGCAGTAATAATAACAAAAAATGTTGTAATAAAGTAACAAAATTTTACCATTGATGTGATTAAAATTAGTGTATCTTTGAGTAATGTTCCAGAAACATACACAACATTCAATTGCCAAAAAATATTGCTTTGTAAAGCTTCATAGTATTCAGAACACGAATGTGACGACAATGGACCAATGAACCAGAAGAAACCCTTGAAAAAAAAAAAGAAATAATAATAATAATAAGTAAACAAATGTTTCATACCATTTTATTGAAAAAAGGTTGATGATAAAACTTTGTCACAAAAGACTAGTTAGTAATCTGAAATTCCATTCTATATAAAGAATAGATCAAAAGATAAATGAAATGATTTCATGCCTATCAAACAAGAAATTACTTCTACTAAAATATTAAATTAAAATCAGAATAAAACATATGTGAAAAGATTTTTTCAATGTTTTCAACCTTCATCAATTCTCAATCAGAAATAAAATTTACCATACAATCCATTGGTAAGCCTCTATCTAGAATCATTTTTCGATTTGCTATACTTTTGCCATAAAGTGTAATAAGTTGGAAGATGAGTGAACTAAAAATATTTTTTCTTTTTTGTGAGAGAAAATAAAAAAGAGAAAAAGAAATTGTATACTAACTATGTTAGCTAAAAAAATCATTTTTTGAGTATACAGTAATCTATAAAAAAATAACATTATTAGCAAAAAAAAGAAGGAAATGAAATTTCAACTAACCTAGAAATAGCAAATGCAATCACATTACAAGCAATTGAACATAAATGATTGGATAATATGAGACGCACAACAATAAATACACCCATAATAAAAACAATCCAAATTCCACAAAAGATTAGAAATTGCAACAATATAAATCCAAATGAGAGAAATGATAGCAGAATCATATCCTGAAATGAATTACACTTTTCTCACAATCAATTTTAGAAAAAAAAATTTTTATATTTTATTTAATCCAGCTTTTGCAAGTTAAAATATTTTTAGCATAAGTAAACTTGTCCTTACTTTAGCTTTTTTTTTTTTATGAATTCAAATTCAAAAAAAAAAAAAAGAAGAAAAAATAACAGAAACAAAAAATTTAAGATAACTTTTTTTTTGTACCAAATCAATTTAGAACATCCTTTGAACACTATTTTAATCCACCAAAAACAATATGATCTACTAATTTACGACAATATTTTTAATACAACTTTTTTTTTTTTTTCATTATTGAATAATCTGTTGAGTATAATTTGTATGACTTAAGTGTACCACAGTGTATATAATATAATATATTATATAATATTTCATGTTAAAATCTCATATAAACTTCAGTAAAAAAAAAAGACTTCATGTAATGTTCCATTTATTTTACATATTGAATGAATTTTCATAACAATAAATTTAATAATACAATAAATGTACAATATTTTTTTTCAATGTACCTGTTTATTGATTATTTTTGAATATATCTGTTTATTGACTATTTTTCAATATACCTATTTATTGATTAGTTTTCAATGTACCTATTTTTTGATTATTTTTCAATGTACCTATTTATTGATTATCTGTCAATGTACCTGTTTATTGATTATTTTTGAATATATCTGTTTATTGACTATTTTTCAATATACCTATTTATTGATTAGTTTTCAATGTACCTATTTTTTGATTATTTTTCAATGTACCTATTTATTGATTATCTGTCAATGTACCTGTTTATTGATTATTTTTGAATATATCTGTTTATTGACTATTTTTCAATATACCTATTTATTGATTATTTTTCAATATACCTATTTATTGATTATTTTTCAATATACCTATTTACTGATTATTTTTCAATACACCTATTTATTGATTATTTTTCAATATACCTATTTACTGATTATTTTTCAATATACCTATTTATTGATTATTTTTCAATACACCTATTTATTGATTATTTTTCAATATACCTATTTATTGATTATTTTTCAATATACCTATTTATTGATTATTTTTCAATGTACCTATTTATTGATTATTTTTCAATACACCTATTTATTGATTATTTTTCAATATACCTATTTATTGATTATTTTTCAATACACCTATTTATTGATTATTTTTCAATATACCTATTTATTGATTATTTTTCAATGTACCAATTTATTGATTATTCTTTCCAACGATGCGCACACTCTGAATTGGCACAACGATAAAAAACAGTCATTGGTTCATCAGCACTACGTGTTTGCAATTGCATAAAATATGCTCGATCACCAGCACAACGAGGACAACGTTCTGTTAACAGAAAGATATATAAAAAAAAAAGATGATGAAAAATATCATATCATTCAAAATGTCATTTTTAAAAATTACTAAAAATTAACCATTTGTAATTTGAGCATTCTCCCATGCGCCAGGACCACCAAGCACTTCATCCAAATCTTTTAACTTTGGATAGTGTCGACTTCTTATCTATAATATTTTCAATTTTTTGTTTTTGTTTTTTGCAAAAAAAAAAAAAAAAAAAAACTCAAGAAAGAATACCTAATCAGAATTTCATTGTTTTCAAAAGAAGAAATAAATCTAATAGGATAAAGTAAATGAAAAAGCAAATTATATGTCGAATATAAGAATAGTGAAAATAATATTAAATTCGAATTACTTTACTTAGACGAATAAGGAAATCACATTTGAAATGCTCATTCATTTAAAGTCTAAATAATGATCATAATAAAGAGGAAGAATTTTTTTGAAAAATATCCTAAAGATAATTAAGACTTACAAGCTTTGTAATTGGTTGTACATATGGACAATTATGACAAGCGAATTGATAGCAATTGGAACCCTCTTCAATTTGCAAAGATGAACCACACTCTGGGCAGAACAACAGCATATATTTCTAAAAAAAAAGAAAAGAATAACAATTATATTATAGTTGTTCATTAATTATGCAAATAACTGGAAATTATTACATATTTCGTTGTTTATGAGTAAATGAAAAATATCCTCGTATCAAAAAGTAAAAATTAAAGTAAACATAGATCAAACAATTGATACAAGAATCAATTTAATCACAGGCTAAAATTTTATCATGAATGATAAATATCGCTGAAAAAGAAAAATAAAAAACAACAAAAATTTTCACAGGTATACGAAGGAACACGTAAATCAAATATCAATATATTGATTTATTGCAAAAAAAAAAAAAAAAAAAAAACAGCAAACACGTAATAATATTTTGGAATTCTTTCTGTAAAGCATTTAATTTCTTAGTTAAATATACAATAATTATGCAATCGATATCATTAAGTGGAAGAAAAAAAAAAAAACAAAACAAAAACAATAGAATAAAGAGATTTCATTCTTAAAGCATTCATTGATAATATTAAATGAGAAAGAGTAGAAATCTTCAGAATAGATTTTTAATTTAAACTGAAATCGTTATGTACAGACAACAAAGCGATTTCTACATCATTTTCTTTTTTCTTTTTTTTTTTTTAAATAAGCAGATTAAACATTGCAACAACAATACTGAATTAGGAGGAACAAATGACAAAGTGATAATTGTTATGATTGAAAACTTCCAAATCAGATGGATGAACAAAAATTGAAAAATTAAAATTTCTGCAGCAAACAGGAATACCATGATGTTACCATTGATATGTATCGCGATATGATTTCAAAAGTGAGTTATTCTCTTTCATAGTAAAAGTTAGCGTAGAACGCTGATAGTAATCAGGAACCAATTTTATATTGTTAATTACATCCTCCAGAAGATGAGCCTTAAAAACAAAAACATAAGAAATATCAATCAATTATCAAAGAGGATTATCATAACGATCTAATTCGTCCATATTTTAAAAATATAAGAAAAACAAAACGAACAGTAAATAAATGCGTTATACAAATGATGTCAAGAATTTATCTAAAATTGTACTACAGTTTTATCTTATCAATAAGAAAAAAAAAAAAAAAAAAAGAACTGCGTTATCAGTTTGCAAGGCTGTCTTTAAAGCAAATATACTTGGATTTAGACAATATTTTCTTTATGACAAGTTTTGTATTTGATATTTCAAAATTTTTGAACTTTTCCAACTCTACGTTTTATTTTTTCTTTTTTTTTTTTTTTTTTTTTTGAACTTTTCCTACTTAACCTAAACATTAAAATCGAATTAACAGTGGAAATCAAAATTGAAAAAGCAAACCATGGCAACAGAACTAGCCGGTGCATCGTATGAAACATGAATGAAATGAACATGTAAATGATAGAATGTTGGTTGATAATGAAAATAAGCTCGAATCTAAAGAAAAGAATAAAATAAGATGGACTGCTCTTCTGTTACAACTAAAACAACATTCTAGTAAGCATCTTAGAATTGCACGAAAAGATGAACTTGCCAGGAACCACTCTGATGTTTCATTTTTTTTTTTTAATTCGATTTTTCAAATAAAATGTCTTATAGTAGTCATAAAACATTCTACAACATGCAAATTTCATTTCTCTCTTATGCATAACAAAAAGTTATCATCTTATAGAACTTATAAAACTTAAATTCGTTTGAAAAATCTTATTACGTTGCAATCGAGTTCTGTCAGAATTTTAAAATCCAGTAAAAATTTCTACCGAATTAGAGCTCAAAATTTCACAGTACTGTACTGGAATCTTAAACTGTCATATTAGAACTAATTCTACATCATAACATTTCTTATCAGATAAGCATTACCATTATAATGTCTCATACAGGATAAAAAATACGTAAACTGAAAATTGATAACTGATTATGAACTGACAATTAGAAATTACCTGGTGTTTATCAATTCCATATTTTTCTTTAATTGCTATATAACTTTTTTTTGAAATATTCTCTAGCAGCGGAAGGTCATTGCTTGTTAAATCCCTGAAAGGAATAAATGCAATGAATTTCAGTAACAATAAAAGTAGAAAAACACATATTGTCAACAACAGTGCTTCCTTAAAAGCAATGGAATTTTCAAATTAAAAAACAGAAAATTTCTAACTTGTTAAAAATCAAAGACTGTAAAAATAATCAATTTTTCAAAATTTAAAAAAGAAAGAAAGAAGCAATTAAGGAAGAAAAATCTTTGTTTTAAAAAGTTTTTAATCTAAAGAATTTTCTCTTTAATTCACAATATCAACTACGGTTCCATTCATTGCTCACTGAAATGATTTAACCATCATCGATCCACATTCTTCCGGTGTTTAAAATGTTAATATTTTTCAAATGAGCAGTTTAGAAGAGAAGAAAATATTTAAACTACCGAATGGATTTGATTCCTTTCCGCCTGATAATTGCTAACACATAAAGATTAGCTAAATTCTTGCCATCCCATTTAAGATCTGGAGCAAGTATAAAACCATTCTCTGGATCTGCATCTTCAAAAATAATACGATCCATTTCGGCTTTATGCTCCAGCATATTAAAAATCCACTAAAAATAAAAATTAGAGACAAACTAAATAGCACCATCTATTCATAACAAAAGTTATTTGAATTACTAACAATTAGAAAATTTAGAATTAAAAAATCGTAATTTTTTTTTTTTATTAAAATGACACCTTCATTGTGAATTGCTGTTCTTCCAGATAAGGTAAAGTGATGGTCTTGTAATCGTCCGGTGTTTCATAGATGACATATCGCTTCTGATCTCGATATTTTGCAATATGCTTTTCGGTACATGGATTTATTAACGTCGTCTTGATCCCTTATGTATACTTTTTAATATCTCATTATCTTAGAAAGCTCTATGGCTATATTAATACCAAACCAAAAAAAGAAAAAAAAAAAAAAATTACAACTCATTAATTATAACTCATTTAAGAACTATATTTTGCTCAAAAAAAAAAAAAGCAAAAGCAAAATTAGTACCAAATAGTAGTTCTAAAAATCAGTAATACACAACTTCTATGAAAAATTGTCTTGTTTGGTATCCCACACGATTAATATGAATTTAGATAATCTTAAAGAAAATGATCAAATAATTGAAAATATGAAGAAAGTAAAGATTGTTACCAGAAAATTTCTCTGGTGGAAATAAAATATGATTTGAATATATATCATTCATTGATAAAGTTTCCAGTGAACATTGCGATACAATGGTATTCCAATCTTGTTCATCCATAGGAAAAGGAGTTTTTTCCACAATTAAAACAGCTTGATCATTACAATTATTCACATCGAGTAGCACAAAAGTTATCTTAAAAAAAAAAAAAAAAAAAAAAAATTAACTTTAACAAAAAAAGTTCAAAGAGAAAAATTTGCAAAGTTTTTATAAATTTTAAGATTTTTTTTTTCTTATTAATTTAAATTTACGATAAAGCTAAACAGCAATTTTACAGATTTCAATTGCTAAAATTATTTGTGGAAGTTATTTAGGTTAGCATTTTAAGATTTACTCGATTTATGAAGAGTTAACAATAATTTTGGAAGAAAATTTTAATATATTGAAGCAACACTTCACATTAATCATTCCTTTCAAATCGATAATACTTTGATGATTGTTTAATTTTACACAACATTTTACCTATTAAAAACTGTTACTGAAAAAATTCTTACCTTACGGGTAGCATCTTCGCCAAGTATTTCTTTAAATTTAAAACCTTTCAAATCATTACAACTTTTCGTATCATCAGTAATTTTAATTTCATCAGCTGCCATGATATCCATACTATCGACGAAATAAATACAATTTACTCTTTCCCTCAATAAATCTTACATCACCAATAAATAAAACATATTAATTGTTTCTGTTTTAGATTAATCCCAAGAAATCATTTCAGCCAAAATTTATAATTTACATCATCCAAAAATAACCGAAATCAGTTTTTGAAAATAATCTTATTAAGAGAGTGAATTGCGCCTTTTTTTTTTCCATAATAGCCAGACCATTTATATGTAATAGCTGAGAGGAGAGAAATAATTCACTGTAAATTTAAATTTTTATCATAAAATCGAATACTTAATTCGAATATCTACAAATGATAGATTATTGTATACTTATTAGTAAAAGTAAAATGATACCACATCCATTTTAACCTTTAATGAAATGATATCTTTCAGTATGTGCCTCTGTTAGTATTCCAAATTAAAATTTTACTCATATCTAATCTAATCTAGAAAATATTAACTCCCACATACAATCCATCACATTATAAAAAATCAAAATTATTCTTGCTTAATGTTACTCATCATCACAAATAATTCTTACATATAATCAAATAATAAATATAATATAATTAAAATTTACCTCATCTTCTATCTCTATCTCAATTTTACTTAGCTAACTTATTTTATTTGAACAGTATTCAATTTAAAAAAAAACCCTCTAATTTGTAACAGTAACTTGATAGGATTGCATATAACTAACATTTTGGTAAATTGTTCACAAATTAAGACTGAGAAAAAAAAAATACATTTTATGAAAAAAAAAAAACACACATAAATTTGTTAACATGGCCGAATAATAGTTGTAAAACAACAGTAAGAAACGATTTGATGTAGGAAGAACAATGTCATTAATAATTGTTAGGTTTAACTTTGGGTATGACTTTGAACATTTTTGAATCTATAATAGAGTAATGAGATTGTAGACCGCTTTAATTTCCCGCTTCTTTCTTGGTCTCCTTTTTGTCAATAATATCTTAGAAAGAAGATACCTTGCTAAATTACAAATTATAAGTCAACACCCAATACATCATAATAATAATAATCAATTGGATTGTAGAATATTCAATTACTCAAGCAAATGAATGATATATATCATAACAATCATAACATATTAGTAGTAATTGATCATGAATATATAAATGATGTGGAGAAAATATAACATCATGTAAACAAATTATCAAGAAATGCGTGTGATCCCTGTATTTTTCACAACAAAAAAAAAGGAAAAAAAAAACATACACACAGGAATCGAGAAGGTGAAGAAGACACGAAAAGTGTTCAAAAAATTATCTCATCCAGAACTTAACGATAATAAAGTGGAATAAAAAGAGAGAAAGAAGTCAAATTTAAATTAGAAAAATTTTATCTCAATTATTCAAAGAATAAGACAATATATTGTAAAATACTAAACGACACTATAAACTGTTGAAAAAAATATGACAGAAAAGAACAATTCTATTAGGGGACTTATTATTGAAGATAAATGCAGTAGTTTCAACTTACAAAAATATAAAAAGAGAAAGTAATCTAAGCGAAAAGAGATGTATGATTAATGTTGAATTCAAAAGAAAATGAAATATTTGTGGTAAATAGTGAAATGAAACGAACTGCATTACCGAAATTTAAGCATATGCTCCCATATCATATCAAAAAAGGCAATAATATAAATAGCTAATATTAAAATCAATCTTAAAAATTGAAACAAAAAAAAAAAAGAAATAAAGTGATTTTCTGCGATAATTGAAGTCAATTAATGTGCATAAAATAAAGGAAAAAGTAATCCACAAAGCAAGCAACCGACACGGAATGCTATATTTACGCTTCACAATAAACAATAACTAATTTCACAGCTTTAAAAACAGCACAAAAATTTTTCATTTTAAAAACAAAACAGATTTCAGAAAACAATAAAAAAAAGTAAAAAGGCTTTAAATGCGACCATATAAAAACTAAATAACATTTCTGGTGTTTAACATCTTTAATATTTAATATTCTTAATAAGCAGTTTCACCATAACAATAAGTGCTATTAATTTTGTGTTCTAAAATAAACACCGCAATTCACCTGTCAGTTCACTGCACTTCTCATTTGACATATTTGTTAAACCTGCTCAAATATTTGCTCTTTAACATTGATGATCTTAGAATTACACCTGTTCTGACATGGAAACAAAATTGACAATTATATTTCGGAATGTCCTTGCTACTTCTGCATTTGCCACCGCAAATTAAAAAAAATATCATTTTAAAGAAATTTGAAAGAAAACAAAAACTTTAAGTTTGCGGAAAATAAGAATAAAAGTACAAATAATAAAAGTGCTCATAGCAACAGCTTCAAAACCGCAAAAGGCATGTGCTGGAAGTTCAAGAAATGCACTTCGCGTGCCTAGAGGCCTGAGAATAGCTCTGTTACAATAACAGCTCTCAAATAACACTCGTTAAGAATAGAATGATACTTTAACCGAATGCTTTTCCCTCCAAAGGACATAATCAAAAACTGCATTCAATGTCGCAGTAGGAAATTTTCTGTTATGCATATCATATAATAGGCGAAATATTTGGCCTAAGCTATAGCATCTGGCCTCAAAATTAAAAACGATATCCTAAAATCGTTAAGTACTCCCAACTGCGCTGCAATGGTCGAATAATGGAAAAAAATAATGAATAACCAAGCAGTTTCTTGAGCATGTCACAGTCAATGTTTGAAAATTTTTCAAACAGTACTGCGCATACCAATCCGAACGAAAAAATCCACTATCCGTTGTTAAATTCCGGAGATCGAGTAACTTTGTTAGGAATCGTCCAAGCACTATTCGAATTTGGCAAATACTGCTGTCCTGAGTAAAATGCCTGCTGAAGTGCTGATGAGTCGGTGTTCGTAGGACCTTTGTTTCCCTCATGTTCCAACATCGCTATAGCGACACTACCATCAGCGAACGATTGTCCCGATGGATTGGCGCTTAATGCATAAGCAAAACCATCCTAAAAAATGACTGTTAAATGGTTTACTATATTTAACCTGCAATTTATTTTACGTTATCCGATATGTAAAATTTAGGTGCTACGAAATGAAACAATAGCTTGAACAACCAAAGAATGTGACAACAGTATATCTTTCACAGTAATCTACACGATGTCAATTGTCCATACAAGCAAAAGCATAAGTTTGATATCAGTTCCGAATCAAAATGAATTAATTCTTTCTTTTTTTCTTCTTTTGGGTTAGTATGCGTAATATCTGCCTTTTTTGTTATTTGTTCTTTTTTTTTTTCTCGATCTTAGTTATAAGAAAAAGCGATGAAAGTGACAGTCAATAAGAAAAATGAGAAAAAAACAAACTTGTGGAAAATTACTGGGCTGCTGTTGTGGAATCATAAATGCTGGAGCTATTTGCATTTGCCCATGAGAAGACGGCAAGACAAATGGTGTGTGGAGGGTGACCAAAGGATGTGTCTTTCGTGCATATGATCGCACTGCACTCGTAGATTCAGTTGTAGGTGTGGGTGCAGATGATGTCAAACTGAAGAAGTTCCTGAAATACAATAAAATTTACCTATGAAATAGAACGTCAATCCATTTCTTTATTAATAATTCATAATGAAACATCAAATGGCTACGATAACAGCACAAAGTTCTTCTACTGAATATTGGTTATACAAATAGAATTGCTTCTAGAGCTCTCGTCAAATAAAAAATTAGAAACAAATAAATGGTTATTGAATGCTTACTTGCTTTTCTTATCTGGTGTGATAAATCGTGCACACCTTGGCAAATGTTTGTATTTAATATGCTGCTGTAAATGAGGCAGCAGTGAAAATGATCTAAAAAATATTTAAATCCTTCATAATCCAAATTAGCAAGATTATCAGATCATTTAATACAGTATATTTTTGATGCCATGATTACAAACTCATAATAAAAACATCAAGTTAAATATAACTGTACAGAAAAAGAACCAGTTATGATCAAACCAGTTAGCTAAAAACCAAAAAAACAAAAAAAAAAAAAAAAATCAGTACAAGTCCTATCTTATCAGAGCTTGAGATTGGCTTACCTTGGATATCGCTTATTTCTGAAACATGTCGACCATAAACAAGCATAACGTTTTTCACCCTGCGCTAAAAAAAATTTTTGATAAAAATATATAGTAAAAATTGACTTTGTTCCAAGATTATTTTGCTTATATCTATGTTTAAATTTACGAATTTTACCGTTTAACAAATGGATTTACTGCAGTGCCTCCAACAAAGATGCAAATATCTAATTTGTCATGGAATGTAGGATATAGCGTACTTAAACGTTAGCTAGATTACCAGCATCTTAAACTGATTACCTTAAATTTAATCACTGCTATATACTGATAAAATAAATTATTTACAGAAGTATTCCATATTGTGTGTAGTTTTGATATGTTCATAAAGAGCATCTGATGTATCCGCTTGGATATCACATTTTTGCCACATGCATTGATAAACGAGAATCCTTCCTGGAGGCGGCTGAAAATAAAAAAAGACCACACATTTTGTTTATTGCTTGCTTCTCTGTTCAATCGCAAAGTACAATTACATCACTGGTATAAGAAAAAAAGAAAAAAAAAAAAAACACCTACCAAAATGATTTTTTGACTGTCATCCTCTTTTGCTTCCTTTGCAATTTGTTCTGCACGTAATTTGTATTTGTTTTTTTCTTCAGCTGATACTTTTGCCCACTGAAAATTGTTTATCAATTATCAAAATATCTATAGGCAACCAACGAAATGATCACAGATGTTATGAAATAAGTTGATATAATGATGATGAAAATATACACCACAATTTAATTTACCTCTTCGCCGACACGTTTGCTCACTTCAACAAAATTCAATTCAGGATGTGCTGCTCTGATGCGTTTTCTAGCCTCACCATGAAATAACATATAACCAGTTCTGGCACGACATGCCTTCTTGGGTTTCTGCAAGATCTGAACTAGAAGCTCTAGACAAACACTAGATTAATCGTTTGTAATATCAAAAACACTTACAAACAAAAATTATCACTATGAAATTTGAATACACAGAAAAATCTAAAAACCTTAGCAGGAGTAGCGCTACTCGATGTTTCTTGTCCACTTGGAGCCACAGCTGTCCCACATACCGCACCACCTGACGCAAGATTATCCGTTACGAAATCACCTGGGCCGGACATCTCCATCACATTTCGTGTTGAGAATTTCGGGAAATAGATCGATCACACAGTAGACTAATGTGATAGTGCTGCAAGTACACTTTAAAAATGTCTGACAGTACTTTTTAAAGTATCGTGACAAAAATTATACTACAAATTCTACAAATCGACATTTGTAATATCCTTTTCTATTAAAATCAATCTCCCACGTAACTATAATGGAAGATCGACTGTTATAAGTAAAATTAACCCTTTTAAAGATACTGTTAACAGCCTATCACCCACGCCTTCATGCAACGAGACCTAAACAGTACTGTGAATTCTACTCCTTGTTCAATAACTTCGATATCTGATTTGATGGAATATCGGTATGACAGCATATGCGATTCCATTTTCTCTTATAAAACGGCGATCATCTAACCTGCTATGCATTCCTTCAAAAAGCATATTACTATTAAGAAATGAGATATCAAGGTAATAGATATCAAGAGACTATAATGCGCGAAATGTTAACTAGCTCAATTTAAAAAAAAAAAAAAAAAAAAAAATGATAATTACACGCAATCCCACATAACTTACTCCAAACATTATAAAATTATCTGCTTGATAATAAAGAATTAAAAAAATGCCGATTGGAAACGGATTTATAACAAACAAGAAAGTTCGTGAAATTTGAAATTATATTTTATATAGAAGCAAACTGATAAAGCTAAAATCAACATGCGGTAAAAGAAGTCAAATCAATACACAAACGAACAGACAGAACAGAAATGACAACAAACCCTCGTCACCGCATATCACATTTTTGACGAACAATTGTGCAAATCCCGTCAGTACTATGATAAAATTTAAGCAAAATACATAACATTCAAGAGAGACAAATGCTACAGTTATTTTCAGTTTGTATAGCTCTAATTTCAGTTTGTATAATTCTAAAACAACCAGTGCTTCAGGACGGATAGAAGGCTAAAGAGACAGAAAAGATATCGTCATAGACAAAAATATCTAAATCACCGACATAGCTCTGCGATTTTTAATCGAAATTACTAAGGTGCAACCGTACATTACTACCAGAGTTTCAAACAGTGTTTGATAAATGAAAGTTCATCAACATACATTTTAGTACACTGTAGTGTCTGCTAATATGTACTTAAAAACTTTTCCTTTCCGTGCTCAAAACCTTTACTATTACTACAAAGTAGATATTTCAGAACGATCCATTTCAGGTTGATCAAAAGATATTTAGCTGATAATGACACATTAAGGCGAATAAATACTTTCAGTTTAGCTCATTTTTATCGTTGTTTTTGAGCAGTATCTAACAGTACCGGCGCCTCACTGGTTGTGAAATAGTTATAAACAAAGAAAAGATTAGTGAATTAATTAATAAAAAAAAGTTAAAGGGTGGAATCATAAGTACAATCAGTTTTAAATTTCTTCAAATCCTTAAGAACTCTTTCAAAAGCGGCGGCGCGGCGATCTTGATTTTCGATCAGATTCATAAGACATGATATATCAGATGTTATTTCTTGCGCAAGAATTCTGACCACCGTTGAATGAATGGTTTCCTTTGCCAGCACTAGCTGACTGGGATGCAAATCCCTGAGCACTTCCGCTAGTCTGTTCGCCCAATCTGCTTCTGAGTAACTTCTTTTATTCATTGAAGGACCAGCCTCAGAAGCAGCAGTAAGCAAAGATGTATGAAATGGACGACGCCTGAGACGTAGAGTCCACAATGTTGAATCTCTCGATCTGGAACCAGGAACTATTGGTGACGATCCAGCAGATGCATACTTATCAAGAGGTGGAGGCGATGCATTATCGTCACAGTATTCTCCACGGCTTTCTTCACCATCCATCATATTTGATGAAAATGACGAGTTCTGAAAATTCTGTTGACTTGCAAAACAAAAAAATGAGATGAATGCACTAATAAAACCACTACAATGATTTTGTTTTTCAAAGCGATTACGAACAAACTTACTACTTGAGCAGCAGTTAAACGGGGTGGCGTATCATCTGAATGTACTGATGATGTTGCTGCCGATTCAGGATCAGTACCATTATCTTGCCCTATAACCATTTCATTAACATACTAATTAATTTGTAACCTATATTTACATCAAATGTTCAAGTTCCTCTCGATAAAAACCTTGTATTTCTAATATCTTCAGAGTATTCCTTCGATGTTCTTGATAGATATATAAGGTTAAGTGGTACACCAAACCTTACGGTTGTGGTAATTCGCCACCTTTGTAAAGTACCGAAGCATAAAGAGATACCTATCCAAAACTGAACTAAATGAGGTATAATTGGAACTTTACCACATGCAGCATTCTGACACTCACTGTCGAGCTGTGGCATTTCTTGTTTAGCAGTCTGAAAATCACTAATCAATTTCGAGACTTAATCTTGAAATATATGGAATTGTTCCTTGATGAACTCTTGTAGTTAGCGAAATTCACAATATTTCTTTCATGTAGAATCGCTAATCTCAAAAATATAATATTACATATGCAATTCAAGCCGCACTGAATCATCATATCCATATTACAGCTATATTATTATTATTTCAAGCTGTAACAGCACTTCTTGTCAAAACTAACAAAACGAATTTCAAACTACTTACAAAATTTCACCCTGTCAAACCCGTTATAATGGTTACGGTGTAATTCATGACAAAATAATGTTCCATATGAAAAGCTTAACAAATTTGAAATTTTTTAAACCCTTTCACCGTCTGGGAATCTTACTTTCGAAAGCAAACGCTGAATTTCATCCTTCCTATCCAATAGCAACCCTTGATTCTCATCGCTATTTTTTGGAAGTAATACGCATGGTTTCTTAGCATCGTCATTACTGCTATTAGTGCTATCTGTGGAAACACTAGGGTCATTCGAGAGACCATCGACTGGCGACTGCAAAAGAAAAAATAAGAGTATAAACATAATGGGAAAACACTTCAAATAAGTTTTTTCCGTTACATTCAAAACAAAACAGTTCAATCTATAATCCTATGTCTCTTTTACATGCCATATACAACCAACAGTTCATTGTCTCCACATCTAATCAGAACTATACAATTTATTCATATTTTCGCTGATTGTATCGGTACATCTGTCATTAACTCCTCCAATAATTGTTTCTCTTTCTACTAATTTTAGTAAAAAGTCTTATGCAAAAAATACGAAAGTTTATTACATACCAAGCGTGGTGGTGTTTCGCGTTGTTCATGCTTCAGTAATTTTCGGAAGACCTCTAAAAATTTGTGAATAACATGATGAAAAAAAAAAAAAAAAAAAATTCCGAGATAGCTTACCTTCTAACAGCTGCACTACCTATATGAAATTCATATATCTGAATTGTCTGCAGTAACCAACAGTTATCTCTAAATACAATAATTGCTAACAATAATAAAAATCAGTATAATCTATATAAACTTTGCAAATGCATTATTTTTTTAGACATATCATCCCATTAACTTCAAATACTCCACTTCAAACTACTTATTTCTTCTAGCTACAATTTCTATGCTTGAATTCATAGCTGAATAGTAATGTAACATACCTGGTCGAGAGTCATTCTCTCCAACCATACTACCGAGTAATTCCGATTGTTGTGACATTTGTCGTGCTCTCCTCTTTCCTCTATTCTTTACCGCTAGCAACTTCCTTTCAGCACATTTCTTTCGGACCACTCCCGGCATTGCTATACATCTTTCGTGGCCTGAAATTTCATCAACAATACCCGTCACGTTTTGTCACGTTTTGACGTATATAATATCATCAATACAACAACTATTACAATGCAACAACAAGAAAAGCTACCAACACACAATCCAACAGTACAAAACACAAATCCATCCAGTCATCATCTCTACCCACCCAACGCGCACCACCCACGCCACCCGCAACGCACGCACGCACGCATGCGTCACTCAGCCATTACAACCACCTGCCTACAGAACCCCTGTGCTAGTCGAGCTGTTACAGTTGGTGATGCACGCTTGCTACGTAATGCAGCGGAAAATTATTTGAAATTTGAGGAAGTGCTAGTGATGGTCCGAGATTTACCGGGATATTATTTGAGATTTTTGCTTGCATCAATCGATAATAGGCATTAATAAATGCTTTATTGTATTAGACAATTTTGATTTTAAAAAAGTACAAAGAATATTAGTACTGTTGCTGCGAAATTGGATCGTCTTAAAAAGTAAATAAGGAGGGAAAAGGTTGACAGTTAGTATTTTAGTAATTGAGTAAGTAAGTTATTAAGTATGTTGATAAGTCTGAAATAGTAAATGTAGTAAAGTTACATGTTTAACAGTAAGTATGAAAGAGAGTAAATGGAAAATAGAAATTGGAAATTAATGACAGTTAGTACATTAGTAACTGAGTAAGTAAATTATTAAGTATGATGATAAGTCTGAAATAGTAAATGTAGTAAAGTTACATGTTTAACAGTAAGTATGAAAGAGAGTAAATGGAAAATAGAAATTGGAAATTAATGACAGTTAGTACATTAGTAACTGAGTAAGTTATTAATATGTTGATAAGTTTGAAATAGTAAATGTAGTAAAGTTACATATATTAATAGTAAGTATGAAAGAGTAAATGGAAAGTGAGAGAACTTTCAATTCGAAATAACAGCAGGAAGAGACTTAATTTGAAGATTTGAAGAATTGAAAATTAATGATAGAATTTCTATAGCTGAAAATTGAGATAGTCTTGTTAAAACTTTTTTTTTTTTTTTTTTAAAGAAAAGAAAGAACTAGTCTTGTTAGTTAAGTTTTTTATTCAATAATTAAATGAAAATAAATGATAACTAATATATGTAAGATAAATTGTGAATTTCTTCTCATCCTTATTTAATTTGATAAAGTGAAAAGAATGAGAGCATAAAATGGATTTCGCTTATTTTCAGTTTTTATCTTTTCCATTTTGTTTGTCAGCAATTATTTATTATTTGTTTGTTGATTGCTTTTGAATAATTTCTGGTGGTTTACTGATTGCCTTTGAATAATATGCCGTTGTTGAAATGCTCGAAAGAAGAATTGAATCTTGGGGCAGTATTGTTAGGCGGCCAATCATTCAGGTAATATTTTTAATTACTTTCTCTTTATTTCCGCATTTGAATTGAATTGTTATCAAAATATATGTAAGCACATCTTATTTATGTTAATGCGTCTTTGGTGTATAATAAATAAAAGTTTACTAAAGTTTTTCGAATCTGAAATACGTGGATTTTACTGGAAAGAAGGTAGTAGCTGTGCTGATAGCATCGGGTTCAGGCACTGGCTGAAACAAGAAAACCATGAAAAAGAATTCGAAAAGTTTTGGTGATATCACTTGGAAACAGTTTCAGTCAAATTTATTTTTTATAAATTTCGTTTCTCTTTCAGTATATACAGTGTGACAGGCAAAACACAAATAATTGTATAACAAAATTCATCATTTATTAAAGTCTGCTTAGCTTTTTTTTCAATTTTGAGATGGAAAAAATTGGTAACAAATGATGAAAATATCGCTCCTGCATCAGATGACATATTTTTTGGTGTTGCTAAACATCGAGTATGGAAAATATGGCGCGAGAATGATGAACAATTAGGTTACGAAGTGTTGGCAAAGTTTTCAAAAGCTCGTAGCAACGACTTGGATGTCCTCAAAGATTATTTCCAGGTTACTTGGTTTATCAGTGATTGTTTTGCTTTTTCCTTTTCAAAAATGTTTAAATTTCTTATTCTGTCATCCTTTAAAAAGGGAATTTTGAGTTTAGTATTCGCACTTAAAACTGCAAAGTGACTGGTTAATAATTTTGATTTGAACTGTGATTTTTGTGTCCAACAAGGACGCAGTATATATAATTTTTTTTAGCTTGATATTGAACTGATGCCATTATATAAGTTATGGGCTGAAAATGACAAATATTTCGCTCATCTTCTCGAAAATCATCGGACAAAATTGGAAGGAATTCGTGTTCTTGGACAAGATCCATTAGAAACTGTTTTTGCTTTCATTTGTTCTGCAAATAATCATATCCGACGTATCACAAGTATATTTTTACATATCTTACTAGTTTTATTCATTGATGACAGGATTATGATTATATGCTTTTTTTTTTCAAGCTTAGCATCACTTCTCAGATTAAAGAATAAACTCATGGCGCATTTAAACTTAATCAATTTTTGTGTTTCATGTAATTTTAAGTTAGTTGAAATGAGCTGTTCTTGTAATGTAGATAGTATCCCTTTCGTATCAAAATTGAATTATTCCATACAGATATGGTTGAGACATTGTGTGAGCTGTACGGTGAAAGCGCTATTATTCCTTGTTCGAATGGTATGAAAACATTTTATGATTTTGCTGATCCAAAACGCATGACCGATGATCCTGAATTGGAAAAAGTATTGCGAATTCGTGGATTCGGTTATCGCGCTCTAAACATTGCACTTGCTTCTAAAACACTCGTAAGTTCTTCCACCGTCAACTAGATTAAGAATTTTAAAATAAGTTTTGTCTTAGGTAAATTTTTTGATAGGGTTTTTTATTTTTCATTTAAATTTCAAATGATCGTAATGTATAATTTTGATGACAGGAAGATAACGGGGAACAATTTCTGGAAAATTTATCGAAGGGTACTTACGAAGATGCAATGGAAGAGCTTCAACAAATGCGAGGAATTGGCGCGAAGGTGAGTTTGTTTAATTTATAGCGTGTTTAATTTATCCCATTTCATTAATGGTGCAGATGATTTGATGGGTTCAAAGGTATAACTGAATAAAATACCTTAAAATAATAGCCTATGCAAAAAAAAAAAAAGTTTGGTTGTGTGGTCTGTCTTTTTATCAAAACTTTCCCGAATCAATCTCATCACAAGAAGTCCTTGAAATTTTTTCAAGGTTGCAGACTGCATATGTTTAATGGGATTACGCATGCATTCCGTTGTACCAATTGATACGCATACCTTACAAATTACAGCAGAAAATTATTTGCAAACATTACAGCAAAGAAAATCTTTACAAGGAAAGGATCGGCAACAAGTTGGTATGATTTAAATTTCACATGATTTCTAATTTATTTTAGTTTTCCAAATTATAACAATTTAGACTTTCCTGTAATTAAATATAAACTTTTAACATGACTCATAATAGGTGATAAATTTCAATATCAATGTTTTAATACCTCTATTAGACCACAAACCATGTAAAAGGTTTTCAGCAGCTGTTTGGCAAGAAAAGTTTGGCCCATATGCTGGTTGGGCACAAGCTGTTTTATTCACAGCACATCTGCGACAGATGAATATCAGACAATCGACAAAGAAGAGATTATCAAAAAAAAAAGCAGTAAAGCTATAAGAAAATTTGCATTGAACATTTGTTACTAATTTTATGAAAGCATTATACGGTTGTCATTATGTAACTATGTACGGCTTTCGTTCATTTACAATAAGCTATAGAGCAGCGTCTGTACGAACGAATAACAAATTAATTTTCACTGTGAAAGATTTACAAAGCATTTGAATTGATTTATCTGGTATTCCCACGAATTATATAATCAACCAGATTTTGGTTGATTATATAATTCGGAAATGGGATTCAATAAAAATATATATAGAATTTCCACAGAAGAAATGTGATTAAATTTTTGAAGCAAATCAAAAAACGGTAAGTCATATCTACAGCAATCTATTCCAATGTCTTAATCATCATTATCAGTCGTCATGGAGTGGTTTTTTTTTTTGGCGGTTTTTTATCATTTTGAAGATCTCGATTCATTAACCAGTTTTCATTATTTCGTGGAGACATCGATTGTCCTTTCTGACAGTTTTCAACTTTATCTTATTTCTTTCTCTCTCTCTCTCTCTCTCTGAAAGTATCGTTCTAATGATTTGAGGTTTGATAGCACATCAGAGATTAAATATATTAAATTTAAATAATATATATATATAAAATCCCTTATTAAGTTAATATTCTAGAAAAGAATGAGGAGTAAATTTGTCCTTAGATCTCCTTCTGACAATTCAAATTCATATGTATTTGAATTTACTCATATTTGTGTTATAATGCTGTGATCAGCAATTTGTTGTTTAAAGAAGCATGAAGAAAGAATTAGTGAAATATTTGATATGCACTCTACAATGTAAGTTTTCTTAATTTCTATTGAAATTATTCTAGATCATATAAAGAAAGATGAGATATAAATTGATCTGTTACCATTCCAGTTTTATTTTTCAAAGTTTGTCATTGATTATTATTAATTGTTATTACTATTTAGTTTATTTATTATTCATTTAATATCAATTTTTTTATTATCGCTATCATTCTTTACTCTTTATTTTTCAATACTATTTACTTGATGTTTAATTTTTACTGGTATGTTGGCAGGAAAATCTTCAGAGGACCTCGCATGTTGCGCATTTTAACATATCGAAACGAAATTTAGAATGAAATCTCATTTTGACTATTTCACTTTCATTTTCTTTGACATTATTGTTGTTGGAAACAAATAAATCCGGTCCGTATCGAAAATATGGATATCTTTGAATGATAAACTTAATGAATAGGACTTTCAGATGTACCTGAACAAAGCTAACAGATATAATTAATTTTTATTTTCATAACAAAATAAAAATGGTACCATATTCCATAATTTGCTGTACAATAAAAATTTAAAGGAACAAAATAGATGGCAAAAAAAAAAAAAAAAAAAAAAAAAGATCAAAGTTATTGTAAGCAGAATTATTCTATGCAAAAATTGGTAATCTTTTAACACTTTAACGAAATAAAATATTTTTGCACAAAATATCAAATAAACCTGTAAATGAAAAAAAAAAAAAAAAAAGAGAAAAAACAAGGATTAACTTCCTAAATGCTTCATTATTTTGTAAATAATGATAGAATAGTGTAAAATATTATTGTTGTCGCACAGTGTGTGTGTGTTCCCTGATATCTTCTTCTACCAGTAAATATAGTAACGACTAGGTGAGATAATTTATCTATTCTTAATAATAAGAAGCTAATTAAAAATTTAGTCCTTTAAAAAAAAAAAAAAAAAATTTTGAAACAGCCCAAATTGTAACCTGTAAATTGGATCACTCGTGGACTATATATGCATGTATATAGGCACCGGTGCTGAGATCAGTCCAATGCATTGCGGAAAATATGAAGGCAAAGAGAGAGAGTAAACAACCTCCCTGTTATTAACCTGGAGGAAAACATAAACAATTCTGAGACCAGCAAAAATAAGCAAAAAAAAAAAAAAAAAAAAAGAAGAAAATGCATAATCAAAAATTCCAGTACCATTGAATATGCGTTACATTTATCAATCGCATAATACTTAAAATCGTATTTATTTTTAACAAAAATGGAACTTTTTTACTTTTATGTTTCACGAACATAAAATTTCATGTTCTTTTTTTTTTTTTTAAAAATAAAAATAATAGCAGAGATATTGTTTAAAAGGATATCTTTTCAAAATGTAAAAAGCATTTAAAATATGAAAAATTAAAACGTCTACACATTTGGTGAATAGATTAATAATAAATATACTTTAGTTGATTCATCTAATAATGCAAAACAATATACCTAGAAATATATACTGAAGAAAAATTTGCATATTCAAAGTGGTTACAAATGAAATAAATTAATAGAAAACATATTCATTTAGTGTTAAGCAGTTAAGCAGGATCGATCTCAGAGTAAAATTGACCACTTATTTTTCTTTGCCAATAATAAATGAAACGTATGATAACAATGATGTAAACAATCATTCATCTCTCAAGCTATTCAAAAATGCAAAAATTTTTAATTTGGTTTTTGAAAGAGGCCAGGTATTCTTGAAAATTCATCTCGAAATTCTTGAACATTCACTAATAACAATAGCAGTACCCTGAGAATCAATTGGTCATGAAATAATGTCAATAGACAACATGATAAAGCGGTGTGTAAAAAGAAAACAAGAAATTAACAATTAAAATTATTACCAATCTAGAGTTATTAGTTGTTAATTGCTCTTGCTCTAGTTGAGATCTGTTTACAACTTCATGTCTTGCTGCTATATTCTAACTGCACTTCTAGCAACATCTATCAATTCCAATAAATACTTGCAGATTTCTCTTCTCTAATTCTTCTATAGCAAAAACCTGAAATCAGCAATGCTGAGATATTTACATATACTTTAAATGTCACCGATAACTTATAAAAAAATCAGTTAAACGTCAATTAAAGTAGGCAATATGTAATACATAGAAGACTAATTCTGACCAAAGATAATAATTAACTAAATCAATTCTTCTTCATCAGAATTTATGGTATTATGAGATTTCACATAATAATTCGTAATCAAAAATAGCATATGATACCTTTCGAAGACTGACTAATTTTACATGGAAATGCATTGTAAGAAAGTAAGAAAAATACAATATCAATGCAACTAACAATGTCATAAAAGTATAAATAAAATAGAAGAGCAATAAACTACCTAACATTCGAAAAAATAATCCAATCGAAATCACTATTAGTTAATCTCAAGAAAGAGAAAATTTTCTTCTTGACAGAATTGAAGAATATTGCAAGATGAAATCTATGAAATATGAAGCGATCAAAAAAAAAAAAAATACTTTCTACACTTTTAGCACAAGCCTAGACATCATTACTATCTCGAGTATTTGATAATTGGATATCACAGCTTGATGAATCATCGTAATTTGAAGCAATATTATTCATACGTTCATCACTAACATTTTTCTCATCACTACCATCAGCATTATCATTATCATTATCAACATCATCATCATCATCATCACCATCATCATCATTAATATTATGTCCCTCTTCCTCTTCTTCCTCAAATTCATTTGCTATCAAATTTCCTGTCATTCCTGTACCAACATTGTTCGTTGCAGCAGTTATCATAACAGCTTTTTTTTGAAGTTCATCTGCAACTTTCACCCAATTCACATTTTTTGTTCTTCGAGCCAAGTAATGAACTTTACTTCGACGTTGATCACGAACTGCTTTTTTCAGAATATTCATAACACGTTTTTCCACTTTTGTATCCGTTTTGACATCGTGTGCACTCAATGTTTGCCTCAAATCTCTGTTTGGATAGGATGATGTCAACAATCCGGTGATATTGACACAATTATCTTCAATTTGAGAATCGTCCACTCCACTTCCAATAGTTTCCACGTTCTCCTCAAACGACAAATCCATACCATTAAGATTTTCATCTTTATCTGTTTCCATTTTAATGTTTCCTAGAAATAATTGAAAACTTGGCGGCAAACATCCAGCGATTGCTTGTAATCCATCTAATTCATTTCGCTTAATTTTAACTGACTGATGTGAAATTGGCGATCCACGATTTGATGAAGCATCTGCTCCTCTTCTCTTATTCTCATCAACCTAAAAATAAAAAAAAAAAACTAAATAGTAAAGTTACAAAATAATATTTTTTCAATCATTTCGTTAAATTCTAATGCAATCAACATTCCCTAGCAGTCTGCTATTGCATACTCTAAATGATATCATTTTTCACTAACCTGTACTAGGTTAGTACTGTGTTAAAAAGCAAAAGTAATATAAAAGTTAAGAAAACAGGTAATCAATAGTTAGAAGATAAAAACTAACTCTTTTCAAACGTGGTGCTTTTGGCTTATAGCAATGAACAGGTATTTCGCCTGTATTTCGTCTTGATCCTACTTCGTATTTTGTACCCTTAACATAATGAAACAAAACATAACCCGCATCTTCATATGTAGTCGTAACTTCGTAACGCCTGCAACTTTTAACTTCTTCGTGTTTAACTTAGATGATTGTCTTTATAAAATGTTCATTACAGCACGGCGATTTTGTCAACTTTCCTACTGAACGCCAAGAGTTAATACTGTATTGTTATTGTTCAAAGTTCTGTTGTACGAAGTTATTCAACTTATACACCACTATCGATATCACAAAAAATCATTACATAATTTCAAATCAAAGTTCAAATTTACGAAGCAAATAAGCGAAAAAAAAAAAAACTACATAATTCGGCCATCTTCAAAATCATCTCCACATCCACTAAAAAATCGTGTTATATACAAATTATCGGGCAACAAACCACTATCACTGTTATCAAATGAATAACCATCCTGTCTTAAATGTTCACGCATCTGCAATAAAATTATCTGCTATATTTCAGTGATAAAATTAAAACACAGAAAACAAATAGCAGATGATATAATAAAGAACAAAATATGCCCATTTCATTTCAACTCACAATGAAGTAATTTCTATGATCATAATAAAGCTAGAATAAATTTAAGAAAAAAAAAACTAACCTGTAACATATCTAGATCAAGTTCACCGCTATCTTTACTATCATAAATTACTATTGTTCCCGGTTCGGGTAACATTAATGGTGCCTCCCGGCATACAAACTGTGTTGTTGTTTTAGCTTTAGCTGCAGAGCAAAACGATGTATAATTTGGTAACAAATAAAAGTACTACAGTAAACTCCAATTAGAAAACAAACATAATTAGCAGAAATAGTCAAGCATGTATAATATTTGAGGTAAATTTAGAAAAAAAAAAAAAGATTTAAAACTTTTTCATTCCCTTATATTGTATTGATTTATGTATGTTTGTGCATACTACATTATCTTTCTTTCAATTATAATCGTAAATGAAAATTACTCTATGAATTGGAATGCATATGACAAATACTCTGATAAATTAATTCCGTAGAATATTGTGAAAGTTGTAAGTTGAATATCTCATTAAAAAAAGACAAATTCTAGAAAAGAAAAAATGTAGAACAATAAGAATAATTCTGATATGAAGAATAACTACTCGAAAATTCTCATTTCCAATGAAGCAAATTATTGATTTAATGATATAATAGAGATAAATTGATTTAAAATATTGCAGTTAAATTGCATACCAAGTAATCGAGCATAATCAGCAAATGAAAGTAAGCTGTACTGTTCGCTAATATGTACTCGATCCTGACATTCTTGCATACTTTCTAATAATTTTCCAATTAACCGATGGATTATTTCATACTTTTTCTCATCAGCTAATGAAGAGTATGGAGCATAAACATCAGACATTAAACGACTTGAAGCAGCAAATACTTGTTGATTTGTTGCTATTGCACTTTCCATTGATCCACCATTGTTTGCTACATGGAACAACAAATACAATTAGTATATTATCGATATAACTCTTATAACTAATCAAATTGAATGCAAATTAAACATCAGAACCAATCTAAACTATAATTTCTCTCTTTCCTATACTAATTCCTCTTCATTCGATAAATATAAAATCTAATCTTATGATTTGCATGCGTAATCACAATAAACAAAAGCTTAAAGTTAATACTTTTATTGATCGCTAATAATACTAATTTGCAAATTTAATTTTACCATCTTAACGAACAAAAATTTTCTCTAATTCTGATATCAAAAAAAAAAAAAGATTACTTACGTTCTTCTTGTGGTGCTACTGCACCATTTTCACATTTTAGAGCCTCATCAGGATGCTTGTTACGTAAATGCTCCCACATTCCTTTTGTTGATGATTGCGCATCCAAACGTAATTCTTTTCGCATACAGCTCATCAAACGACATTTAACAATCCTTTCTGTATCAGCTCGACTATATCCATCTGATTCATATAGATCAAAATAACGCCATACCACACTTTTCTTCGGGAAATATGGCATTGAAAGACGTAGCCAAGTACCGCTGGTACTAAGAATTGCTGGTGCTATTTCATCCGAACATACCGCAACAGTTGCATTTGGATTTTCTGATGATGATGATGATGGCCCTTCATCCATTATTTCCTTAAAAACTTAAACATTATTTTTTTTTTAATATGCTAACAAAAGAGTATAAATAATTCGTTGGTAATTATCATATTCACATTTAATACATTATAAATTAAGCAATAAAAGATGACAAAATCTTAGTTAAAATTCAAAATTATGCTAAAGCAAATGAATTCATTTCATAGATAACTAAAAGAGGAGCACATGTAGACAAGTAAAATTTCATTGATATTACAAAAATTCCTTTCAAATATCGTTAGATCATCGAAAAAAAAAAAAAAAAACAAAAACAAAAACAAACAAACAAACAAACAACATAAATGAATCATATATTGAATAACTGAAAAGGAATGAATCCATTAATAATTGATTTAATTCTTAGGAAATATTATAAAATGTAAGCAATGCAATGTTACTTATTACTTTAATGTGTTTTATTTTTTTACTAATATTATTCCTTATAGATATTGCTGACCTTTGACATCAAGAATATTACCTTGACACAGCATTTTTTCTCCATGCTAATATTACTCTAGTCTCATTTTTATAGTCTGAATGTGAACTGTGACCTTACAGCTCTGATAATTGATGATGAATTATATATCATATCTTTGAATACTTCAAAAATTTTCAATGCTATTATTATTGGCCATAGCCATAAATGAGCCAAGCAAAATTAGCAGACAATAGAAGAAATTATATTTGGTCAACTGATAGGTGACGACGACATTAACAAAATTGGCTAATCAATAAAAGATAAAAAAAAATGTTAGTTAGAAATAATTTGAAAAAAAAAAAATTGCCCAATAAATAGTTTAGGGAAAAGATATTGATTGATTCATTGATTAATGGAGGGTAAAAATATTTGGCTAAAATAATCGATGAAAATGAAAATTACCCAATAAATAGGTTAGGGAAAAGATATTGATTTGATGTTAGTGAAATCATTTAGCTAAAATAATCGATTAAAATGATAAGGAATGATAGCATTTATTCATAAATCAAAAATGATCAATAATTCCCAGGGTAAGAAGAAGTATTATGGGTAGGGGAAAGTATATGTGTGTGTAAAGTGATGAAATGAATAGGCTAAAAAGATCAATAAAATGCGGAAAGGAAAGAAAGAGAGAGTGAAGCTATTACCCGTTAACCACCTTGCACCGTGGCTGATTGATTGATGTGTGGGTGGGTATATCGATGAAACGGGAAGGCAAGAGGGAAAGGAGAAACGGTCGGGTTGAGATATGGGAAGGCAAAATGGTGAATGAGTGAATGTGTAGCAGTAGGGGCAGCCATAACATTTTTGGGGAGGAGGGAAAAGAAAAGTGGAGAGGCGGGTAAAAAAGAGATGGGTAAAAAAAAAAAAAAAAAAGAGGGAAAAGAGATGAATGAATGGGATGAGATTGCTTACGGCTGGAAAAATTTGTAGTAGCATCGATTATTTTGCCTCATTTTTCTAGCTCAAAAATAATCGATGAAAAGTGACATACCTGTAAGTAAGTATTGATCGAGATCGAATCAGATTGATCAGACGTCAATCATACCTGTAAATAAGTATTGATCAGACGTCAATCATACCTGTAAGTAAGTATTGATCGAGATCAAATCAGATTGATCAGACGTCAATCATACCTGTAAGTAAGTATTGATCGAGATCAAATCAGGTTGATCAGACGTCAATCATACCTGTAAGTAAGTATTGATCAGATGTCAATCTTACCTGTAAGTAAGTATTGGTCGAGATCAAATCAGATTGATCAGACGTCAATCATACCTGTAAATAAGTATTGATCAGATGTCAATCTTACCTGTAAGTAAGTATTGATCGAGATCGAATCAGATTGATCAGACGTCAATCATACCTGTAAATAAGTATTGATCAGACGTCAATCATACCTGTAAGTAAGTATTGATCGAGATCAAATCAGGTTGATCAGACGTCAGTCATACCTGTAAGTATTGATCAGATGTCAATCTTACCTGTAAGTAAGTATTGGTCGAGATCAAATCAGTTTGATCAGACGTCAGTCATACCTGTAAGTATTGATCATGTTAGAATGTTCATTGATTGATGCTATTTTGTAAATTCATTTTGAATTGCTCAAATTTATCAAAATTAACTTATAAGAATTTTTTGTTTTCAAATTTAAGCATTTAGAAGAATCAAAAAATTTTCTGTTCAGCAAAAAAATATTATTGTTATTATCATAGCTCTGATATATTAATTACATGATTAAGCTAAATTTTATTATTAAATCTTAGTGATTTCAAAAAATTAAAAATCTAAATCAATTGTCAAAAATATAAATTGATAAAATCTTCATTTTTTATTTTCCCTTTCTTAATTTTGAAACATTTTACCTTATCATTATCATTCAATATTTTTATCAATAAAAACTTTTGTCACCAAAAAAAAAAAAAAAAAAAAAAAAAGAAGAAAAGAACAAAATTATTTGCTTTCAAAACTTTTAAATATTATTGTCATTCTCTTTCGTTCCTTTTTTATTTTCTTTCTTCCTTGTTTCACATTTATTTTATACCAAAGTACAATACGATTAAATTTTGTCTTATCAATTTCATTTTACAATTGAAATATAAATGTATCATACATTTTGATCATATTTTCTGATCAATTTAATGCATAAATGAATAAATGCATATAATAATTAATAAATTAAATTTCAATAAATTAAAAGCAAAGAATTTTTTTTTTTATTACTAACTAACAAATAATAATTTAATATGAAATATAATTAATTGAGTTACATTTTAATTTAATGCAATCATTTATTATTATTATTATTATTACTATTATTATTATTATTATTATTATTATTATTATTATTATTATTATTATTATTATTGTTATTGTTATTGTTATTGTTATTGTTATTGTTATTGTTATTGTTATTGTTATTGTTATTGTTATTGTTATTGTTATTGTTATTGTTATTGTTATTGTTATTGTTATTGTTATTGTTATTGTTATTGTTATTGTTATTGTTATTGTTATTGTTATTGTTATTGTTATTGTTATTGTTATTGTTATTGTTATTGTTATTGTTATTGTTATTGTTATTGTTATTGTTATTGTTATTGTTATTATTATTATTATTATTATTATTATTATTATTATTATTGTTATTGTTATTATTATTATTATTATTATTATTATTGTATTATTATTATTATTATTATTGTTATCATTATTATTATTGTTATTATTATTATTATTGTTATTATTATTATTGTTATTATTATTATTATTAATATTATCAATATTATTATTGTTATTATTATTATTCGTTTCAAATTAATGGCAAAATTTAGTATCTAATTTTTAAAAATTTTGTAAATTTAATGCCTAAATAATAAAATATGTGCATATTAATTTGTCTCAATGATATAAATTAATTATTTCAATCATTTGCTGATTGAAATGGTTTGAGGAGGGAAGAAAAAATGATGTATAATTTGAAAATGGAATAAAAATATTTATGTTAAATAATAACAATCACTAAGCTATTTTATTATCATTTTATAGCTTAACATTTTATCATTAATCACTTGACTTTATCATCCTTAACATTTTATCATTATCATTAATCACTTTACTTTGCACATTCTATCTTGTCATTATACATAATCAAAAAAAAAATGAAAATGAAAATAAACAAACAAATGACAAGCATTATCTGATAATTACTAAAAGGTATATAAAAAGAAAAAATTTATTGGAATGATAATAAAATGTTACTTAGGGAATAAAAATTTCAGTTCAAAAATGCAATTTAATAATATTTAATTCTTGAAATCATTAATTGACTTTACAAAAAAATTGTAAAGAATTAACACTTTTTTTTTTAAAAAAATATTTTTTTTGAATTTTTGTTCATTTTAAAAATTAAAAAAATAAAAAATTGCCATATTAAGAATGCAAAATTTTGTGATTTATTTGCGATAAATCTTTTGTATTTATTATCAGATAATGAACTAATCATATTATAAATATATTTTTGAATTTTGCAATAGTTAAATTACAAATATATTTTGAATGCGATTTATTTTGCAAAATCTCTTTGCTATTATCATTTTTTTATTTCAAATTTTTGAACTGGAATTTTTTGTTAAGTTTGCAAAATTGGGAAATGATATTACTGTCTGATAAATTCTTTAAAACATGTTTTAAAATTGAAAATGATATATTGTCAGTTCTTATTATCAAAAAGCAAAGTACAGAAATAAATAGATAATTTGACTGTAGAGAAAAGAAGTATTAAACAAGTAATTAATTGCAGAGAAAAAAAAATATTAAATGTAAGAAAAATAATTTATATAATATTTTAAATTGATTTGTGCCCATTATTTTATTAGATTTATTTATCAATTAATTAAATGTAATTAAAAGAATGGAAAAAATAAGTTTTATTCTTTTTTTGCTACCGAAAATAATTTTATCATTTAAATAATTTTATCATGAATGGATAAATAATAATAATAACAATAATAATAATAATAATAACAATAATAATGATAACAATAATAATAATAATGATAACAATATTTATAATAATAATAATAATAATAATAATAATAATTATAATTATAATTATAATTATAATAATAATAATAATAATAATGATAATAATAATAATAATAGTAATAATAATAATAATAGTAGCAATAATAAGAAAAAAGAAAAAGTAAAATATAGAAATAAACAAGTAAAAAAAAAAAATTAATTAATAATAAAATCGAAATTCTTATCAGTAATATATACATTTGAACTATTACCGTATATGCAAGCAAATCAGACAAAGTACTTTTAAGCAAGAATGATTAAAAATGATAAAAATGATAAGCGATCAAAATTATTTGTTAATCATTTGATAAGGAACTTTTGTAGAAAACAAAAATTTTTCTTTCATTTTTCTTTCCTCATCTCTCTTCACTTAATCATCATTCAAACATTATCATTTCATATTCAAAAATTTCATCCTATCATATAAACCTATTTGAAATTTATATAATGTGGTATGAAATTATTTTTATTTTAGGTAAGTTAATTAATTACATCATTAAAAAAAAATAATTATTATTATCTCATTTAAAATAAAATATATTAATGTAAAATTAACAAAAAATAAAATAAAATAACAATTAACATTTTTAAAAATTAGAAAATATTTAAATTTTAAATTAAACATTCAATTATTTTTATTTTAGGTAAGTTAATTAATTACATCATTAAAAAAAAAATAATAATTATTTCATTTAAAATAAATATATTAATGTAAAATTAACAAAAAAAATAACACAATTAACATTTTTAAAAATTATAAAATATTTAAATTTTAAATTAAACATTCAATCATTTTTATTTTAGGTAAGTTAATTAATTACATCATTAAAAAAAAAAATAATAATTATTTCATTTAAAATAAAATATATTAATGTAAAATTAACAAAAAAAAAATAACACAATTAACATTTTTAAAAATTATAAAATATTTGAATTTTAAATTAAACATTTAATTATTTTTATTTTAGGTAAGTTAATTAATTACATCATGAAAAAAAAATAATAATTATTATTTCATTTAAAATAAAATATATTAATGTAAAATTAACAAAAAAAAAAAATAATACAATTAACATTTTTAAAAATTATAAAATATTTGAATTTTAAATTAAACATTTTTGTTTTTTTTTTTGATTTTTTATTAGTTTTAAAAAAAAAATTTATTAAAAATATTTTATAGCAATGATAACATATCATAGATTATATATTCAATCATCAACAACCACAGCAGCAACACTTGGTTATCATTTTATGATCATTTTTCCGAGTAATAATGGAAATAAAAATGCAAATCCAACAATCAGTGTTACCTTAATGAATCCAAATAGTAAACAAGTAACAGTTCAAATTGAAAATGTTAAAAATGCAAATGATTTTTTGGATGATAGTGAAATAATTACTGTAAATATTGAAGCAATGAATTATGCTGAAGTAAGTTTATTCTTTTTTTTTTTTCTTTTCTTTTTCTTTTCGTTTTCTTTTAATTTAAACTTAAACATTTAGTTAAAATTTAATTTTAAAATGAATTAAAAAAAAGTTTTTTTTTTTTTCACAAAATGAATTAAATGTTAAAATGTTAATTTTTAATCTAATTATTATCTTATTAATATGAAAAAATTTCACTTTCTATTTCATATATTTATTTAAATTAAATTATTGCAAAAAAGAGAATTTTTTTTTCATTATTTATAATTATTTTAGGTTAGAAAAAAAAAAAAAAAAAATGTCAAGAAAATGCGCAAATGTATTTTAGGTTCATTTCAAGATAATGCGCAAATGTTTTTTAGGTTTATTTCAAGAAAATGCGCAAATGTTTTTTAGGTTTATTTCAAGAAAATGCGCAAATGTATTTTAGGTTTATTTTAATGAATCGTCTATAAATACTTGTAAAAGTACAACTATTGCAAATTTTTTGGAATGTACAGATAGCAGAATATACATTAATTCATTACAATTACCTATTACTGTTCTGTCACATTGGTACCTTACTGATGCTGGTGACAGTTTTCTTGGTTAGTGTCACATGCTAATTGTCACATTTGCTTCAGATGTTACAGCAAAATATTTTGTATAAAGATGTAAACTGTATGATTCAAGTTGAAATTTCTTTTTCTTTATTTCCTTTAATTTCAACTTTTTTCTTTTTTTTTAAAATTTACAATTTGGAAATTTTAATTAATTCAAAAAAATAAATAAATAAAATAAACAAAAAAGAACGAAATTAATAATTAAATTTAATTATAGTATTACCATTATCGATGACAACAGGTAAATATGCATTTTCTGCGCCACCACCTGCTGAAGATGGCATTACAATGGTATATTTCTTGCCACAATCAAACAATATGGAAATATCTGTGGTTGGAGAAGTTAATAAACAACCATTTTCTAATTCATTTACACCAAAAGTAAACTTTGACCCAATTGATTACATCGTAAATAATCGTAAGATCGATCAGATCGTAAGCAGAATTGTAAGCAAAATCGCAAGCAATCATAAGTAATCGTAAGTAATCATAAGCAATCGTAAGTAATCATAACTAAAGTGGTAAGTAGTCGTAATTATAGACAATCATAAGTAATCATAAGCAATCGTAAGTAATCGTAAGCAATCATAAGTAATCATAACTAAAGTGGTAAGTAGTCGTAATTATAGACAATCATAAGTAATCATAAGTAATCGTAAGCAATCATAAGTAATCATAAGCAATCGTAAGTAATCGTAAGCAATCATAAGTAATCATAAGCAATCGTAAGTAATCGTAAGCAATCATAAGTAATCATAACTAAAGTGGTAAGTAGTCGTAATTATAGACAATCATAAGTAATCATAAGCAATCGTAAGTAATCGTAAGCAATCATAAGTAATCATAACTAAAGTGGTAAGTAGTCGTAATTATAGACAATCAAAAGTAATCATAAGCAATCGTAAATAATCGTAAGCAATCGTAAACAGTCGTAAGAAATCGTAAGCAAAATCGCAAGTAATCATAATTAGTTGTAAGCAATCATAAGTAATCATAGGCATTCGTAAGTAATCGTAAACAATCATAAGATCGTCTTCATCGATCACATCATATCCAAAATCATAAGCAGCCATAAGTAATCATAAGCATTCATAAAAAATCGTAAGTAATCGTAAACAATCGTAAGTGATTATAAATAATCGTAAGCAATCATGAGCAAAGTCGTAAGTAATCGTAATTGTAGACAATCACAAGATCGTCTTCATCGATCACATCATATCCAAAATCATAAGCAGCCATAAGTAATTCTGATTGTAAACAATCGTAAGTAATCATGGGCAAAGTCATGAGTAGTTGTAAGCAATTTTAAGTAATTGTAAACAATCATAAGCAATTGTAATAATTGTAAACAATCGTAAGTAATCATAAGCAAAATTTTAACTAATCGTAAGCAATAATAAGTAACTGTAAACAATCGTAAGATCATCCTCATTGATTGATTACATCATAAGCAATCACATGCGATCATAAGTAATCGTAAGCAAATTGTAAACAATAAATAATAAGCTTATGATTGCTCATGAACAGTAAACAATAATAAATAATCATAGGGTTGTAGAACAAACAATTAAATATATTATTATTACTATATGGTATAGAAGAAAATAAACAATTAATTTGCAATATAAAATAATTTGTTTTATTGAAATATTAATTAAAAATTTACTTATTACAATTAATATTAATTAAAAATTTACTTATTACAATTAATATTAATTAAAAATTTACTTATTACAATTAATATTAATTAAAAATTTACTTATTACAATTAATATTAATTAAAAATTTACTTATTACAATTAATGTTAATTAAAAATTTACCTATTGCAATAATTATTAATTAAAAATTTACTTATTACAATTAATGTTAATTAAAAATTTACCTATTGCAACAATTATTAATTAAAAATTAACTTATTACAATTAATATTAATTAAAAATTTACTTATTACAATTAATGTTAATTAAAAATTTACCTATTGCAATAATTATTAATTAAAAATTTACTTATTACAATTAATGTTAATTAAAAATTTACCTATTGCAACAATTATTAATTAAAAATTTACTTATTACAATTAATATTAATTAAAAATTTACTTATTACAATTAATGTTAATTAAAAATTTACCTATTGCAATAATTATTAATTAAAAATTTACTTATTACAATTAATATTAATTAAAAATTTACTTATTACAATTAATATTAATTAAAAATTTACTTATTACAATTAATGTTAATTAAAAATTTACCTATTGCAATAATTATTAATAAAAAATTTACTTATTACAATTAATATTAATTAAAAATTTACTTATTACAATTAATATTAATTAAAAATTTACTTATTACAATTAATGTTAATTAAAAATTTACCTATTGCAATAATTATTAAATAAAAATTTACTTATTACAATTAATGTTAATTAAAAATTTACCTATTGCAACAATTATTAATTAAAAATTTACTTATTACAATTAATATTAATTAAAAATTTACTTATTACAATTAATGTTAATTAAAAATTTACCTATTGCAACAATTATTAATTAAAAATTTACTTATTACAATTAATATTAATTAAAAATTTACTTATTACAATTAATGTTAATTAAAAATTTACCTATTGCAATAATTATTAATTAAAAATTTACTTATTACAATTAATATTAATTAAAAATTTACTTATTACAATTAATATTAATTAAAAATTTACTTATTACAATTAATATTAATTAAAAATTTACTTATTACAATTAATGTTAATTAAAAATTTACCTATTGCAACAATTATTAATTAAAAATTTACTTATTACAATTAATATTAATTAAAAATTTACTTATTACAATTAATGTTAATTAAAAATTTACCTATTGCAATAATTATTAATTAAAAATTTACTTATTACAATTAATGTTAATTAAAAATTTACCTATTGCAACAATTATTAATTAAAAATTTACTTATTACAATTAATATTAATTAAAAATTTACTTATTACAATTAATGTTAATTAAAAATTTACCTATTGCAACAATTATTAATTAAAAATTTACTTATTACAATTAATATTAATTAAAAATTTACTTATTACAATTAATGTTAATTAAAAATTTACCTATTGCAATAATTATTAATTAAAAATTTACTTATTACAATTAATATTAATTAAAAATTTACTTATTACAATTAATATTAATTAAAAATTTACTTATTACAATTAATGTTAATTAAAAATTTACCTATTGCAATAATTATTAATTAAAAATATACTTATTACAATTAATATTAATTAAAAATTTACTTATTACAATTAATATTAATTAAAAATTTACTTATTACAATTAATGTTAATTAAAAATTTACCTATTGCAATAATTATTAAATAAAAATTTACTTATTACAATTAATGTTAATTAAAAATTTACCTATTGCAACAATTATTAATTAAAAATTTACTTATTACAATTAATATTAATTAAAAATTTACTTATTACAATTAATGTTAATTAAAAATTTACCTATTGCAACAATTATTAATTAAAAATTTACTTATTACAATTAATATTAATTAAAAATTTACTTATTACAATTAATGTTAATTAAAAATTTACCTATTGCAATAATTATTAATTAAAAATTTACTTATTACAATTAATATTAATTAAAAATTTACTTATTACAATTAATATTAATTAAAAATTTACTTATTACAATTAATATTAATTAAAAATTTACTTATTACAATTAATGTTAATTAAAAATTTACCTATTGCAACAATTATTAATTAAAAATTTACTTATTACAATTAATATTAATTAAAATTTACTTATTACAATTAATGTTAATTAAAAATTTACCTATTGCAATAATTATTAATTAAAAATTTACTTATTACAATTAATATTAATTAAAAATTTACTTATTACAATTAATATTAATTAAAAATTTACTTATTACAATTAATGTTAATTAAAAATTTACCTATTGCAATAATTATTAATTAAAAATTTACTTATTACAATTAATATTAATTAAAAATTTACTTATTACAATTAATATTAATTAAAAATTTACTTATTACAATTAATGTTAATTAAAAATTTACCTATTGCAATAATTATTAATTAAAAATTTACTTATTACAATCAATTTTTTTTTTAGCTTGCAAATGGTAATTTATTGGTGCTGCAAACAACAGGCAATTTAGCATTAACTGCAACTGCATATAGTGCATTTGCAGTTATTGTTGCAGTAACAAAATTACCAATCTCATCAGATGATAATACTAAAAATGATTTTGGTATTTACATGCCAACACCACTCTTTTTCACAGGTTTTGCAAATTTTAAATTATTAAAAAGTTTTCATTTATTAATGAGATTGGGAAATTCGAGATTTTATTTTATCACTAGATTAAAATAATTATTAAATTTAATTTAACTTCAATTATTATTAATCAGAATTGATTTAAACCTAATAAAAATAATTTTTATTACAAGTTTTAAATATCTTTTAGCACAACTTTAAAATGATTAGAATATTTTCATATACTAAAAAAAAGCTTATCACATATTCAAACATTTATCAAATCGAATTTAGCTAAAATTATTATCATTATCAGAAACTGATATATCTAATAGAAATAATTTAATGTAAATTATCAGAACTGATATACATGTATATGAATTAATCTAATAGAAATAATTTTCGGTTGTTACAATGTAAACGATTATCATGTTTCGATGTTATATGATATGAAGGAGCTACTGATAACAACTGTTAACAGTGATAATTTATTATGCAATTCAAAGTTTACTGTATTCGATGAAATGGGAAATGATAAATGTTATCCATTAATTGATTCATACAATGAAGTGAAATTTGAGGAATACAATTTAAATGTTGGCATTAATTCCAGGTAAGAGTAAACAGTGATAAAATTTGAAAAAATTTTAATGATAAATTGAGCAATAAAAAATTTTGGTTCGTATTTTTTAAATTCAAAACAATTAATTTAGATTTAGATTTGAATTTAAATGTTATCAATTAAATTTTACAGATTTATTTCTAAAAAGATAATTGATTAAAAATTTTGCTAATACATTGAACAATAAAATGTTGTAATTCGTATTAATTTCAAAAATTTATTGAAATTTAGATCTAATTTAAATTACACATTTAAAATTGAATTTACATGTTATCAATTAAATTTTATAGATTTGCTCCTGAAAAAATGATTAATTAAAAATTTTGGCAAGTTTTTTTTTCAAGTTCTTTAATGTTATAACAATAAAATATTATAAATCGTATCAATTCAAACAATTAATTTAGATTTAAATTCAATTTAAAATTGAATTTAAATGTTATCAATTAAATTTTAACAAACTTATTGCAAATTTTTTTCAAGTTCCACAATATTACAACAATAAAAACTTATAAATCGCATCAATTCAAACAATTAATTTAGATTTAAATTCAATTTAAAATTGAATTTAAATGTTATCAATTAAATTTTAACAAATTTATTGCAAATTTTTTTAAGTTCTACAATGTTACAAATACTACGATACGGTGGCTACGACAGTTATTTAATTGATGGTTCATTTCTTGATTTGGATATTTCATTATCACAATTTGTTACTGGCTTAACAACTTTTTTTGTACCAACTGATGAAAATATTGTTACAGTAAATTTTAAAAATTAATTTTATTTTTTTCAATTTTAATTTTTAATATAGAATTTTAATTAGTTCTTTTTTTTAAAAAAAAATGCATTAATTTTACCTTTAAAATTGTAATATATCAAAAGAAAAAAAGTCAGTAATGATGAGAACATATTATTAGTAAAAGTAAATAAAAAATTTAATAATACTAAAAAAAAAACTTTTAAATAGAATTAAAATAATTCAAAATAATAATTTTAGTAGTTTGAAGCAAATAAATTAAAATGTTTATTAAATTCTGATTTTATTTTATTTTTTTAGTAATTTAATTTTTTTTTCTTTCTTTTTTTTTTTTTATCAGATCATAGGTGATTATGATGCAACATCTACCACAATTATTGGTAGAAAAATTCCAATTGAAATTATTTGGAATTGGTCACCAATGTCATTTTATCATCAAACATTCTACTATACTACCTTATCACTAGCAAGTGGTTTTTATGTTATCACTTCAAGCGGTTCATATGTTATCACTGTGATTGGCCAAAAAGATAATGCTGCATACGGTTTTATCACTGCCTATAACAGTATGTATTACTTACTGCTTGTGATAAGAGATTTTATCACCTATACAATATACTAGATATCATTTTTGTGATAATAAACAATGAATTTGAAACAATTTTATTTTAAAAAAATAAAAAAGACAAAATTAGTATTTCATTTCTAAAATAAAATTTTAATTATCACAAATGATTAATATTTCAATTCATACACTTTTATACAGTCCATTTATTGATAATTTTTTATTAATACTAAAATATAATTTTGTTTTTATTTTTTGTTTGTTTGTTTGTTTGTTTGTTTGTTTGTTTTTTTTAGTACAAACATCAAAAGATTTGCCAGAAGTTAAAACAACCATACGACCAAGAATAACCACCGAAATACCATGTAAGAATTAATTAATTAATTTAATTATTAGAAAACTTATGAGTAAATAAAAATTACGTTTGATTATTTTAAATTAATTAAATTTCCACTTAATTAATGTTATCATTTAAATTTGATAACTGAAAAATGATAATATATCATTTAAAAAATAAAAAAGTATTACTTAAAAAAAAAAAATGTAATTTGTACTTTCGTTTAGTATTATCAATGACTGTAAATAGGTTAATAAAATATTTGTTTGCAATTTCAAATGAAATAATAAGTAAGTTATAAGCAATACTTTGATGATTTTTATTCATGATTACTTCATAACTTTGAATCATGATTACTTGATAACTTTAAATCATGATTACTTGATAACTTTGAATCATGATTACTTGATAAGTTTGAGTCATGATTACTTCATAACTTTGAATCATGATTACTTGATAACTTTAAATCATGATTACTTGATAACTTTGAATCATGATTACTTGATAATCATAAAAATCAATTCATTTTCTCTCTTTTCTTAAATATCAAACATAATTTCATATGATTATAGCATCGTCTAAAACTTCAATTGAAACTACGATGGGTTAGTTGAATTTTTCTTTTCATTTTTTTTTTTTTTTTTTGAAATATTAAAATAAAATAATAAAGTATCATTAACAAGTAATAGCTCATCAATAAAATATCATGATATATTCTTAATTTTCATTTTTTAAAATTTAATTTTACATGTTATAGAGTAAATTATAACTATAACATATTAATTAAATTAAAATTTACACATTTTATTTTATAATATCAAACTTCTCTCTCTCTCTCCCTCTCCCTCTCTCCCTCTCTCTCCCTCTTTTAAATTATATTTAAATTAATATTTTATTAATTTAGTTGCAATTTCGACAACAACAAACGAGAAAACAAATGGATCAATGAAAATATTATATAATATTGAATTGTTACTTTTAATTATTCTTTTCTATCTCTTTCATTAATTTATAATTTATACTTTTTTTTTTGTCAAATCAATTTTAAAGTTTAATTAGAAATATAATTTTGTTTTTTATTTATTTATTAACTACTGTAAACTCACATAATTGCGTTTTGTTTATCAGTAATTTTAGTATACATTCTAATAAAATTTCAATTTTTAAATTTAAATTTAAATACAATATTTAATTTATTATTAAATTAAACTCAAAAAAAAAGAAGCTAAGAAGTTCAGACAATTAATACTTTTAACTTTTGTTTAATTTCTTAAATTAATTGATTATTTAATTTCTCAAAAAAAATTTTTTTTTTAATTTTTTCAAAACTTTATTTGAAAATATTTTTTGATTGAAAAAAAAAAAAAATTATTGCAATAAATGAAAAAATGATATGAAATAAAAAATTTTGTTAAAAAATTCTATTTTTTTTAATTAATAATTATCAGAGAAATTTTTTAGTTTAAATTTCGTTTTCGTTTGATAATAGTATAAAATGTAAAATAGTTTAAAATGAAAATAAAAATAATAATAACTTTTTTGATTTCATTAATTTGTTATATCGATTAAAATGAAGCATTTAGAAGGATTAATTATTTTTTCAAATTTTAAGAAATTAATTTACTTTTAAATTTAAGCGGAAACAATTACAACATTTGCTTGCTTTTTTTTTTTGTTAAATTTTTTTTTTTTTAAATTTTTTTTTTTGTTTTATTTTTTGAACATTTTCTGCTTTATCATTTGTATCATTTTAATGTGTGATAAAAATTTGTTTAATTAGTAATGACTAATTAATTAATTCACTTATTCATTTCTATCAATTATCATTGAAATAATGACAAATTTCTGCTTTTTTAAACAAGAAATAGACTTATCACTTGTTATCATCATAAATTATCATTTGTTATCAATTATCATATTATCATAAAATTTTGTTTAATTAGTAATGACTAATTAATTAATTCACTTATTCATTTCTATCAATTATCATTGAAATAATGACAAATTTCTGCTTTTTAAAATAAGAAATAGACTTATCATTTGTTATCATCATAAATTATCATTTGTTATCAATTATCATATAATCATAAATTTTGTTTAATTAGTAATGACTAATTAATTAATTCGCTTATTCATTTCTATCAATTATCATTGAAATAATGACAAATTCCTGCTTTTTAAAATAAGAAATAGACTTATCACTTGTTATCATCATAAATTATCATTTGTTATCAATTATCATATTATCATAAAATTTTGTTTAATTAGTAATGACTAATTAATTAATTCACTTATTCATTTCTATCAATTATCATTGAAATAATGACAAATTTCTGCTTTTTAAAATAAGAAATAGACTTATCATTTGTTATCATCATAAATTATCATTTGTTATCAATTATCATATAATCATAAAATTTTGTTTAATTAGTAATGACTAATTAATTAATTCGCTTATTCATTTCTATCAATTATCATTGAAATAATGACAAATTCCTGCTTTTTAAAATAAGAAATAGACTTATCATTTGTTATCATCATAAATTATCATTTGTTATCAATTATCATGTTATCATAAAATTTTGTTTAATTAGTAATGACTAATTAATTAATTCACTTATTCATTTCTATCAATTATCATTGAAATAATGACAAATTCCTGCTTTTTAAAATAAGAAATAGACTTATCATTTGTTATCATCATAAATTATCATTTGTTATCAATTATCATATAATCATAAAATTTTGTTTAATTAGTAATGACTAATTAATTAATTCGCTTATTCATTTCTATCAATTATCATTGAAATAATGACAAATTCCTGCTTTTTAAAATAAGAAATAGACTTATCACTTGTTATCATCATAAATTATCATTCATTATCAATCATAATCATTATCTTTATCATTTCCCTTATCAAATATCAATGCAATTCTCATTAAGCTAAATTTATGCAAAATAATATAAAATAATAATTAATTTAATTATTAATTATACCATTGAAAAAATCATAAATCATTAATTGCACTTATTCACATTCTTGTAAAAAAAAAAAAAAAAAAAAAGAGAAATTGTCACCAAAAAAAGAAATTGTCACCAAAATTCTTTTTTTTTTCTTTTTGTTTTGACAAATACAGTGAAAAAAACAAAAAAAAAAAAAATGAAGCAAATATCATTTATAAAAGAGAAAGAGAAAGAGAAAGAGAAAAAAGTTTGCAAAGAAATGTTTCAAGAGAGAGAGAGAGAGGGAGGGAGAGAGAGGGAGGAAAGAAATACTTTTCTCTTTTTCTTTTCCCTTTTTTTTTTATTTTTTCTTCAATTAAATAATTGAATTTTTTATTTTAAAATCATTTTTCATTTCATTTCTTTTTCAAATTTATTTTCATTTTTTCAAATCAAAATTTTCATTTTTTTTTTTTTTTAGAAGAAAAAATTTGAAATTAAATGATTGAATTTTTATTTTTTAAATTAATTTTCATTTCTTTTCAAGAAGAATTTTTTTTTTTTTTTTAAATTTTAAATTTATATTTTAATCAACATTTCGCCAATTATTATGCGTTCCATGCTCATTCCAACAAATTTCATAGTTATCACTTATTGTCCATTGTCCATCAACAATAAACAAAAATTCATATCGTCCAGGTGGTATATCAATCCAAACACCAAATCGATTACAATCGTTGTCCAATTGTTGACATAGAAGAAAACATTCCCAACTAACAAAACTTGCCTAAAAATATTTTCAAATTTCAATTATTTACTCTTATATTAAATAAAATAAAAAAAAAAAAACTTCTATTATTTTTGAAATAATTTAAAATTAATTTAATTTAATTTAAAAAAAAAAAAAAGACATACACTTAATAAGACAATTTTAGCTGTTGGTGCTCTAATTTCAAACCATATTCGACGATAATCTTTCAAATCATTTGGTGAACTTTCATTCCTAAAAATTAAATTTGTTAATTAAACAAAAAATTGAAATTGAAAAAAAAAAAAAAAAATGAAAATGAAAAATAATAAATTATAATTTTACCACATTGCTAAACGCCATTTATATCGATCACCACTGGGTTGTTTTTTAATTAAAAATGTACCATCTAAGAAATTTTTTGTGGTATCACGAAATCGATACATTTGATCTAATCTATAAATAAATAAATAAATTTTTTGCTTTTTCTTTTTTTTTTTCGGTGTAACAAAATAATTTATACAAAAAATTTGATTAAATAAATAAATAATAAAGAAATAAAATTGTAAATTTTATAAAATTAAATTGAAATTTGATTAGATTAACAAACAAAATTGTAAATTTATAAATTAAATTGAAATTTGATTAGATAAATGGATAATAAAGAAATAAAATTGTAAATTTTATAAAATTAAATTGAAATTTGATTAGATTAACAAACAAAATTGTAAATTTTATAAAATTAAATTGAAATTTGATTAGATAAATGAATAATAAAGAAATAAAATTGTAAATTTTATAAAATTAAATTGTAATTTGATTAGATTAATAAAAACAAAATTGTAAATTTTATAAAATTAAATTGAAATTTGATTAGATAAATGAATAATAAAGAAATAAAATTGTAAATTTTATAAAATTAAATTGAAATTTGATTAGATAAATGATTAACAAAGAAATAAAATTGTAAATTTTATAAAATTAAATAGAAATTTGATTAGATAAATGAATAATAAAGAAATAAAATTGTAAATTTTATAAAATTAAATTGTAATTTGATTAGATTAATAAAAACAAAATTGTAAATTTTATAAAATTAAATTGAAATTTGATTAGATAAATGAATAATAAAGAAATAAAATTGTAAATTTTATAAAATTAAATTGAAATTTGATCAGATAAATAAATAATAAAGAAATAAAATTGTAAATTTTATAAAATTAAATTGTAATTTGATTAGATTAATAAAAACAAAATTGTAAATTTTATAAAATTAAATTGAAATTTGATTAGATAAATGAATAATAAAGAAATAAAATTGTAAATTTTATAAAATTAAATTGAAATTTGATCAGATAAATAAATAATAAAGAAATAAAATTGTGAATTTTATAAAATTAAATTGAAATTTAATCATCATTTAATTAAAAAATTTAATCAATTTTAATTGATTACATTGGTCAGAAAAACAAAATAAAAAAAAAAAAAAAAACAAACTCAAATATTTTTTGATTTGCTTGATCCAATAACCATTCTTTATGTGCCATACCAGCTTCTAATTCACCAATTCTAAATAAAATATAAATTAAAATTATTAAAAAATTTTAATTACAAAAAATAAATTAATTTTTTTTTTTTTTTGTAGATTACTACAAAATGTAATCAATGAGAATTAATTTAATGATTAAGAATTTAATTTTTGATTAATTTTTAAAATAATTTTTGTTTTTGTTTTTTGGATGATTTGCAAATCATTTTTAGATTTAATTAATAAAATTGAATTAATTTTTTTTTTTGTAGATTACTACAAAATGCAATCAATAAGAATTAATTTAATAATTAAAAATTTAATTTTTAATTAATTTTTGTTTTTTTGAGTAATTTGCAAATCATCTTCAGATTTAATTAATATAAATTTTAATAAAAAATAATTAAATAATGAAAAATTTGCACTTAATAAAATTAATGAAGCCAATTATTCATTCTTGTAAGTTAACCATTTAATTAATTAATTAATTATTTAATTATTGAATAAGTCATACTTCCATTTTGCATCATTCCAATATTGTGTTACTTCACCTAATCGCCATTCCACCTTACTTTTTTCATCTCTCAATGTTTCCTCAATTTTTTTCATTTCATCAAATTTCGACCAATCAATACCACCATTTTCAGTATGCTAAAAATTTATACTAATTTAAATTTTTAATTTAAATATGAGAAAAAAAATTTTTTTTTCTTCAGTACAATTTAATTTCTATCTTTTTCAAATTTAACTTTTACTTGCATCAAATAATTAATAAAAAAAAAGAGAAAAAAAAATTTGTCAATTTTAGACCAAATAAAAAAAAAGAAAAACAAAAAATTGGGATAATTTTTTAAAAAATAAAAATAAATTATTGTTAGGAAAAATTAAAAAATTTTAAGAAAAAAAAAAATTAACAAAAATTTTCTAATTTAAATTTGATTTAAATTTTTAATTTAAATTAAATTTGCTATTCATTTAAGCAATTATTATTTAATGAAAATTAATTAATAATTTTTACCTTTTTACGTGCGTCAGTTAATTCACTTTGAAGTCGTGCATTTTCATCACGTAACCACGTGCACTGTCCGTGTAAATCTTGCAATTCACGTTCCTGATTTGCAACACGTTCCTTAGCAAGCCATATCTCTTCACCTGTTCGACGTTGCTCATCTTCATGCCCTTTGACCTTTTCATATGAACTTTGTAATTCATTTTCTAATCGTTTCACCTAAAATAAATCGATTATTAATTTAATTTAAAAAAAAAAATTTTTTTTTAAAATTATTAATTTATACTAAATTAAAAAAAATTATTTATAATAAAAAAAAAAAGATTTTTATTAATTTAAATAAAAAAATATTAATTTATATTAAACATAATTTTTTTTGTTAAAAAAAAAAAGAAGAAAAAACCATTTAAAAAAAGTAAAAGGAAGTATTTTTCTTTTTTATTTTTTAAAATGTAATTTCAAATTTGTGAAAGTTTTTGTTCTATAACAAATATTTTAATAATTTCATATAGCATTAAAAGTTTAATTAAGTATAATTGAATAGAATTTTATTTGATATAATTAATTAATTTATTAAAAAAAAAAGAAATTGAAATAATTAAAATTTATGAAAATGTCGCAGCATCATTTATTAATAAATATTTATTTATTTATTTATTTCTTTTTTTCATAAAATAACAAAAAAGTACTTTTTTTTTCATTTTCAAATTTGAAATAAATTTCAATTACTTACCTTTTCTTCTAATTCATATTTTTTACGATTTAAAATAATTAACTCCGAGGATAATTCATTATATTCCTCCGACATTATCTGATTACCACCAATTCCATGAGATTCTTAAAATTAAATAAAATTCAATCATTTATAGAAACACTACAAAATGTTAAATTTATATTCTAAAAACAATTTAGATACTTTGGAAGTGTTCTAAAATAATAGCCTAAAATTAATTATTAAAAAACCTGAAATAATAGCCTAAAATTAAAACATGAATGTGGAAGAATTTTTGAAATTGCTAACCAACAATGATAATCATTTAAATTTGATAAAATGCAAATTTTATAAAGTTAAAGTAATTGCTCCCTTTTTTTTTGGTTAAAAAAATTACTTTAATTAAATTCGAAAATTGAATGTTTTCAATTTTCAATTCTGAAACAGAAAATTAAATTTGAAATGAAAATGCATTCTTATTTAGATATTTTTCTAAACAAACAATAACAAATAAACAAGAAATTATATCAACTTGATTAATTCAAATTTCTTATTAATAATTTTTGAACATTTTCAAAAATTTCTAATATAATTAAATAAAATTAAGAATTTTGTTAATAACTTAAATTTCCATCACTGTTACTGTGTTTATGCAAATTAGCTCTGCTCCTAAATTAATTTTCATGTCAACTTTTCAAATTAATTAATTTAGTATTAAAAATAATTAATTTAGTATATTTATTAATTCCTTTCAAAGTGATAATTTCAAATAAATATTTCTTTTAAAATAATTAACAATTTTCAACTTTTTTTTTTCGTTTCAAAAAAACAACTTTTTTTTTTTTTTTGTTTATTAAATTAATAAATTTAAATTAACATACGAATGGCAGTGCTTGTTGGCGATACGTCATTTTGTTGATTTGCTAACGTTTGTGCGTGTTCCTAAAGTTAAGTTATACTTTTTTCATTATCAATTTAAAATTGTTATCATTTATCATTGAATCATTTATCATTTAAAAAATATTTTAAATCCATAATAATAATAATAAGTTGTATAATTGAATTATAAAGTAATAATTTTTATATAAAAATATATATGTAAATAAGTATTAATTAAATATTGAAGAAACGAATTAAAAAAATAAAAACAAATTTTGCAATGTAAATAAATAAAACCTTTTTTTTTAAAAAAAAAAAAAAATTTAATTCTTTAAATGTTTACAATTATAAATGAAACAGAATGTTTCAAATCATTAATAATACATTAAACAGAAATAATATTAATTTTGTATAATTTAAATTATAAAATATTAGAAATTAATTTCTCGATATTATCTGAGGAAGTACCTAATACATTCAATTTGTATATTTGCTATAAAATATTTTAAAATTAAAAATAAAAAAAAAATAAAACTTTTTTCTTATTTATATTACAAATTTTCTTGTTATTTTAATTCTTTTTTATTAAGAATTTAATTAATATTTATTGAAAATTATGTAAATATTTTAAATTTTTGATATTATATTTTTTTATTTCATTTTTTTTTTTTATTACTTTAATATTTTTTGATAAAAATTTTAATTTTTTACTAGCTTCATCTTTATTATTAGCATCACCTTCAAGCATTTTTCTTTTAATTAAATTTTTTTAAAATTAAATTATCATTTTTACCTCTTTCAATCGTCGTAATTCTTCTTCCTGAAATTGCACATATTCTTCCATATTTGAAAGTTTCTCATGTAATACTGATAATTTTGATGAGAAATCCTAAGATAATAAAATAGTAATTGAATTTGTAATGAAAATTTATAAATAATTTATTACTTAAAATATAATATAAAACAATTGAAAAATTAAATTTTGAAATTTAAATACCTCATTTGGTAGTAATTCTTTCTCGTACTGAACATTAATAGCATCTGATTCCAGTTTAGCAATTCTAAATTGGAAATGAAATTATTAATTAGGATTGTAAAGAAAAATTAGAGTTTAATTTTTCTTTTCAATTATTAAATTAAAATTGAGATTTAAAAAAAAAAGAGTTTTACATGGAAATAAAATTTAATTGAAATAAATAAAGAATTACTTATTATGAAGCTGTGAAATTTTCGCATTTTTCTCATCTATTTCACTGGTCAGCTTGTCAAGTTCAATTTTATTTAACTTTGCTCCATGTCGAGCATCGCTTAATTCTCTTTCAAGAATATCTATTCTAAAATTTATTAATGATAATACGATACTTAAATAAAATTAAATGTGGGAATTAAATTTGAATTTATTTTATATTATTTGTGAAATTTGCATGTAAAATTATTGTTATTTAAGCATTTTTCAAATCATTTACAGATTATTTGTTGCTGTTTTATTAAAATTTTATAAAATAAAATTATGAATTTTAAAATAAGTAATTAAAATAAATAATTAAAAAGAATATATTTACATACTTATTATTAGCATCAGTAAGCCATTGTCGATACTCTCCGAGATTCCATTCTTTCTCACTTGTTATCCTATTCAAATCATCAATTATTCGATTCTTTTCACCGATTACATCTCTTAAATCTTTGATTACTTGATGCAAATTTCTGAAATTTAATTTTTATTTTATTTTAAATTATTTTAATAAATTCTGAAATTTAGTTTTTATTTTATTTTAAATTATTTTAATAATTGCCTCAATAATATTATAAATGAAAATATTGCTTTTATTTCTAAATTAACTTAAAACTTTTAGCAGCAAGTTAAATAAATTCGAAAATCTCAAAATAAAGAAATGAAATTTTTTTCAAAATTCTTCTCCCTCCCTCTCTCTCTCTCTCCTCTTTCATTCTTATATCATTTTCTAAAAACAAACAACTCGTTCCAGTTAATTAAATTTTTTAAAAAAAATTTAAAAAAAAAATTTAAAAAAAGAAAAGGAATAAATTTAAAATACATACGTAATTTCTTCTACTTTCTCAGCTATTTCAGTGGTAAACTGTTGCAATTGATCATCCTTTTCATATAATCGAATCATTAATTCGGTCTCATTTTCACCCTAAAAAAAATTTTTTTCAATTTTAAAATGATATCATTAATAGCTTCACAATATTGTTAAAATAATAATTAAATAAAATATAACAGAAAATGTTGACAAATTCTATGCAAAATAATTATTTTAATTTTATTAAATTTAATTTTTTTCTAAATTATCCTTAGCTTTTTGTCGAAATAGATTTCATTATAATTTCTCAAGATAGCAATAATTTAATTGTTATTATTTCAAAAATAAAAACGTCACTTATAATTAATAGCCATAATTTATAAATTTATTAGATTTAATCAATTTCTTAGATATAAATTTATTGGACTTTTTTTTTGAACAATAACAATAAGATAAACATATTTGTAATAGTAAATTAATAATTAATTGTAATCAAATATTATTAGAATGTATTTGTGAGTAAACAACTTAAAATAATATATCATTTCAAATTAAGTCAAAATAATAAATCATTTCAAATTATTTTCTAAAAATTTGTTTGAAATAAAAATTGTATTTGGAGGAATACCGTACTACGCTTGCATCAATCAACGGTAATACAGTAATGCGGCATACTGTATTATTTTATTTTAATTTGATTAAATTTAAATTATCTAAATTACTCATTGCTTTTTTTTTCTCGAAACAAATTTAATTATGATTTCTCGAGACATAATTAATCATAATTTCTTAAATTTTAAGAATTAAAATTTATCGTAATCTGCTACCTTATGAGAAATATTGGTTGCAAAAGGTGAAAGGTTATAACATTGTTGTTTTAGATTATCAACTTGTTGTTGTAAACAATTACGTTCTACTTCAATTGCTTTCTTTTCATTAATGATTGCATCAATTGTTTGTTCTTTTTTATCAAGCAATGCCGACATCTCTTCGTTTCTGAAATAATTATTTGCGACATTTGCGCTCCTCTAAAATATGCATGATGATTTCTGTAATTCGTAATGCTCGAAGAATTTGATTAATAAAATGAAATAAAAATATAGTTGTATATAGTTAGAAAAAGAAAATAAACAATAAATAAAAGATAATAATTGTCAAAGATGTCACATAAATGTGATATAGTCAAAATTAGTCGATCATATGATAATCGGAATAATTGATCGATTATTTGTGAGTAAGCATTCAGTTATTATCTTTTGATTACTTATAACTTATTCATGAAGTAAAGTGCCTTTTGATTACTTATTCATGAAGTAAAGTACCTTTTGATTACTTATTCATGAATTAAAGTACCTTTTGATTACTTATAACTTATTCATGAAGTAAAGTACCTTTTGATTACTTATTCATGAATTAAAGTACCTTTTGATTACTTATAATTTATTCATGAAGTAAAGTAAACAAACTTAAGAAAGCAACTTTTAATTACTTGTAATTTATTCATGCAGTAAAGTATCTTTTGATTACTCATAACTTACTCATGAAATAAAGTAAACAAACTTAATATAAAGTATTTTAGGAGCATAACAACAATTACACCTTATAAGACTTATTATCTTTTTGGCATATTTAACTTATCATATACTAACAGAAAAGTAATTGAATAAACAAAATTAATTACTGCTTTAGACTTTCATTAATATTTATTAGCAAATTTAAATTGGTTAAGTAAAAAAAAAAAAAAAAAAGGGAAAAGAGTTCCATACAATAAAATCAGTTTATCTTAATTATTATTCAATATAATTAATTATTTAAATCAAATTCATATCATTCCGGCAAATATATTTTTGGTTGTTTTCAGGAAGAAATTCATGATAATACTTTTATCAAGTATTAATTATTTTAATTTTTTAACAAATATTGTTTTCATATTTTTTAAAAATATTTCTTACTTATACTTAAATCATACTATTTAATTATATTACTAATCAATTATTAATATTTATGTTCAGCAAGAAAAAAGAAAAAATATTCATAAACTTTTTTTTTTTCTTGTTTTTATAAAGATAAAGAACCAATAAAAAAATTATAATAAATAAATTAAATTGCAAATAATTAAGCAATACAAAAACAATCAAACCAATCAAATTTCATACTGATTTTAATTTTCTCAATTAATTTATTCAAATTTTATTATATGAGCAGATAAATGCAAGAGAGAGAGAGAGAGAGAGAGAGAGAGAAGAAAAAAAGTAAAAATAAATAATTTGAAAAAGATTAGAAAATAAAAAGTAAATAGTAAAGTACAATTAGTAAAATTTTAAAGATTAGTGTAAAATTGAAAGATAAAAGTGATTCATTTCAATGCTTATATATTGAATCAATGTAAAATCAAAAATCAACAATGCCACGTGATTTTTTTAAAAAAAAAAAAAAGTTCATTTTTAAATTTAACTAAAGAACTAACAATTAATTTCACATCATTGATTCATTTTTACAAAAAAAAAGAAATGAGATAATCATTTGATATTTACATCAATTAGTTTGTTTATTTTATTTACATTTTAGACATACAATAAACAACACAACATTAAAACAGGTAAATTATAAATTAATGAGAACAGGTAAACTAAAGATTACACCCATAGGAACAGGTAAAAAGTGCAGGTTACTATGACCGAAATGCTAAATTGTAGGTTTTGCAGATTAATCATTGAAAACACTTAAAGTGCAAAATACTTGGTGATAACAGGTAAACTGCAAATTATTTGATGAGTGCAGGTAAATTGCAGGTTGCATGATGAGAATGTTATTGTAACAATGAGTAATAAAATGCAAATGAGATGAAAGTGATAATTTGAAATGATACTGGATGATAAATATTGTAATGGAATGGAATTATTTTGAGTTAGAATTAGAGGAATACTTTGTGATAAGTTAGAATCAGAGGAACACTTTGTGATAAGTTATAATCAGAGGAATATTTGTGATAAGTTATAATCAGGAGGAATACTTTGTGATAAGTTAGAATCAGAGGAACACTTTGTGATAAGTTATAATCAGAGGAATATTTGTGATAAGTTATAATCAGGAGGAATACTTTGTGATAAGTTAGAATCAGAGGAACACTTTGTGATAAGTTATAATCAGGAGGAATACTTTGTGATAAGTTAGAATCAGAGGAATACTTTATGATAAGTTAGAATCAAAATAATTTTAAAATAATTCGAAATATTTTCTAAATCTAATGTGTACTTATTTTTAGACCAATTTCTTTCATTCAAAAGATGATATAAATAAAATTTAACAAAAATACAGAAAAAAAAAGTACTTTTTAAATCAAATTTAATTTTAATTACTCTATTATTTATATTCATCAATTACTTTACCATAAATTAATTCAATCATTTGAATTTAATTCATTTATTTATAAAAGTTACTATATTGTAAACATTTTATTATGTTAATAATTTTCTTACAAAATTCAAATGATGCAATCATATAAATGTTAATTTTTTATAATTCTTTCATTATTATTTTTTTTTTTTTTTTTGAAAAAAGTTAAATTTGAAGTAATTTTCTTTGAAAAATTTAAATTAAATTTAAATTAATTTTTTTTTTTTTTTTGAAAAAGTTAAAATTAATTAGCTTTTGAAAAATTGAATCATTTTTTTGCTCAAATTAGCTACAATTACATCATTTTTTAAAAGTAAGTACACAATAAAATGACGTTCATTTTAAATTAATTAATGTTCAAAAATCAAAAAACATATACGAAATAGAATTTTCTTTTTTAACAAAACTTATCAATCATTAACTTTTTTTTTTTTTAAGTTAAAAAATTTAAAAAGAAAATAAGACGTCATTTTTGTTTAGACGATCACATGCCTTTTTACACTATCAGAAATTAATCAGTGCAATGATTTAATATGACATACTGTTATCAGTATTATCACATATCACAGTGATTAGTCTAAACTTACTGAAACAAAATTAAATTAAATGTTTTATCTTTAGTCTTTGAAAATAATACTTTAAAAAAAAAAAAAAAAGAGATTTTATTTATAACTATAAAAAAAATAAAATTTCAAAATTTGCTTACATTATTTTTTGAATATTTTAAAATATTCAAAAAATAAATATTACTTGAAAATAATTTAGTATGCAAAGATTAAATTTAATCGTATTGTTATTATTATCACAATCAGCAAATTCATTTTTAATTACTTAATCAAACCAATGCTAAAAAATTAAAACTGATTAAATGATTTTTTAATTTCCAATCAAAAATTTTAATTAATTTATTTTTATTATTAAAAGATTGTTATTAAAATTAGAAAAAAAAGAAAAAATAATGATGAAATGATAGTTAAAGAGCAAATAATTGCTATTGCTATATCAAATATCATGAATTTAAATTTGAAATTAATAAAAAAAAAAGAAAGATTTTCAAAAAAAAAATTAATACAAATTAACAATTTATGAATTGGTGACATAAAATTTGTGATAAGAATTATTCATTAATTAAATTTAACAAAATTACTCATTTAAAATTCAAAATTAAAGTAATGACGATTAAATATATACTTAGTTATATAATTTTAATCTTACTTAAACATAATATTACTTAAAAATCTTACTTAAACTAATTTTTAGATAAGCATATATCAGTTAATTATGTAAGTTAATTTTTAAATAAGCATATGACAGTTAATTACCTAAGTTAATTTTTAAATAAGCATATGACAGTTATTTACCTAAGTTAATTTTTAAATAAGCACATGACAGTTAATTGCCTAAGTTAATTTTTAAATAAGCATATGACAGTTAATTACCTAAGTTAATTTTTAAATAAGCATATGACAAATAATTACCCAAATTAATTTTTAAATAAGCATATGACAGTTAATTAAAATGATATTACCTGACATTGGCTTCTTTCAGGTTTTGTTCCAATTCAGATTTTAATCTTATCAAATTTTCAATTTCAGCATTCTTATCACCATCATCAGCATTATCAAATTCTTTAACACTAAAAAAAATGAAAATTTAGGATTACACTACCTTCTACTCTTTTTTTTTAAAAAAGTAATAAATTTTTTAAGTTAGATTTTTAGTTTGTATTAATTTCTATCTCAATTAATTTACAATTTAACTATCAATTTTGATTGAAATGATTATTTCATTTTGCTATTTTAAGTTCAATGTTGTTTTTAAGTTTTGTTATTTTAAATTTCAAATTCCAACAGAATGTTGAAAATAAAATTCGGTTATTAAAGAAAATTTTAGGTTAATAACAAATGAAATGTCTTTATTAAACATTTCATATTCATTTCCAATTTATTATTATTATTATTATTATCATTAATTATTATGCATTTTTTTGTATTTTATATTATAAGATTAATAATTTTAATAAAATTCAATTCAAATTTGTATAATTTCGATTATAAGATTATGTTATTTAATGAAATAACTTATTAATGAAACTTAATTTGCAATAGAAATGATTGAATTAATCGATTAATTGATTGATACAAATAAATAAATAATTCAAATAATAATTTAAACTATTCATTCTCTGATTTCTGATCAATCAATTTTAAATATATTTTTAGATTATTTAATTAGGAAAGATAGCATTTCCAAAAAAAAAAAAAAAAAAAAAAAAAAAAAAACATTTTTAAAAAAAAAAAAAAAAAAAAAAAAAAAAAAAAAAATCTTTTATTGTACTTTTGAAGTATTTCGTAAAAAAAGAAAATTATTTTAAAAATAAAAAAGCAAAACGAAAACAAAACAAAAAAAAAAGCAAAGTAATAGAAAAAAAAAGTTAAAATTCTTAGAATTTTTAGAAATATTTAGTTTATTGAAATATTTGCAAAAAAAAAAAAAAAAAATTATATAAAAAAAAATTACAAAATTAAAAAAATTATATTAATAAAAAAAAAAAAGTGAAAAGAAAAAGAAAAATTTTACATTTCGATCGTTTCCAATTGTTTTTCCAATGTATTTTCTAAAATTTGTTTTTCCAATTCGATAATTCTGAAAAAAATAAATAAATAAAATAACTTTGTTGTAATTTTTTTTTTAATTTTATCAAAATTTTTAAAATTCATTAGACAATTTTTTTTTTTTTTGTAATTTTTTTAAATTTTATCAAATTTAAAAGATTTTTTTTTTTGCTGAAATAATAATAATTGAAGAATTAAAAATATAATACTTAAAAATTTGCAAACATTTGCACTATGATATGTTAATTAGCATATCATTTTTTAAATGATTAATTTAAAAATTATGAAAAAATTTAAATTTGTTAATTTCTACTTTATTAGTGATAAAATGTAACAAATGCTTATTTGAGAGATTGTTTAAAATGAAAAGCGCAAATGTCCAAAGTTTTATTTGATAAGCATTTCTGCTAATTTTTAAGTAATGCAAATTTTATTAAAATTAAAAATAATTTTAATTTAACATTTTAATTAAACTAACTCATTGCATGCATCCATTATTGATTCTTTTCTTTCATTTAATAATTGCTCAGTTTTACTACGTTGCTCCATAAGTGCGTCAATAATTTTTTGATAATTTAATTCTTTGCATAGATTTTCCAATGAACAATTTATTGAGCTAAAATATAATAATAATAATAATAATAATACTAATAATACTAATAATAGCAATAATAGCAATAATAATAGTAATAATAATAATAATAGTAATAATAGCAATAATAATAGTAATAATAATAATACTAAAATTATTAATGTATAATTTTACATTTTAAAATTTGTTAATTGAAAAAAGACAAAAAGCAAAAACTGAAATATACATTGAAAAAGTTTAATTAATCTAGTTTAAAGTTTAACTAACTTTAATAAATTCTTTATATCTGCTAATAAAGAATTTTGAGAAATATTAACAATTTTTTATTTTACAAAAAAACAAAAAAACAAATAAATTAAATTTTAAAAAAAATAAAAAGTAAAAAAATCAAAAATTCAATTTAATATAGCAAAAAAAAAAAAAAAAAAACAATTTACTAATTTTATTACGATAATATTAAAAGTATTTTTAAAAAGTTATAAAAAGAAAATTTAAAAAAAAAAAATTAAAAAATTACTATTGTATTATTTTTATTATTTTAATAAAAATATAATAATACCTGAGATCAATACCAATACTTTCAATACGATTTAAACTTGGAATTTCTTTGCATTCACAATAATTTTGCTAAAATTAATACAATAAAATTTTACATTAAAAATTAAATTTTTTATCAAATTTTTAAATTAAAAAATAAAAATTAAAATAGAATTAAAAAGAAAAATGAATTTTTTTTTTTACCAATTCAATTTCTTTTTTTCCATTTATTAGAGCATTTTGAATTTCATCTTGTAAATGTTTTACATTTTCTTTTAATTGTATATTCCTGGAAAAGATTAAAATTAATTAAATTTGTTTTAAGCATTGATTTAATTTAATTACATTTAAAATTATTCAAATCATTGCTGTATATCAATTGTATGTTATTTTTGAAAAAAAGATCAAAAATATGCGATTTTTTAGATAATACTTTTTAGGTGTAAAAATCAAATTTTTAAGTAATAAATGTACATATCTTAGGTTTAAGTAATTTCAATTTCATATTTCAATTAACTTTCACATTTCAATAAATAAAATTTTATATTTAAATAAATAAAAAATACAAAAATTAAGTTTAAGTAATTTTAATTTCATATTTCAATTATTTCATATTAATATATTATATATTTCAATTTTATTTTCATATTTCAATAAATAAAATTTCATATTTAAATAAATAAAAAAATACATATTTTAAGTTTAAGTAACTTTAATTTCATATTTCAATTATTTCATATTAATATATTATATATTTCAATTAATTTTCATATTTCAATAAATAAAATTTCATATTTAAATAAATAAAAAAATACATATTTTAAGTTTAAGTAACTTTAATTTCATATTTCAATTATTTCATATTAATATATTATATATTTCAATTTAATTTTCATATTTCAATAAATAAAATTTCATATTTAAATAAATAAAAAAATACATATTTTTAGTTTAAGCATTTTTAATTTCATATTTCAATTAATTTTTATATTTCAATAAATAAAATTTCATATTTCAACAAATAAAAAATACATATTCTAAGTTTAAGTAATTTCAATTTCATATTAATATATAATATATTTCAATAAATAAAATTTATATTTCAATAAATAAAAAAATACAAAATTTAATCTTAAGTAATTTCAATTTCATATTAATATATTATATATTTCAGTTAAATATCAAACATATGTTCCAATTAGTATTAATTTTATATATTAATTAATATTTTAAATAATTTATTACCATTTAATATTTTAAATAATAAAAAATAATTATTCGTAATAATTACTCTTATAATAGCATAAATATTACATACAAAATATATATATGCAAAAATTACTTTTATTAATTAGAAACAAATCATACTTTTAGTTTATTTAAAAAGTTTTGAAAATAATTTAATTTAAACTTTTCACTTATAAATTTTAATTTTACAATGATTATTGAGAAAATGATTTTGAAACTAAGAAAAAAGTTAAACTTTTGATTTAGCGCTTCATTTTCCATACGTAAAATTTCAATTGTTCTCTCATTGACCTCTTTTAAATGTGTTAATTCATCCTCTAAAATGGCTATCCTAAAAAAGAAAAATTTCAATTTGTATTTTATTATTTTAAATTTCATTGAAAAATTTAATTCAAATTCAAAAAAAAAAAAAAAAAACAAAAAATATAAAATTGAAAAAGAAAAAAAAATTATTGAATAAAAAAAAAAAAAACAATTTTTTCTTTCAATTAGCAAAAATTTATTATAATATTAGTTTCCATTTTTGATAAATTCATTGAAAAGTTTTTTTTTTTTTCAAAAAGTTTTTTTTTTGAGAAATTTATAAAATAATTATTTATTTCAAAAAAAAAAAATTGTTAACCGATTATTAGCATTGCGAAGCCATTCACAATGCTCGCTAAGTTGCAATTCGATATCATTTTTTTGTTTCAATAAATTTTCATTTTCCACTTTTTGTTGATGAAATTCGTTATTCAAATTTTCGATTATTTTCCTTAAATTTTTTAAATTTTTAAAACAATCAAAAATAATTTTAATATAATTTAAGAAACGATTGAATATTACTTTATAAAATTTTGAAAAAGTTTAACTGCTTTTTTTTTGTTGAAGCAATAATAAATTAAATTCAATAATTAATAAACGTTTCAAAATTAAATAGTAAAATTAGAAAATTAATGTTAATTTCTAATTTAAAACATATATATTAATTGTAGGATAAATTGTGCAAAAAATTTTTAATGTTATAATTGTAAAAATTAAAATAAAATTTACCGGAAATTCACCACTTCTGAAACTTCCGGTTCAATTTTTTCCAAATATTCTTGAATGGTTGCAAGTAGAGCACTTAATTGTGCATATTTTTTACATAACTAAAATATAAAATTTTAATTTATGCAATTTTAATCTAATTTTTTATTCAATTTGTTTTTGTGTACAAAAATTAATTTCAGCTCTAATTTTCATTCAAAAATATACTCAAAAAATTAAAATTTCATTCAATCATTTGATAAAAGTAAAAATTGAAAAAATTTTTCTCAAATGATTGAAAAGAAAAGAGAATTCAACCTGCTTAAATTCTTCCTCTAAATTTTCCATTTCTTTAGTTTGTCCCAAAAGAAGCATTGTCGTTTGTGAATCTTTCGATAAATTTCTTATTACAATTTTAGTTTTTATTAAAGTTTCGTTCAATTTCTTATTTCTGTAAACAAACAAACAAACAAACAAACAACAACGATAATTGAAACATTAAAATGATTAGTTTATCAATTATGATGTAATATTTTTTCTTTCAAATCATAAACAAAAATGAAATAATGAAATTTAATTTAGAAATTTTTAAGCTTCTAACAATTGATTTAATTTAATTAAATTTTTTTTTTTAAAAAAACTATTTTTCATATGCATTTGAATCATAGAAAATTTTCTTTAATATATGTTACGATTAAAAGGAAATTAAATTCGGAATATATATTTTAGCAATGATTTGATTACAATTGCAAAATGTTAAAAGAAAAAAAATGAAAAAAAAAAGAGAGGAAAACTCGATGAGAATTTTATATTAGAGAGAAAAAAGCGAAATAATTATATTAAAATCATATTATTCTTATGTTAGATTTTTTTTATTTTATATTTTTATTTTATTTTATTTTATAAATTGTAAATTAATTTTCAAACTCCAACTTTTAACGCATACCGCAATCATAAGTTAATACCTCAAACCAAAATAAATACATACTAATCGTTTCACATTTCAATTAATTAAAATTTCTTTTCATATTTGAATCAATTAAACTTTTCAATATCATTGCTTTTTCTTACTTAGCTATAACCACTCTATCATAGCTAGAATCATTATTTTTTACTAGTAAATTAAATGCATATAAAAAAAAAATGTAAGTAGTAGAATGTCAAAGTAAAATATAAATGGATAATGTAAATAAAACATAATTAATTATTTAGCTAATTAATAAAAATCAAATTAATTTAACTATATGCAATTTTTTTTTTTTGAGTGAAATGGAGAGAAAAAAGAAACAAACTTTTCATTTAATTCGAATACTTCATTACTTAAATTGTAAACTATATCATCGTGTTTTACTTTCACGCACGTCAATTCCGCTTCAAGTGATGCAATTCTGCAATGAAGCACAAAGTGAGCACGCAAATAAATTGAATGAACTCAAAAAACATAAATTTTTTTTTAAATAATACAAAAAAAAAATGAAAAATTGTTATTTTGATATTAGGAAAAATATTTCCCAATTTGTTTGATGCAAGATGAGAATTAAAGAAATGAAAAATTTTAATTGAGATAAATTAATTGAATAATAAAATAAAATATATTAGCACATACTTTTCAAATTTATCAAAAATTAAATCTGTTTAAATTCAAATCTTACAATAAAATAGAAATGAAATTTCTTTTTCATTTTTCATTTGGCTACTTTTTTCTGTCTTAAATTTAAATTTATGCTAATTACCGTTCATTAGCATCCTTTGTACGTTGCCGCTCTTCACCAAGAAACCATTCAGCGTCACATCGTTCCTTACATACACGTACGAGATCAGCGTCTTTTTGTTTCAGATCATCTTTTAATTTAGCTATTGTTGCTTCATGCTCACTAATTGTTCTACAATTTTTTCGATCAAAATGAAAGATATTTAATGACAGTGCGATTGAGAAATTGGAAAAACTACGTAGGAATTTTTAAAATTCATAAAGATGTTTATGCTTTGCATACTGTAATACGTTACAGTATCTGAGCTATGTTACAGTATTACATATTACTGTATTTGAGTGAGAAAAAATGTTACTTACTGAAAATTTAAAAAATTTAATTTAAGATGTAAATTTTAAAAAATTAAAAAAATTTAAATTCGTATTTTATTAAGTTTATTGAATTATCAAATTAATTAATTTAAAAAAAGACATATTTATGCGCATACTTCGCATAATGTAAAACGTTACAGTATTACATATTACAGTATTTGAGTGTAAAAAATGTTACTTGGTGAAAATTTAAAAAACTTAATTTTATGATGTAAATTTTAAAAAGTTAAAGAAATTTAAATTCGTATTTTATTAAGTTTGATTGAATTATTAAATTAATTAATTTTAAAATAAAGTTATAATCATGGGCATACTTCACATACTGTAATTATTGTACTTGAATAATGCTACAGTAATGCATATTGTAGTATTCGAGTGAAAAAAATGTCACTTGCTATATTTATGTCAAATATAATAATATCTAAATAATTAATGAATTCCAAAATGTGATACTACACAAATTAATAATAATAAAAAAGGCCTACCATGGGATTAAACTTGATTTAATCAAAAAATTCAATTGAAAGTGCTATTGTGATTTCATTTACATTTGAAAAAAAAAAAGTTTAAATCAATTAAATGCGCTATTTAAAATTAATTTAAAATGTATTTTTTGTAACACATTTAGAGGTAAACAAAGAAATTGCACAAAATTTTAAAAGATATAATTTTAATTTAAATTATATCTTTATTAAAGTTTAGCAATTCAAAAAATTACATGATTAACTAATAAAGCTTACATTTTTAAATGATTACTGTCATATACTTCTGCTGCTAGTTCCTCTGCTTCGAGCAATTTCTTCTCTAATTCAAATATTTTTTCAAATAACTGCAAAAGTTTGTTAAAATTTAAATTAATCACTTCAACATATTATCTTTTAATTCTATTGACGCAAGAAATTTTTAATTTATTATCATTTAATTTATCACAATATCTCCAAGAAATGAATTAATGATATGATATACCTTGCTTTTATCAATTTCCATTGATTCCGATTCGTTCTTATCAGTGTTTATTAATTCTGCTTCAATTGGTATTGCATTGATTTTATCACATTTTTCTTCTACTATTTCTGGTTGCTTTTCAAGGAATGAATTTAAAATTTCTTCCTTTTCAGCTAATTTTTCAGCTAACTCATTAGCTCTGCAATTTGTTAGTTACTATATTTGAAATATTGATTGGCTAATTTTAATTTTTTTACTTGGAATACATCCGATTTTTGCTCATTTCAGAACTGCAAATTAGAAATTAATTATATAAATAATATATTTATTAAGAAAGAGAAAATAAATCTTCAACAGTCATTTTCAATTTCTAAAAATTTAATTTTAAATTTAACCTATTATTAGCATCCTGAAGCAATTGACAGTGCTCTCCAAGTTTCCATTCTGTTTCATTTCTTTGTTTTATAATTTCATCGATATGTTTATTTTTATTATTAATTTCATTGCGCAAATCTTCTATCGTAGCATTTAATTTGCTATAAAATCAACTGATAACGAAAAAAATTGATAACTGATAAAAAGTTTGTTTTGCTCAAATTTTAAATTTTCTTTTTTAAGCCATTTTAAATTTTTATTTACTTTCAATAAATCAAAATATTTCATTTTAATTTTTTTTTTTTTTTTTATTTATAAAATTAAAATTAAAATTGTTGTTATCACTTATCAATAATTTCAATTATTAATCAATCGATGGAAAAAGAAGCAACAGAAAGATTTCTAATGAGACGCGAAGCTAACAATTATTGAATATCGTTTCAAATATGAGAAATTTAAACTTGATAAAAATAAGCATATTTATTTTAACTAAACTAACAATTTGAGAGATAAATTAAAACCAAAAAAAAACTATTCCTAGTTTAAATTTTAAAAACAAATTAATCTATATATTATCGTAAAAATAATTTTAAAATGAAAAATTGAAAAAGAAAAAAGATTAAAATAAATGTTTAGAACAAATTGGAAAAAAAAAAATAAACTTACTTAATATCATCATTTTGTGATATTTTAGTTAAATCAATTTTAAGACTATTATTTTCGCACCTTAATTCATCAATTTCTGCATTCTTTGCTACCACAATACCATCTAACCAATTAGCTCTTTAATAATCATTGAAATTATCAAATTTAATTTTAATTCAATGTTAAATATATTAGTAGATTAATGTGAAATATTTTTAATTTAATCAAAAAATGCATATATTCAATACCATTTCTATTATCACCCAAAATGATTTAATCAGAAATTATTTACCCAATTACTCTTTTATAATTTAAAAAATTAGAAATTACAATTAAAAAAATAAAAGCAAACATTTAGAAGTGATATTTTTACCTATCATTGCAATCTCGAAGCCATTGTCGATGCTCACCGAGACTCCATTCTCGATCATTGTTCTGCTGCACAAGATTATCAATGCATGCATTCTTATCATTCAGCAGTTCTCGCAAATTTTCATTCTCATTCTTCAGATAACTAAAACACATAAATGATAACAGCTTATCACTTCTGATAAGTGATTAGAAAGTTGCACAAGATTTTATCAATGCATAAATTTTTGTTATGAAGAATGTGTTGCAAAATTTCATTCGTCCTCAGAAATAAATAATATAAATTTATCAGTGCTGATAAATGATAAAGGAGAAGTGATAAAATTTTTACTAATATTATGTGAAACAATGAGATAAATGTTTTTTTTTTAAGATACATTTATGCTTAGGTAAAAAGTAGAAAAGTTTTGTATATTTTAATCATTAAATGTTATTCTATGTTAATATCAAATTATTTAATTAATAAAATTGTTTAACTAATTTATTAATCTAAGTTATCTATTTGTTATAAAATAAAAATAAATTAATTTCAAACATTAAAAAAATTTTTTTAATTAGAAAATTTTAATTAATAAATGTTTAATTTAATAATAAATAATAATTAGAGCAAAATGACTAACATTAGATCATCCAATTTCGGATGTTCAGCTAATGCTTGTTCAGTGTTCTGAAGTTTAACCATTAATTCATCAATTGATTCAATTGATACCTGTCAAATTAGCAAATGAGAATAATTAGCACATCAAAAGAAGAAATTATTTATAAAATTAATCTGAGAAATTTGAAATTGTTACATTAATTTTATAATCTACCTTAGTCTATTTATTATTTCAAAAGTCAAATTAAAAAGTATTTATTGTAAGAATGAAATTTTAATTAATTTAAAATCATTTATTTAATAATCTATCTTAACCTAAAATGCATAATTAATTAATAATTAATTAGTAATCAAATATAACTTTAATTAATCATTAAAACTAATAATTTCACTTAATTAATCATTAAAACTAACATTCATCATTTATTCTTTCTTTCAAAAGTCAAATTAAAAAGTGTTTATTGTAGGAATGAAGTTTTAATTAATTTAAGATTGAAATAATTTACTTCTATTTTTACCTGTTGCGCTTCTTCTTTTACCGCCTCAAGCGCTGCTTTAAGATCGAGAACTACCATTTTGGATAATTTGTCCACTTCATTGTGCAATTCTTTATTCATCGCATCGTTTGCTATTTTACATTCTTCAAGTTGAACAATTCTAAAAAATAAACAACCATTATGTTTCATTAATTAATTAGTTAATTAATTAAGAAAGGTGTATAAAATAGAAAAAAAACGAATTAATTAATTAATTAAGGTAAATGTATAAAATAGAAAAAAAGAAGCGAAATGATAAAATAGTTTAATTTTGATAAATAATTGATTAAATTAAGTGATAAACCTTTGATTAGCATTTTGAAGCCATTGTTGATGTTCGCCAAGGCTTAATTCCAAATCATTTTTTGCTTTCTCGAGATTTGCAATGCAAACATTTTTGGCGCAAAATTCATCATTTAAACCATTAATTGTTGCAAGATAATTGCTAAGAATTTTATTTTATTTTTTATAATTTTTAAATATAAAATATAGTTTAGAATTATTGAGAATTTTTAAATGTAAATAAATAATTTTGAAATTTTACTTTTTTGCTTTTTGCTTAAATTAAATGGATCTTTTGAATGCGTTAAAAATTTTGAAAATTACTTTCCTTTCCTTTTTTTTTTTTTTTTTGTTATATTTTACAATGAATACATTACCTAGTATCAGTATTTCGATTCTCGATTTCTTGTTTTAATTTCTCGACATAATCATTACATTTACATAATTCTTTCTCGAGATCTTGTACTCTGAATTGCATATTTATTTGGTTTCAAATAAAAGAAAGAAAAAAAAATGTAAAGAAAATTATTTTATTATGTGCATTAAAATATACGGAAAAGACTTTCTTTGTCATTTTTAACTTTTTTTTTCTAAATTTAAAAATTTTGCAAAAAAAAGAAAAGTAATAACAAAATTCTAATAGTAATTAATAAACAGTTTGAATATTGGTAAAATATTAAAGATGAATAAATGAACTGATTAACTAATTAATTAATTATAACATCTATTAAAATTGCTACAGGTTAATTTACATATCAAAAATTTCAAATTAGCAATTTCTACATCTTATCAGTTAACTCTATACCGTAATTATCGATTAGTATTATTGATTTTCTTGAAACTTTATAGGATCAAAAAACTTTTTTTTCTTTTGTTTTTGCTAGTTGCAATTAAATTTTGAAATAATTAACAATGAAAGATAAAAGTTGAAATAGTCATATGCTCTTGTTATTAGTGTCAAAATTGAAACTTTAACAGATGTTATCATTTCTTGTTAAGTGATATGGAAGAGTGATAGTTGAATCAGTGCATGGAGTATTTAGTGGGATTAGCTTATCATATCATTAGATATCAAATGATTATCACTACCAGGTGATATAGAAGAACGATAGTTGATGGAGTATTTAGTAGAATTAGCTTATCATATCATTAGATATCAAATGATTATCACTACCAGGTGATATAGAAGAATGATAGTTGAATCAGTGCATGGAGTATTTAGTGGGATTAGCTTATCATATCATTAGATATCAAATGATTATCACTACCAGGTGATATAGAAGAATGATAGTTGAATCAGTGCATGGAGTATTTAGTGGAATTAGCTTATCATATCATTAGATATCAAATGATTATCACTACCAGGTGATATAGAAGAATGATAGTTGAATCAGTGCATGGAATATTTAGTGGAATCAGCTTATCATATCATTATCACTACGGCAAATCAAACAACAAATTTTATCTATAACTGTTTAATCGTTTTCTTAACAGATGTTATCATTTCTTGTTAAGCGACATAGAGGAGTGATAACTGAATCAGTGCATGGAGTGCTTAGTGGAATTAGCTTATATCATTAGATATCAAATGATTATCACTACCAAGTGATATAGAAGAATGATAGTTGATGGAGTATTTATTATAATTAACCTATCATACCATTAGATATCAAATGATTATCATTACAACAAATCAAACAACAAAATTTTTACCTACAACTGTTTAATTGCATTTTAAAATGATACATACAGATTGAAAGAATAGAATTAAGAATTATATGGAAATGAATTAAATGAAATTAAACTAATTAATATAAAAAAGTTACCTATTTTTAGAGTCATGAAGCCATTGACGGTATTCACCTAAACTCCATTCCTTATCATTGCATTCTTTCGTTAAACTTTTGATAAATTCATTTTTGCCATTTAATTCATTTTGTAAACAATCAACCACTGAGCTAAGCTCACTTAAATTAGAAATAATAAATGAAATTATTATTATTTTCACTATTTGATTTATTATTATTAATTCAAAATTATATTAGAAATGTTAATCGTAATATAAATAATTTCAATTTAATCATTTATATCCTTTTAAATTACAATTTAAATTGCAGAAAAAGTTTTTAAAATTACACAATAATTTTAAACACATATGAATACAATAATTTTGCATAAATTAAATTACATAAAAGAAAACAAAAAAAAAAAAAAAAGAATATTTAAAAATTAAAATAATTTACTTTAGCTTATTATCTTCACATGGTGCATTAGAAAAAGCTTTCTCAGCATTTTGAAGTTTTTCATGCAAAACTATCATTTCTTCCTGTAAAAATATTTGAAAATTAAAAATTTTCTTATCAAAAATTTAAAAATTTAATTTGAAAATTTAAAAATGCAAAAAAATTTTTATGTTGAAATGTGGACAAAAACTTTTTTTTTCACATTTTTAGTTTTATTTTTTTAAATTTTTTACACAAAAAATAATTTTAAATTTAACTAAAATTTTGTCATTTATTTAAGGAAAGTTTAGATTTTGCAAATTTTTAATATTTTATTATAATTTTATTGTAAAATACGAAATTAATTAATATTGAAATTAGAAATTTGTAAATGAAATATAACGTTCCTCATTGCATTTCTTCAATTCATCGATCAAATGATTCTTTTCAGTCAAAATAGATTCTAATTCATCGATTCTAAAAATTTACTTAATTTATTTTAAAAAAAAAAAAAAAAAAAAAAAAAAAAACATGTGACAAAATTATTTTTTTCAAATTTGAAATTATTAACAGTAAAAGATATATGATTAATTATTCCTATTATCTTATTTTCATAAAGGAATAATTTCTTTTTATTTAATTCAATTTTATCATTGATAAATGTTTTTTCTTTTTTTTTTTTTTTTTGCTTAAACTTATAATTCAATAATTAAATTCATTAATAGAATTTATTTAACTGAAATAATTTAAGAATTAATCCAAAAAAAAGTTAGAAAATAATTTTCTCTCATTTATGAAAAGCATTTATAAATTTCAAAAATCAAATTTAAATGCAAACAAAACTCTTTACAAACTTTTCATAATTACAAATAATAATTTATGAAAAATATCAATTCAAATAATATCAATTTAATTATTTTAAACATTTAAACTGATAAAATTACTAATTAATTTCAGATTAAATTAATCTAAAAAAATTGACAATAAATCAGTCATTTAACTAAATGAAACAATTGCGCTGACAATTGCGCTTTATATTATAATTTCTATTCTCTCCCTCTTTTTTTTTTAGCTGACAGTTGACAATGAATGAACCTATTATTAACATCTTAAATTGACAAAATTACTAAATTATTTCAGATTAAATTAGTTTAAAAAAAATTGACAATAAATCAGTCATTTAACTAAATGAGACAATTGCGCCTTATTTTTTTTTTAGGTGACAATTGACAATGAATGAACCTATTATTAGCATCCTTTAATTGTTGTTGTTTTTCATTGAAATTCCATTCAAAATTAATTTTCTCTTTTGAAATATCATTAAGTGTCACATTTTTATCATCAATTTCTTTTTGCAAACCTTCAATAGCTTCCGTCGATATTCTAAATCAATGCTAATTAATTAATTAATTAATTAATTAATCACTGTTAATTAATCCACAACATAATCAATCCATCATAATTTATTAATTAATAAAAATTTTTTGCTAAATTTAATTAATCTTTTATTGTTTCCCTTCATTCATTTTAAAAAAAAAAAACCTTTTTAAATAATTCAAAATTTTTATTGTCTTTTTCATTAATCAAAAATAAAAATTTATGAATTTAAATTTTAATTTTGAAATTAATTTTAAAACGAAATGAAAAAGTTTACAACAAAAAAAAAATACATAAAAATAATTGCAAAAAAAAAAATTTTTTTTTGGAGAAATACCTAATATTATAATTTAATTTTTCAATTTCTTCTCGTAAACTACTATTTTCTTCACCAATTATTTGCAATTTATTTTCAAGTTCATCAATTCTGAAATGAAAATATTAAAAATAAAAAATTAATTATTAATTAATTCAATTACATATAGCAAATGTCATTTGTCCTTTTTTTTTTGTTTTCTTTTCTTCCACTAATATTTTTTATGAAAATGTTTTTGAATTATCGATGGATTGATCAATTAATTAATTGATTCATACATTTTTTAAATAAATTTAATCATTTTAATTAACAATATGAGAATGAACAACAATTAATTCAACAATTAAAAAATTAGAATTTAAATCCTTTTTGAAATATTAAATTTTTTGAAATAAGCATTGATTTAATTCTTCCTTTTTTTTTCACTTAGCCAATTAAAAAATGTTAACAATTTTGCAAATTAATTGTTAAATCAAAAAAAAAAAAGAGAAGGAGAAAAATTAAAATTAAAATTTAAAAATTTCAACTTTTTTTTAGCATCTGTAAGCCATTGGCGATGTTCACCTAAAATCCATTCTGTATCCATCCATTTTTGCTCATAATTTTTTGAATTTTCCTTTGCATCATTTAATTCATCCATTAAATTCTCAATTCTTAAACCAAATAAACTGAAATAATAAATTTTCTTTTTTCTTTTTTTTTTTTTAAATAATTTAAATTTTCAAAAAAAAAAAAAAAAAATGGAAAAAATAAAATTTGAATATTAATGATGAACTTAAGTTCATTTTGTTTCTCATTGAAATCTTTTTCCAATTGTATAATTTGTTGTTCTTTTTCCCATATTCCTTTCTTTAATTCATCCATATTAGGCTTAAAAAAAAAAAAAAAAAAGAAAATAAATTAATTAAAATAAATAGTAAACATTTTTTTCTTCTTTTTTTAAAAAAAAAAATTAAAATAATTTTTAAAAATTAAAATATATTTTTTAATTACTTCATTTAGTTCAAATTCATGAAGTTTTTCTATTGCTGCATCTTTCTCATTTGTAATTCGTTGTAAAGCATTTTCAAGTTCTTTCACTCTGTAATTAATATATATAAATTAATTTAAGTATTTAAATTAAGTAATTAAATTTTGAATTTAATATTTATTCATTGATATTTACATCTTTTTTTTTAAAAAAAAATTCGTCTGCTGTTTTGCAGTTTAATATTTTGTTAATATAATTAATTAATTAAAAAAAATTGATTTAATAATTTACTATAATAGTAAGTAAATTTTATTATCAATTCAAATTTATAAATTAATTTTAATCCTTTTTTTTTTTTTGCTAATTTACCTTTTTTTCAAATTCTGTAACCAATGCTTATATTCAGCAAATGTCCAATTAGCATTTTTATTCGATTCTGTTGAATCATTGAAATGACCATTGTCCACATCGAAAATATTCTCATCCAAATCTCGCAGTGACCATTTAGCCTTTCTATAAATTAAAATAAAATTGAGAAATTTTAAGAAAAAAAAAAAAAAAAGCATTTTGATGTTTTTTTTTTTAAAAAAAACTTTATACTTTTCCAATTTTAAGCATAAAAAAAAATTAAAAGTTTATTCTTTTAATACAAATTAATATATCAAATAAAAAAATTCGAAATTAATTTTACTTTTATTCATTTCAATTATTTACTTATGTATTTGATGAAGTTAGCATAATTTCGAATTTTAAGTAAAAAAAATTATGAGTAAAGTTTTTAATAAAGCAATTCGCAATATAATCATGAAAATATGGCCATTTTATTAAAAAAAATCTTAATTGTTATTGTGTTCTTATAAATTTTAGTAATAATTATCATATCAGTGATAAAGTAATTTTGTAGAGCGTTAATTAATTGGAGTAAATTATAAAGTAATAATTATCATATCAGTGATAAAGTAATTTTGTAGAGCGTTAATTAATTGGAGTAAATTATAAAGTAATAATTATCATATCAATAACAAAGTAATTTTGTAAAGCGTTAGTTGATTGGTATATATTATAAAGTAAATATTATCATATCAGTAATAAAAAAATGATTTCGAAGAAAACATTAATTAATTTTGAGTAAAGTTAAAAATAATAATGGTAATTTATAAGTCTAATTACTTTAACTTTGAGTGGAAAAGTAAGTCATTTTAGCATAACATAAACAATTTTAGCTGCTTCATCGGAGAAAAAAAAAAAACTTTGCAACTTATTTTAATTTCATAATTAATTAACTTATCATTTATAAAAATTAATAAAGTTAAACAAAAATTAATTAATTGCTTAATTAAATTTTCTAATTAATTAAGGAAACAAACTTTTTTGCTTCATTTTTGTTTATTTTAAAATTTTTTCCTTTTTTTTTTTTTTTTTTTTTTGTTTCTCAGATAATTTTCATTTTTTAAATTTTAATAAATTTTAAAGAGAGAAAATTTTGAATTGAAAAAACTTACTTATACTCATTGTCATCATTGTTTGATTCATTTTCAATTATTTGCTGTTCTTTTTTATTCAAACAATACTCCAAACTGTCGATTTTTTCATGTAACTGTTAATTAGCAGAAAAAAAAAAAATAATAATAAATTATTTCTCAAATTTGTAAATTAAAAAAAAAAAAATTTATTTAAGAAAAAAATTAAAATAAACAAAATTTAAAGTTAAAAAAAAAAAGTTTTACCTGTTGGAAAGTATCAATTCGTACTTCTTTTAATTCAACTAATTCTTTACTAATAGCTAAGATTAAGCGATCTTTTTCCATTTCTTCATCTTCCAGATAAGTAATTCTTAAAAATAAAATTTTAATAATATTAAATTTTACTCCAATCACACATTCCCTCTCTCTCTCTCTCTCTCTCTCTGTTCTCCTTTCCCTCTTTTCTTTTTTTATTTAAATTTATTTTAATTTAATTATTTATTAATAGTATGAATTGATATGATTAATCACACTATCAAAATACATTTTACTTTCAGTATTTTAAATAAAAGCATAAAATAATTCTCATTTTTAAAGTCAAATATTATTTAACTGATTAATTTAGCAATTTAAATTTATCAATTAATAAAATAAAATTATATTAATAATAATTTAATTTTGCTATTTTCATTAGCTTTTATTGTTATCTCTAATTTTTTTTTAAAAAAAATAAAAAAAGTTAAAAAATAAATTTAATTCTTTACAAAATAATACTAACAAAAAAGAAAAAAAAATCACTTTTTTTACTGCTCATAGAAAAAGTAAATAACTTAATTCAAACCTATGAATTAATTTTTATAAAAATTCGAAATAATCAAAAAGAAAAAAAATTTTACAAAAAGTAAAAGTTGAAGTAAAATTTAAATCGATCATTTCAAATACAAATTTGTTATTGTTGTCGTAAAAAAAAAAAAACAAAACAAAGCAAGACAATAAAATTCAGATCAAAGATAATCTTAGCTTTAATTGAAAATTTACATAATTTCAGACATAATTTATAATTTTAATTTATAACATAATTTCTGACATAATTTCAATTAATAATTAATTGATCAAAAAAAAGGGCAAAAACAGCAAATAAACAAATGAACAAAAAGGAATAAAATAAACAAACAAACGAATAAATAAACGATCAGACAAACAAACAAACAAACCAATAAATAAACAAATAAACAAACAAACGAACAAACAAACAAACAAATAAATAAGCAAACAAACAAATAAATAGACGAGCAAACAAACAAATAAACAAACAAACAATTGAACAAATAACCAAACAAACGAACAAACAAATGAACAAATAAATAAACAAATAAACAAACCTTTTTGTAGCATTTTCCAAACAAACTTTGTATTCTTCGATACTATTTTTCATTTCATTATTTTGTTCGTTTAATTTCTCACATTCATAAATTTTATCTTTTATATTTTGTTGCATTTCTTCCAATTTTGCTTTTATTTCACTTAAAATAATAAAATTTATTATTTTTTTTTTTAACAAAAATTTTTATTTACATTAAAATTTGAATAAATTATTACTTCTTGTTAGAGCATATATATAAATTTTAAAAAATTAATCAAATAAAATATGAAAAAGAAAAAATTTCTTTAAAATATTTGCATCATTTTTTTTAAAAAAAAAAAATTTAAATTAATTTAAATAATAATAGTACCTGTTATTATCACTAGGTATAACAATAGCATTTCTAGCTTCATTAAGCATTTCCTCTAATTGACAAACTTTTTGCCATCCATCCAATTTCTCATTTTCAAGAATTTCAATTCTGTAATATCGCTTATATTATTATAATTTGATTTTTGAAAAAAAAAAAAGAATTTAAATTTTTCAAAAAAATGAATTTAAATTTTTCAAAGAAATTTTTCTATTAATCTTTTCTCTTCTTTTACATTATTAAAACATTCATTGTTATAAATAATTTAAAATTATTAACTACAACAAAAATTTTTTTTTTGTTTTAAATAATTTAAAATTATTAATTACAACAAAAATTTTTTTTTGTTTTAAATAATTTAAAACTATTAAATTGTAAAATTTAATTATCACCTGGCATTAGCATCTTGTAGCCAATGTTGATGTTCGCCAAGGTACCATTGCGCATCACTTTTAGCTTTTTCCAACTGATTAATGCAATCATTTTTGTCGTTAATTTCTTTCCGCATTTCATTTATTAATGAATTCAAATTTCTAAATTATTTAATTTAAAAAAATTTTTTCATTAAATTTATTAAATAATTTGCAAGCAAATTTGAATTTTTAATTTCATATTTCATTGTTTTTTCATTCCAAAAAATTTTTTCTTTATTGTACCAAATTTTATAGAAATTAATTTTGTTTAATTTTTTTGCGCTTAAAAATTTTGACTAAAAGAGTAAATAAAATTTTCAATAGCAATAAAGTGAATTATTTATAAAAATTATTTAAAAAATTAAATTTCAAAAAAAGCAAATATATGAAAGATAAAAAAAAATTTCATTTTTCAAAAAATCTTCAATTTTTTTTTTTAATTTTAAAATTAAAATTTTACACTTACTCAATACTTTGATCAGTTGGCACGTCAAGAAGACGTCTTTCCACGTCATGAAATCGATGCGTCACGTCATCAATAATGTCATCTTTCTCTTTGCATGCATTTACCAATTGATATATCCTACAAGAGAATGTAATTAGTAAATTATTTACGAAATTAAAATTAAAAGTAAAAATAAAACTTATAACATAGTATATTAAAAGAGAATTACAGCGCAATACGTGACGTGAAAAAAGACTTAAGTCATAAAATATTTAGAAAGTGTCACATTTTCACTGCTAATTTAATTTTTTCGTTTTTTGGCTAAACAATACATCGGACAATTGCGCGCCTACATTTACCATTACAACTATACTGTAATTATGTTATATTAAATAGTAAAAAAAAGTAAGTTATATTAAAGTTTATTTAAAAAATGTTAAAATTAGTCAATGAAAAAAATATTTTTTTTTAAAAAAAAAAAAAAAAAAAACATGTTAAAATTTAATCAAGATTAATCAATTGTTATATTAAAATTAATCAATAGAATGAAAATCTCAAAATTATTTTCTTTTTAGCTAAACGATACATTGGACAATTGCGCCTTCAATTATCATTACAACTACATAACAAATTATATTATAATAATATTATTATACTAAAATTAGTCAATAAGGTGAAAATTTTAAAATATATTTTTGTTTTTACCTAAATGATACATTGGACAATTGCGCCACTACAAATATATTATAAATTATATAATAATATTATTATATCACTACATATATATTATAAATTATATAATAATAATATTATTATACTAAAACTAATCAATAAAATGAAAATTTAAAATATAATTTTGTTTTTATCTAAACGATACATTGGACAATTGCGCCACTACAAATATATTATAAATTAATATAATAATATTATTATATCACTACAAATATATTATAAATCATATAATAATAATATTATTATACTAAAACAAATCAGTAATATGAAAATTTTAAAATATAATTTTGTTTTTATCTAAACGATACATTGGACAATTGCGCCTCCAATTATCACTACAACTATACTAAAATTAATCAACGAAATGATAATTTCAATATTATTTACCTTTCATTTGCATCATTTAACCATTGTTTATATTCACCAAGACTCCATTTCAAATCATCAATCTGTTTATTTAATTTATCAATCTCGTCATTTTTCTCGTCTAAATCATTTCTCGATGACTGTTGTTGCATTCTATCGCTTTCCTCAAATTGATCACTTATCAAATTTAATCAAATAATCTCATTTCTTATCATATCAGCTTATCACTTACCCTTGCATAATTTCATTTCACAAATTTTCGAAAAAAAAAACCGAAACGAAAACATTTAAATTGTGAAAAAAAAAACACAAATTAATTGAGTAAATTTTAAATTTTCAAAAAAGTTAAAAATTTTAGATTGAATGAAAAATTTTTTCAATCAAATAATATTTGAATTATTTATTTATTTATTTTTTTTTTGTTGTTGAGATTATTTTAAAATTAATTAATTGTAAAAATTAAAAATGTTGAAAAAAAAAAAAAATTAATGTACAATTTTTGATTGTTGTTGATTAAATGTTTGACATTTTAATTTGTTGTTTAATTCCGCGTTGAGGTTCACTAATAATTGTGCTTTATTTCTTTCATCATCCAGCATTATTTCCAATTCTTTGATTCTAAAAAAAATTTAATTTAAAATATTTTTTTTTTTTAAAATTATATTTTAATTAATTTAGATTTAATAAAATTATATTTTTAAATAATTTTTAATGAATCTTTTATTTTTCTTTTTTAAAATAACATTTTGTGTGTTTTGAAATAATAATTGAATTTCTTTTCATATTCTTTTGATACTTTAAAACTATAAATTTTTTTTTAGCATTCATTTTTAAAAATAAATTTTTTTTTTTTGTGGTTTCATTATTTTATAATCTATTTAATTAAACTTAAATTTGCATACAAATTTAAAATCTAATTTGTTTACTGATTTAAATGATTCTCATTTTTAGCATTTAGTCTATTTTAAATTTAATTTCTAAAAAAAATTTTTTAATTTTTTTTTTTTTTTTTTTTTTTTTTTTTTTTTTATTTTTGTATATTTTAATTAAAATGTTCATGCTTACTTGTATAGCATTAAAATATTTTTGTGTTTATTCAATTTCATTGTTCAAAAATTAATTATTAATTGTTTATTCTAAATTATTTATTTTTTTTCATTTTTCAATTTGTTTACATTCAGCTCACACAATAACTTTAATTAAATTTTTTTAAATTCTGCGAAATTTTTTTTGCTTTTTCTTTTTTTTAAATATTTATTAATTAATTTCTTTTTTTTACAACTTTCTAAAGTAAAATTCAGTAAAACAAACTTTTTCCTTTGTTGTTTTAATTTCTCGATTAAATTATCATTTTGTTCTTCCTAAAATGTCACATTAAAATTTCATTTCGATTATTTTAATTTACAAATTTCTTCAGATTATACTATTTATTACTTTTAATTATAATTGCTCGTAAAATTTTTAATTATTGATTTTTTCTTTTTGTTAAATTTACTTTATAAGTAGAATAAAAAAAAAATGACGTACGTGACGTGACGAGAAATTACTCGTTCTTACCTTTCCGATTCCATTCATTAATGGACTGAAATTAATTTTCGTTCCTTTTTTCTCTTTTGAAATAAAATTTCTAATTTAAATAAAAATTGAAACTTTTCATCAATAAATTATTATTAAATACTAAAAGTCATTGCGTCATACATCTTTTTTTGTTTTTCAATTTTGCATTAAAAATTCATTTAAAAATTTTTTTTGTTAATAATTTTGAAGAAATTAAATTTTAAAATTAAAATATTCAAAACAAAAAAAAAAAATTTCAGTATTATTAATTATTTTCTTTCCAAATTATTAATTCTAACATTCATTAGCCTTCTAAAATTTTTATAATTCATAACGAAATTTCATTTTTTTTTTTTTTTTTTTGAAATTTTATTCTTTTATTTAAATAAATCACAAAATTCATTTTTTAATTTAAAATTAATTTAATTTTAGTTTATATCAATTTTCTAAGAAAAAAAAATGCATATTTCTCAAAAAAAAAAAGAAGAATAAATAAATGAAATTGAAAAAAATGAAATTAAAATTTAATTTCGAATTAACAAATGCAATAATTTTAACAATAATTAATTAATTTGTCATAATGATTATTTAGCAATCTGAAAAAATTGATACAAAATTTTTGCAATTAATTAATTAATTAATTAATTAATGCTAACCTTTGATTTGAAATATTATTTTCCATATCAAATTTCTGGATATCAGTTGATGTTTTTGAGCACTTTTCACTGATAAACTACAATTATATTAATTAAATTAATGTTACTTTTCTTTTTTTTTAATTTTTAAAATAATTGTTTCACATCAAAAAAAAAAAAAATCGTTTTTTTTTTAATACAAAATTAAAAATTAAATTTAATTTTAAGTTTAAATATTTTTTTAAATAATATTTCAGAAATAATTAAAAAGAAAGAAAAACTTTTTTAAATTTAATAAAAATTAAAAAATTATAAAAAAAAACTAACAGATCCATTGTTTCGTCCTTCACTGTCAACTCCACTTTCATTAGCAATTTGCGCCTCAAGCGATATTTGCGCCTCAAGCGATGATAATTTGCTATCACTATGACTACACTCTGTTAATCTGATCGAAGTATCCTTAAACTTAAATATATCATGTTTTGACCTTTGAACTTTAGTATATCATTGGATAAATAATGGAGAATTGAGGGCATAATTGATAATATTTGCATTCGACAAATGCTTAAAAAGTTAATTCCATTTTTAGGCCTTCTTTTTTTTTTTTTTGATTCAATTGAATATACCAAAATTATTAAATCAAAATTTGTTAAAATTATAAATTTAAAAATTCTAATTTAAAAAAGAATTTCAATATGACAAATGCGAAATAAGTTAATTTAGCTTTTACCTTTTTGTGTGATTGAGGCAATATTTGTTGATCAGCTGTAAAATTTAAATCTTCAAAAAAAAAAAATAAAAAAATTATCAATTTAATCATATCAAAAGAATATCATTTATTAATTACTAAATATAGTATTTTAATTTAATTTAATTTGATATAACGAGGGTATATATATGATCTTTTGAAGTACAAAATTTTAATATAAAATTTTAATTCAAATATATTAATTATAATTAAGAATACTTCTCATAATCAAAAACCAAGAAAAAATGATTTAAATTAATTTAATACTTAAATACAAATTTTAATTTAAATAAAAAATATTTTTAAGGAATAATAAATTAATTTCAAAAAAATTTTAATTCAAATATATTACTTATAACTAAGAATATTTGTAATAATCAAAAACCAAGAAAAAATGATTTAAATTAATTTAATACTTAAATACAAATTTTAATTTAAATAAAAAATATTTCTAAAGAATAATAAGTTAATTTCAAAAAAATTTTAATTCAAATATATTACTTATAATTAAGAATATTTGTAATAATCAAAAACCAAGAAAAAATGATTTAAATTAATTTAATACTTAAATACAAATTTTAATTTAAATAAAAAATATTTTTAGAGAATAATAAGTTAATTTCAAAAAATTTTAATTCAAATATATTAGTTATAATTAAGAATACTTCTCATAATCAAGAACCAAGAAAAAATGATTTAAATTAATTTAATACTTAAATACAAATTTTAATTTAAATAAAAAATATTTTTAATTCAAATATATTACTTATAAATAAGAATATTAGTAATAATCAAAAACCAAGAAAAAATGATTTAAATTAATTTGATACTTAAATACAAATTTTAATTTAAATAAAAAATATTTTTAGTGAATAATAAATTAATTTCAAACTTACATTTACCTAACATACGTTGTACCAAATTAACAGTTTTTTCAAATCGTTCCGTAGCATTAGCATATTGTTCACTACTGCTACTGCTAAAATGACGACAACCATGTGCTGAAAAAATTTTTAAATTAAAATTTTATTTTAAATTTAAACAAACAATTAAATTTGTTACATTTAAAAAAAAAAGCAAACAAAACTTTTGTTAAAATTAAAATTTAAGAGAACAATGAAATTTGAGTCATTTAAATTCTAGACAAATCAAGAAAAACAATGATATTATCGTTTCCATAGTGTTGGTTCTTTAAAAAAAAAATTATTTTAATTTATAATTTAATTATTCATTTAAAATTTATAATTTAATTTATTTCTTTAAAATTGAAAATTTAAATTTATAAAAAAATTAATTACACAAGCAATATAGCATTGAAAATTTCAAGCTGATATTAACAGAACTAAAAAAATGAAAGTAAATAAAAATTTTCAATGGAATATTTTAATTACTTATAATTTACGGTAAACAAATAAATGCAATACTATTTAAAACCAAGAAAAAAATGATGATTTAAATAAATTAAATAATAATAATTTAAATTAAATTATATAATACAAAAGAAAATTAAAATAAAAAACAAATAAATGCAATACTAATTAAAATCAAGGAAAAAAATGATGATTTAAATAAAATTAAATAATAATAATTTAAATTAAATTAGATAATACAAAAAGAAAATTAAAATAAAAACAAATAAATGCAATACTAATTAAAATCAAGGAAAAAAATGATGATTTAAATAAAATTAAATAATAATAATTTAAATTAAATTATATAATACAAAAAGAAAATTAAAATAAAAAACAAATAAATGCAATACTAATTAAAATCAAGGAAAAAAATGATGATTTAAATAAAATTAAATAATAGTAATTAAAATAAAATTAAATAATAAAAAAAAAAATTAAAATAAAATCAGTAAGAAATAAATTCATTTTTTATTTGTTAGAAAAACAAAAGTAATTTATGAACTTTAATTAATTATTTTATAGTATTTAATTCATTTGTACTCATTAATTTTATTCGAACATCCATTCCAAAATTTAATTTTTTTACCATTAAATTTTAAAATTATCAGCGATTGATAAGTTTAATTAAATTTTCACAAATTTAATCTTTCTCTGATTGAAAATTAAAATTTGAGTGCAATTTAAATATTTCATTTAATTGTTTCAAATTTCATTTTGAAATGCTAACAAAACCATTCAACTATTACTCATAAAAAATTGATCAATTTTTCAAAATTTCCTTTAATATCAAAAAATTTTTTAATTCATTTGCTTATTTCATTTTACTTTAATTAATTTAAACTAAATTAATTAATTTAATAAATCAATTATTCATATTTGCGAATTAATTTTTGTTTGAATTTCATTTGAAAGAATTAATTTTTTTATATAATCAATTCAATTTGCTTATTTTTTACTACGACTAAAATTTCAATTCGTCTAATTTCTATTTTACAAAAAAAAATTTAAAAAAATTTTTTGCATTAATTCGTTCTAAAAAATCATTCGTTCATTTCAATTCATTTTTTTTTTAATTTTCCTTTTTTTTTTTTTTTGTAATTATTAAATGCAAATACTTTTTTTAGAAAATAAATAATTAATACTTTCTTCAAAAAAAAAAAAAATCAAAAATAATAATTTTATTTAATTAATCAAAAATTTTAAGAGTATATTTCAAAATTATTTAAATATAAAGAAAGAAACATTTAAAAATTGGACGTTTGTAAACATTTGAATTTAATAAATTTGTAAATAACTTTTAGTCTTTTTTATGGAACAAAAAAAAAATAACTTTAAAAGTTCAAAAATTGTCTTTTCGGAGAAAAAAGAAAAATTTGAAAAGTTCAAAAGTTGTTATTTGCATTTTTCAAATTTTAATTTTGTTTGCAAAAAAAAAAAAAACAAAAAGCAAAACTTGTTTTTTTAAATTTTTTTAAAAAAAAAATTTTATTATTTTATAGTCTATTTCGATGATTACAAATGAAAAATTATTTTTTTTTTTTACTAAATGATTTTATTTAATAATTAATAGTAATTCATTTTGAAATGTCTCTCAAACATTTATCATTCTTTTAAGATGTAAGCCGAATTTTTTGCTTTTTTTCAAAAAAAAAAAAAACAAATTTTTATTTTTTCACTTTTTTTGGTTTTTTGTTTTCAGTTGTAAAATTTAAATTACAATAGTGCTTAATTTATTAAATCATTAAAACATTGATCAAAGTGATAAAATCATTAAAACATTGATCAAAGTGATAAAATCATTAAAACATTGATCAAAGTGATAAAATCATTAAAACATTGATCAAAGTGTTAAATTTTAACTGAAATTTTTTACCGACCTGAAATTTCATTCTTTTAAATATTAATTGTTTAATTGATAGGAAATTAATGATAAACAAATAAATAATGATAAAGATAATGAGAAAAGAAAATAAATAATTAAATAAATTAAAATAAAATGATAGCAAAGTGATATTTAATTTAATATAAATTAATTTTGCACATTTTGTCGATAAAAATTTAATATTAATTAATTTTACAGAAATAAATAAAATAAATATATAAATAAATTAAAATAAAATGATAGTCAAAGTGATATTTAATTTAATATAAATTAATTTTATAATTTTGTTGATAAAAATTTAATATGAATTAATTTTACAGAAAAAAATAAAATAAATAATTAAATAAATTATAATGAAATGATAGCAAAGTATTATTTCAAAGTATTATTTAGTTTAATATAAATTAATTTTATACATTAATTTTATAATTTTGTTTATAAAAATTTAATATTAATTAATTTTACAGATTTGTTTTTTTATTTTTAAATTTAATAATTTTAGCTAGGCAATATTTTTATTCATCCATTTTTTTTTTTAGAAATAAAATTTAGAATAATAATATTTTTTAATGAATGAAGTAGTGATATTATTGTTAAAAGTAAAGCACAAAGCAAAGAATTAAAATTTAAGTTTTATTTCAGTTTTATTTAATTTCAATTTTTTCAAATAATACACAAATTTTTTTCTTAAAATTTAGCAAAAAAAATTATTTTGTTTTTAAAAAAAAAAACATTTCGAAATTACTTTCAAAATTATTATTACTAATTTTGTACTAATTTAGCAGTATGAAATTTTATTAAAAATTTTAAATGAATTAAAAATTTTGAGTAAAAATTTAATTATATGAAAATAAGACAAACCAAGTACAACATAAATTGGTTTAGAATTCCAACCTGGTGGACCTTTTAATATACAACCAGTTGTACCATTGTATCTGCAATTTTAATTTTAATTTTTTTTTTTTTAAATTTTAAATTAAAATTAAAATTTTTCATTTTAATTCATTTCTTTATCAATTTATTATCACTTATCATTATATATTAATGTTTTATTTATAAACTTTTTTTTTTTATCCCAGTTTATTTCTCTTTTTGTTTTTTACTGATTTAATAAATAAAAAAAAGAAAGGGGAAGAGAAAAAAGGAGAGAGAGAGAGAGAGAGAGAGAGAGAAAGGAATAAAGTGATAAGACTTTAAGGCTTTCTTGCAATTGTCATCCTTGTAGTATAGGCCATGTGCACCAGGTATAACTGATTGTACGGTTGATAAAAGTATGGAATCATCCTGCTCTAATGGAATATTTACCGGTTCTAACTCAATACGAACCCATCCTGAAAAATATTTACATTGATCTTATCACTGATAACAAATTATATTATCATTTGCTATAATAATGGTATCTTTATGAAGTTAGAAATAGTTACTTCATTTTTTTATAGTTATAAAGTAAATATCTAGCACATTGATCTTATCATTGATAACAAATTATATTATCATTTGTTACATACAGTAGAATGTTTGTGAAATTAAAAATTGAAAATAATCACTTCATTCTTTTATAGTTAATATGTAAATATCTATCACTGAATCTGATTACTGATAACAAATTATATTATCATTTGTTGCAATAGTGATATCTTTATGAAATTAAAAATTGAAAATAATCACTTCATTCTTTTATAGTTAACAAGTAAATATATAGTACATTGATCTTATCACTGATAACACGTTATATTATCATTTGTTATGATAGTAATATCTTTATGGAATTAAAAATTGAAAATGATTACTTCACTTCTTTTATTTAATAAACAAATATCTGGCACATTGATCTTATCACTGATAACAAATTATATTATCATTTGCTATAATATTGGTATCTTTATGAAGTTAGAAATAGTTACTTCATTTTTTTATAGTTATAAAGTAAATATCTAGCACATTGATCTTATCACTGATAACAAATTACATTATCATTTGTGACAATAGCCATATCTTTATGGAAATAAAAATAATCACTTCTTTCTTTTATAATTAATAAGTAAATCTCTAGCACATTAATCTTATCACTGATAACAAATTATATTATTATTTGTTATAATAGTAATATCTTTATGAAATTAAAAATTGAAAATAATTATTTCATTTCACATAGAGTTAATAAGTAAATAACTAATAAATTTATCAAATGTTACTTCTAAAAGATAATATTTACATAATTATGCTAATTAATTATTGTATAAAAGTAAGGGAAATAAATTAAATTTGCGTGAAATATTTGAAATATTAATGAAATGAAAAAAAAAAAAATGAAATTTAATTTAATAATACCTTGTGATGGTGATAATGTGGAGTCTATGATTGAAGGAACGTTATCCATGGATCGTATAGAACCTAAAAAATTATTTAATTTTAAAAAATAAAAAAAAAAAATTTCACATTAAAACATTTAATTAAATGGCAAATAACAATAGAAAATAATACACTAAAATAATAGGCGCAAATGACGCACAAATTAATGCTAAAAGAAAATGAGCGAATGTATTTGAAAAATATTAAAAATAATTTTTTGCATTTTATTTGAATTTTTTTATGCAAATTTTTATTTAGATAAAATTAAACTTTGTAATTTTAAATTTGTCAGTGTTAAAGGATTAAATAAAATTATTTTTTTTTTTTTTATAAAAAGTTGAATTGAACAAATAGTTTAAATTGCAAACTTTTTTTTGTTATTTTTTTTCTTTTTTGAGACTAAAAAAAAAGCAAAATTTTTAAATCTTTAATAGATTATAAAAATTGAAATAAATGAATTAAATAAATAAGTAAATATAAGCGAGGCGAAGGTAACTTTACTCTATTCATTAAAGTATTAATAATTTATTATATATTAGAGAATTATAAATTCTTTAAGTTTTATCTTTGAGATAAATTTCAGTGTCAGTGTATGTACCCAATAAGATGGGTTATTTGGGTATGATAGATTCGAGTATTATCTACCCAATAAGATGGGTTATTTGGGTATGATAGATTCGAGTATTATCTACCAAATAAGATAGGTTATTTGGGTATGATAGATTCGAGTATTATCTACCAAATAAGATAGGTTATTTGGGTATGATAGATTCGAGTATTATCTACCCAATAAGATGGGTTATTTGGGTATGATAGATTCGAGTATTATCTACCCAATAAGATAGGTTATTTGGGTATGATAGATTCGAGTATTATCTACCCAATAAGATAGGTTATTTGGGTATGATAGATTCGAGTATTATCTACCCAATAAGATGGGTTATTTGGGTATGATAGATTCGAGTATTATCTACCCAATAAGATGGGTTATTTGGGTATGATAGATTCGAGTATTATCTACCCAATAAGACGGGTTATTCAGGTATTTTCCATTTTTTAATTTTTAATTTTGCATTTATAAACAATTATACAATAAAGTAATTTTGCAACATTGAAAACTAATACCATACCTTTATGATTAATTGAATTTAATACATTTCAAGCTTTAATCTGATAACATATTGTTATCAAATACTTAATAAGGATAGAAGTGATAATTATCAGTGTTAAAGTATGATATTATCAATATAACATAATGTTATCAAATATTTAATAGGAATAGAAGTGATAATTATCAGTGTTAAGATGTGATATGATAATATCACATATAACGTTTTAATTTTAAGAATTCAATGCGACATCTAAACTTTGATGACAATTATCAATTATTATTACCTTTTTTTTCTTTTAAAACCATTAAATAATTAATCAATTTTTTTTCCAAATTTAAAAATAAAACGATTTCTTGTTTTTTCTTTTTTTTTTTTTTTTCATTTCAAACTGTTAAATAAAAAAAAAAAAAAAGTAATTGAAGATAAAAGTACAAAATAACTGGTAATTTAACAAAAATGATCAAAAAATCGTTGATTTTTTTGCTTAATGACCGTTCTACTCTCTTTTTTTTTCTTGTTAAGAATTGAAATAAACTATTAATTTTCAACTAAGTAATTAAAATAAACTGTTAATTTTCAACTAAGTAATTAAAATAAACTATTAATTTTCAACTAAGTAATTAAAATAAACTATTAATTTTCAACTAAGTAATTAAAATAAACTATTAATTTTCAACTAAGTAATTAAAATAAACTGTTAATTTTCAACTAAGTAATTAAAATAAACTGTTAATTTTCAACTAAGTAATTAAAATAAACTGTTAATTTTAAACTAAGTAATTAAAATAAACTGTTAATTTTCAACTAAGTAATTAATTAAAATAAAAAATTAATTTTCAATTTATTAGTTAATTGAAATGAACTATTAAATTTCAATTAATTAATTAAAATAAATTACTAGTTTCAAATTAATTAATGATATCTCACTTTCGAAATTATAATCAATTTGTGTCAAATTAAAATTATCTTATTTATCACCAAAATTATCTCATTTATCTTTATAAAATTATCATATAAAATTATTTTACTTTCCCTATTAACTTTCAACTAAGTAATTAAAATAAACTATTGATTTTAAACTGATTAATGATATTTCATTTTTGCATTTATAATCAATTTGAGTCAAATTAAAATTATTTTATTTATCAGCAAAAAAATCTCATTTATCTCTATAAAATTATCTGATTTTCCGTTTTTTTAATTGAATTGAAATTATTTTAGTTTTTTATCAAAAAAGAAACGTTCAAATAAGATTGATAATCTTAGATCAATTATATTACTTTAAATAGAAATGAAAACTTTTACAATGATAAAATGATAAATGCTTAGTATTTCATTTCAAGACATTTTCATATCAGTGATTTACCTTTCTAATCACTAAAAGGTAAATTAAGAGAGAGAGAGAGAGACAAAAAAAGAAAAAAAAATAATTTAAAATGATATATGCCAAAAATGAAAAGAAAAATCAACAAAACAATTGTAATAACAAAAAAAAAAAATTTTTTCTCGAGATTACTGATTTTTGATTTAGAAAGAAAAAACATTTCAATTTTGCATTGGTATTAAATGCAAATTAAAGAAAAAATAAACTATAAATAAAATTAAAAAAAAATTTTTTTTAATGAAATTAAAATGTAATAAATGTTAAATTAAATTATGTATAATACAAATGAAAAGAAAAGAAAAAATTCTTTTTTTGCCGTTTTTAAAATTTTTTATTCTAAGCTAAAAAAATTTTCAAATCATTTTAATTATATTATTACGATATAAAATTAATTAAAATTATTAAAATAAAATTTGCAAAGGAAAAAGCAATCATTGTTAAATTAATAAAAGTAATATTGATCAAAGTTTGTATCCCAAAAAAAAAAAAAAAAACTTATAATCTTATAAAATTGAGTATTGGAAATTAAATACTTAATTATTTCCCACACATACACACAGGTAAACGTACCATAAAATAAGTATATTCATTTCTCGCCTTAATTATTATCATTAATTTAATTATTAATTTAATTATCACTGCTAACGATTACAATTTTATTATTACTGATAATCATTACAATGCTAATGATATCATTAATCATTATCATAACTGATAAATTATTAAATCAATTTAGCGAAACTAATTTTATTTTAAAACAATTTGTTTTTTTTCCTTTAATTATTATCATTAATTTAATTATCACTGCCAACGATTACAATTTTATTATTACTGATAATCATTACAATGCTAATGATATCATTAATCATTATCATAACTAATAATACCATAATTATTAAATCAATTTAACAGTAAATATTTTTTATTTTAAAACAATTTCTTTTTTTTTCTTTCATTGATAACATAATTACTCAAATTTAAAATGTAAATTACTTTTATTTGCATTATTGTAAATCTATTAATACACTGAAATAAGAAAAAAGAAATTGAATAAATTGGAATGATAATAGTATTATCAGTAATTAATATAAATAATTGAATATAAAATATCTAATATGAAAATTAAATTTTTAATCAATAATAATGCTATAATAAAATGAAAATGAAATTATTTAAGAAAACGAAAATGAAACGAAAACATTCAATTTTCTACTATTCAATTAATCATATAAACCTTTATTTTAAACAAAAATCAAATTCTTTTTTTCTCATTTTTTTTTTGCATTTTTTTTTTTTTTGTAAAATAAATTATTCTAACCTTAACAATTGTTTACTGATAAAGAATTAAAAAAAAAAAAAAGGAAAAAAAATGCGATTCAAAAGTTTTCATTTTCTCTCTTTTGTCTAAAATGTAAAACCAAATGTTAATGTATGTGTTTGTATGTGTGTATGTGTATGCGTGTATGTGCGTGTGTGTGCGTACGTAAGGGAACGTGAAAGATGAAATTTTTAAAATAATTTTAATCTAGTAAATCAAATTTAAAAATTAAATACATTACTATTATTGTAAATAGTGTTTGCATGTGTATGTATGTGCGTGAGCGTGTGCGTACGTAAGGGAACGTAAAAAATGATATTTTTAAAATACTTTTGATTACTATTATTGTAAATGGTGTTTGTATGTGTATGTGTGTGTGTGTGTATGTATGTGGGTGCGTGTGTATGTGTGTACACGTACGTAACGTGAAAAAACTGAATTTTTGAAATACTTTTGATTACTATTATTGTAAATAGTGTTTGTATACGTTGTGCGTGTATGTGTGTATGTGTACGTGTACGTACGTAACGAGACGTAAAAAATGAAATTTTTAAAATAATTTTAATCTAATAAATCAAATTAAAAATTTAAATACATTACTATTATTGTAAATAGTGTTTGTATACGTTGTGCGTGTATGTATGTATGTGTACGTGTACGTACGTAACGAGACGTAAAAAATGAAATTTTTAAAATAATTTTAATCTAATAAATCAAATTTAAAAATTAAATACATAACTATTATTGTAAATAGTGTTTGTATACGTTGTGCGTGTATGTGTGTATGTGTACGTGTACGTACGTAACGAGACGTAAAAAATGAAATTTTTAAAATAATTTTAATCTAATAAATCAAATTTAAAAATTTAATAATTAGTAAAAGAGGAGGAATTTCAATTTAAAATCAAAAATTCAAAAAACAATTCGAATTAGTTAATGTTTGCTTTTTTTTCTTATTGTTCTCCTTTTTTTTAAAAAATGAAAATTTTAGAATTAACTAATATAAATGAATCGATGATAAGAAATGATATGATATGATATGATTAGATAAAACAATTCTGTGAATGAGTGAACAGAGAAATATGATTGAACATATAAAAATGATTGGGCGCAAAATGTTTCCGCCCAATTTTGATATTCGTAAATTACTCATTCAAAAAATGAAAAAAATTGTGAATGCACAAATATAATTTATAAAAAAATATAAAATAATT